CTTGATTTTATTTTCAGTTTTTCAGGTAACGAAATTGTGTTTTATTTAATTATAATTTATTCTAAATTTAAGAGGAATAGAGCCATGCAGAATTTTAAGGTCGAGAATAACCTACAGAAATAAGAGAAAAAAAAATGAAGAAAAAAGTAGACACAAAGAAGAAGAGTACCAAGATAAAACCGAAGAATAGCGAAAACAAAGATATTGAATTGCGAATACAAAATAGAGACCAAAGAAGACAAAGATGAATAAGGAAAAACCATATTAAAAACTTGTGAAGAACAATTTGAAGAGGAATTCGAACAAGAACGAAGGAGAAGAAACCTAACAACAACAACAAAAAAATTTGCGAAGACCAATCTAAAGAGGAAATAAAATAAGAACAAAGGAGAAGAAACCAAATCAAAACAAAACAAAAAAGAGAAAAAAAAAGAAGAGCGAAGACGAAGAAGAGCAAACGCGAAGATGAGTGAAAATGAAGAAGAAATCAAATAAGACCAAAGACAAAGAAGAAAACAAAACATAAGATACTGAAAAAGAATGAATCAAAGAAAATTAAAAAAAACTTTAAAACAACAGAAGAAGAAAATGAAGAACAATTATGTGTGTCGACTAGCTTCTCTTCATTTAGGTTTTAGGTTTTATAACCATTGAAAACTTACCAAAATATTAGTTTATCATCTAGCTTAAATTTATTACATACAAATATTGTTATTTATAGCATTTTAAGTTCTAACATAACCAACTGAAGTTATTTTAAATAAACATCATGTTACATACAAATATTGTTGACATCTAATTTTAAGAATTTCACTAAACATATTTAAAAATATATTTCTGTTTAGAAAATGACTAACACGTCACAATAGTTCATAAATTAACATTACATTTTACAAGTAAGTTTAGTGATAAAGTAAGTTTGTCCTATTATAATGATTTGAATATCTTCAAGTAAGTTTTGGTCATTAGACATACACAAACATTTTTGTTACCGGGATATGATCTAAACAATATTTTTGTATGTCAAGATTTGATCTCAATACGATATTGATATATCTAAAAACTTTTGTTTTCCAGAGAGTTTTGGTATTGAAATATTGATAAATTTTAATTGTTGATTTTTGCAGTTTAAAAAAAAAATTAAAATATATTTTAAACTGATTTAAGATACAGACCCGCGCGTGCGCGGGTGAAAGTCCTAGTTTACTAAACAAAAATAAGAACTAGCTAGTTAATTTCTTATACAGTTTTAATTTTTTGTTTGGTGTGCAAATATACCGTTTTACAATAAATGGTTGTTATGCTGGAGCGAAATTTAGCTAGATTCGAAGGACTAGCCGGTCTTAACTCTTAACAAGTAACAACAACAAACCGACACGAGACAATAAAAGTGTAGACAAAGGAGTTCAAAATATTGACTAGTCTTGTTTTTTCTTTTAACGTATTTAAAAAGTATCTAAATCAGCGCACGCACACTAAAAAAAGTCAAAATTTCAACCTGTTACTCTTGTGTAGTCTACTATTTTGATTCATGGATAATTGATAAGGATTTGAATATTCCCAAGTGGAGTGATATTTATTTATTTGTAGGACAGTTTTATCGCGGCTGCGCAAGTGCCTATAGATTCATACATTAATATACTAATTATATATATCATTTGGCATTTGAATTTAATTTCTTTTATCGTTTTTTGTTGTTGTTGTTGTCGTCTCATTTCCTCATCTGAATAATGGAATGGGACTTCAACACTGGCGACTTGGTCAAGTTTGGCGTTTGTAGTCTCTTATCTCACAACAATATAGCATTTAATAATTTTTCTGTTTTTATTATTTGGGCTCCACTTTATTATTAGACACTGGCCACTTCCGTTTGCTATTTGTATAAGTTAAAAGCAGATTAATTTTTGACTAATTTTTAAAATAATTTCTTTCTTGTTTTACAACACTAATATATAATATTGATGTAACAAAAATAGGTTGTTATACTTACTTTTTCTGCATGTTTTTTTTTAATGTAGTAAAGTTCTTACCCAAATTTTCAACGCCGTCTCAAATCTTTCACTTTTGAGTTTTTGATATAGCATGAAGGAACGTAAGAAATTTCATAACAAGTTGATCTTTTGATATAATAATAACAAAAATAAAATAACGCAATCATTCCCTCTTAATATATATCTCCACACTCCCTTCTTCTATCTTCACCACCACACAATACAAAACCTCCACACCATTAAATCAGAGTCTCTCTCTCTCCCTCTCTGAGAACAAAAATGGAAAAAGCGTCTTCTAACTTCACTCTCTCACAGATCCTCAACACAGAGGATGCGTCCAGCTCCATCATGCTCGCCGTCGCTGTCGTTGTCGCCGTCCTCTGCTACTTCTGGATTCAAGGAAAATCCAAATCCAAAAACGGAGCACCGTTGCCTCCAGGACCTTGGCCACTTCCAATCGTCGGAAACCTCCCATTCCTAAACTCCGAGATCCTCCACACACAGTTCCAAGCCCTAACTCAAAAACACGGCCCTCTCATGAAAATCCACCTCGGATACAAGCTCGCAATCGTCATTTCCTCTCCAGAAATGGCTCGTGAGGTTCTCAAAACCCACGACATCGCTTTCGCCAACCACGACCTCCCCGAAGTCGGAAAAATCAACACGTACGGTGGAGAAGACATCCTCTGGTCTCCTTACGGCACCCACTGGAGGAGACTCCGCAAGCTCTGCGTCATGAAGATGTTCACTACTCCGACTCTCGAAGCTTCTTACTCCACTCGCCGCGAAGAAACAAGACAAACCGTCGTCTACATGTCGGAAATGGCTCGCGACGGATCTCCGGTCAACCTCGGCGAGCAGATCTTCCTCTCGATCTTCAACGTCGTGACGAGAATGATGTGGGGCGCGACTGTTGAAGGTGAAGAGAGAACAAGCTTGGGAAACGAGCTCAAAACCCTAATCTCCGATATTTCCGACATCGAAGGGATTCAAAACTACTCAGATTTCTTCCCGTTGTTCGCAAAATTCGATTTCCAGGGACTTGTCAAGAAGATGAAAGTCCACGTGAAGAAGCTCGATCTTTTGTTCGACCGAGTTATGGATAGTCATGTCAAAATGGTTGGGAAGAAAACCGAAGAAGAAGAAGATTTCTTGCAATACTTGATTAGGGTTAAAGACGACGACGAGAAAGCTCCTCTCTCTTTGACTCACGTCAAGTCTCTCCTCATGGATATGGTTCTTGGTGGTGTCGACACATCGGTCAACGCATCAGAATTCGCCATGGCGGAGATCGTGAGCAGACCAGAAGTTTTAAAGAAAATCCGACAAGAAATGGATCAGGTTGTTGGGAAAGACAACATCGTTGAAGAGTCTCATTTGCCTAGACTTCCTTATCTACAAGCGGTTATGAAAGAGACTCTCAGGCTTCATCCTACGCTTCCTCTTCTTGTGCCTCACAGAAACAGCGAGACCTCGGTGGTTGCTGGATACACTGTGCCTAAAGACTCCAAGATCTTCATCAACGTTTGGGCCATTCATAGAGATCCTAAGCATTGGGATGAGCCAAACGAGTTTAAACCGGAGAGGTTTTTAGAGAACTCGCTTGATTTCAATGGTGGGGATTTCAAGTATTTGCCTTTTGGATCAGGGAGGAGGATTTGCGCGGCGATTAACATGGCGGAGAGGCTTGTGCTGTTCAATATAGCGTCGCTTCTTCACTCTTTTGACTGGGAAGCTCCTAAAGGACAGAAGTTTGAGATTGAAGAGAAGTTTGGGCTTGTTCTCAAGTTGAAGAATCCACTTGTGGCTATTCCTGTTCCGAGGTTGTCTGATCCCAAACTCTACACTGCTTAAGTAAGTAAAAATGGAAAAGTTTGGTCCGGGGAAGTTGTGTTTTGTTTTCTTGTTTGTCGTTTACTTTTCTTTAATTTGCGGAGGGAGTTTTAATGCTTTGTAAAAATGTATGTGTCACATTTCTGATTATATACGATATATAATAATAAAGTAATCAAGTTTTATATGTCTTCTCCAAATATCACAAATATATTTATAGAAACCTAATGGGTCAAAAAATTTATATCACAAACTTTTCTTAAGCTGCCTCATACAATTTAGGAGAGCCAACAGTAAACGACGACGTTCTATGAAGAACGAAAATAAACCAAGCTTAATGTTTGCAACTTCATTTTTTTTTTTTTTTTCTTTTTTGACGACTGTTGGCAACTTCATTAATAGTGATATTACTTTGCCATAATAATGATGTTGTAGTCAAACCTCACAGAAATGGTAAGCTGCTAAGTATTCTTACTAAAAGTCAAATTTTGATATATTATTACTCATCACTGTCTTACCTAAATCACTTTTCCAGACATGGCTATAAAATACAGACAATTTTTCTAACAATCTCATAAACTGCATTTTCATTTCTTTTCAGAATTTTCAAGATTCTCGAGGTATAACATTGTCTCCGTATATCTACGAATTCGTAATATTTATCTCATTTGAATTTTTTTTTTTCTACAATCCTTGAGTTGTATTCCTTTTCTTTTTCATTCATATATTAAATTTAAAGTCATAGATCCTTTGAAAAATATACATCAGTGTCCGGTACTGTTCCATGGTTTTATAATATTTAATTATGAGTCTCATTAAAAATCAACTCAAATTTATAACTATATATAATGTCATGGTCTTGAAAATTTATTTTCTTAAGCGAGTTATCGCTAGTTTCTAAAGATGCATCATCATTCGTTTTAGTTAGACCCGCTTTCAAAAAAAATGTATTCATGAGATTTATTGTCGTATAGTGAAGTGATATTACGTGATATATCAGCTTTACAAGCGGGTTTTTTTTGTCAATCGTATTCGTCCATGACCATACTTCAAATGATATATTATTTTAGTTATATTTAAGATTCACGATTTTTTCTAATATTTTTTTTATATCAAATGGATTCATAAGGATTGACTTTTTTTTTTCAGAAGTGAAGCGTGAGATTAAGAAAGAGAATGGATTCCAACTGTTGTGCTGCCTCTATGCTCTACAACATCGCTTGTATCCCTGAGCCTGCCTCTGAACCTGGCGCTAAACCTACGTGCATGTTCGCAGCACATTTCCCAACGACCAACCTTGCGAAATTCGAGAAAGTTAATAAAGTCTTTGGACTAGGAACCGTCCAAAAGATTCTGAGTCTTCTCGGACGTGAAGACCGTAAAAGGGCTGTCACGGCTCTGTGTTACGAGGCGGATGCTCGCCTACGTGACCCCATATTTGGTTGTGATGGCATGGTCTTACAGTATCAAAAAGATCTCCAAGATTTGAATAAGAAAATCGCCTCCTCGCAGAGTGAGCTCGCGTCCATCGTAGGACCAGACAATGTGCCAAAATATAATGAACTTCCGATCCCGGATGATTTCCTCGCTACCGAGAAAATGGAGGGTCTTACCGAAGATCAGCAGAATCAGGTTACGCAACTTCCAACTGTTGATGCGCAAAAGATATTAACTGAAATGTTTGGGAATCATGGAGCTGATGATGGTGCATCAACATCTGCTGGGCCATCTAAGGCTTAGGAAGCATTGGTGATACTCAAGAGATGAACTCCATTTCTTGAGTTGTTTCTGTTTTATTTACTCATTTCCTTAAAACCTTGTTTTTGTGTGTGTGTTGTTTTTTTTTCTTTTTTTTTTTTGGTTTTAATGTGTGTGTGTGTTGCTGTTAAAGGGCTTCCCTAAAAAGCTTGCTGTCGTTTCCTTTATTTAATGTCATGTCGTATGTCGTCTGTTTGTCATCATGGTCACAAGAATATGTATTGTGATGAATCTTTCTGTTGTTTATCTATTCAATCTTCGTTTATTTTTCCTGGATTAGACCAAAGCAAAATTAAAATAAAATTAAAAGATCGATTCAAGCCTAGGTATGGATCGATTTGATCGTATGAGAGTAACATTTCTTATGAATAAGAACTTGTATGCGCAAAATATGTTGAACAACGAAGTAGTTGATGAAATATCGCTAAGGAAATATGTATTTGAATATAAAATGTGGTATATTTTATAAAGGTCATGACTATGGCTGTTTAATTTAATTTTGTATATATTTTTTACAAACTGATTTCAAATTAAAAAAAAAAAGAGACAGAAAAAAACATTTAAAGGTTGATAAACAAATGATTCCAGTAAAAAAATAATTCAATAAAAGTTATATCCCGTAAATCCTAATTCACTTAAAACTCTAATTAATTGCAAATCACCCCAATCGCTTCTGTGTAAAAAGAAGGGTCATTACATATAAGGAAGAGATATTATTATTTTTACATGTAAGAAAGAGATCATTCCTTTGCCGAAGAATGGGAATATTGAGTTCACTTAAAGTGTGAAATGTAAAACGAGCTTAGCTATAAACCCAAGACTAATCTTGATCTTGGTCAATTTTTTTTTGTTGAAATGGTATCTAAATTTTTAAGATTCCACTGATTTTCATCAAGGTTTAAATGATTCATAAAAATCCTAAGCATTGGGATGATCCAAACGAGTTTAAATTGGAGAGGTTTTTCGAGAACTTACACTTGATTTTAAGTATTTTCCCTTTGGATATGGGTGGAGCATTTGTGCGGCGATTAAGATGGCTGAGAGGTTCCTTCTATTCAATATTGTGTCGCTTCTGCACTCTTCTGATTAGAAACCTTCCAAAGGACATATATTTGAAAATGAAGAGAAGTTTGGGCTTGTTCTTAAGTTGAAGAATTCATTTGTGGCTGTCCATTATTTTTAAAAAACTGAAACATATAGTTTGAGAAAACTTAATCTCATGAACTTTCAAAATTTAGGTGGAAGATCTAAAGATGTCAAACCTTAGTTATCATTGTAACATCCGCAAACCCAAGAATTGGAGATTTTTGGTTATGTCGAGCTGAATATTGTTATTTCATTTAATTATTTACTTAATTTATTTTTAAGATTTCCGCTAGAATTGTTTAGTTATTTTTAAAAAAAAAATATATATATATATATCTTGGTTGTTTAAATCATTTTGAAATTTACACTTTTAAACATTGAAAAAGAGGTATAGAGAATAGTAATGTATAATTAATATTTTGAATTTAAGTAAATGATAATCAACAGACTCAAAAACAACATAAATATGTAATTTGAGAAGATCTAAGCTCACGAACATTCAAAATTTAAGTGGAAGATCTCAAATCAATGTGGGTTATGAACCATTTGAGCATGTGAACATTTAAAATTTAGGTGGAAGATCTCAAATCATTGTGGGCTATGAACCATTTGAGCATGTGAACAGTTCAAAATTTACGGTTTTTTGTAATCAAACCTTTTTTTATATATTTGAAAAATTCAAATTGTCATTAGTGGTGATCTTATGTCACTGAATAAAATATTATTAAATTGTTTTTTTATAAGTCAACATCTAACTAATATATTATTCCATCCGTTTCAAATTAGTTGTCTTTTTGGCAAAATGTATCTGCAAATATTTGGACGTATCTGCAATGCAAAACATGTCCAGATACATCCAAATATTTGCAGATACATTTTGCCAAAACGACAACTAATTTGAAACGGAGGGAGTATATATTTATATAACTTTTAAATTCGGTCAATACACTTATTACATTCCTTATTCTTTTTTTTTATCTGAGTCGACCGGTTTAATGCAAAAGGAAATATGAAAATAAGCAATTTTTTTTTTTTTTTATTTTCATATTTGAAAAAATTCAAATTGTCATTAGTGGTGCTCTTATGTCATTGAATAAATTATTATTTCCATCTTTTACGTCAAGATCTTATTATTATAATATCATATTTTGGGTCGCAACTTTTAAATCGGTCAACATACTTACTCATACTTCTTTATCTTTTTACTTTTGTTTAGGTCGCTTAATGCAAAGCAAATATGAAAAAAAAAAAAAACTGTTGTTTATTTTCATATTTTAAAAAGTTCAAATTGTCATTAGTGGTGCTATTATGCCATTGAGTAAAACATTATTAAATTTACTTTTGTTACGTCAAATTTTTATTAATATATTATCATATTTTGGGTCGCAACTTTTAAATTCGGTCAATATACTTATTTATATTTCCTTATTCTTTTTAGTTTTATCTGAGTCGACCGTTTAATGCAAAAGGAAATATAAAAATAAACAGAACATTTTTTCTTGTTTATTGTCATATCTGAAAAATTCAAATTGTCCGTAGTGGTGCTCTTATGCCATTGAATAAAATATTATTATATTGCCTTTTTTTTACGTCAAAGTCTTATTAATATATCATCAAAATGTCGTACCTTTTAAATTCAGTCAATATACTTATTCATACTTCCTTTTTTTCCTTTTTTCGTCGGCTAAATGCAAAGGGAAATTATTCTTAATTATAAAAGCGGAAAATTTCATGATTATCACATGATATTTAGTTAGAGTATAAGTAGTTTCATCTTTGTTCTTGTTAAAAAGAAAAAAAGTTTCATCTTCGTTAGAGTTTTATAAAAATTAGATGCGGCTATCGTTTTTTAATTCGTTTAGGTTTTAGTTTAGTTCATGTATTAATTTTATTTTAGGAGTTTCAAGTGATATTTTTATGAGAGATCTTGGTTTCTATGTTGTTATTTGTTTGTTTTCTTTTCTTTGATATTGATCTAAGTTTCTTTTTCGAAATTGTGATAAACAATAGCCAAACGAAACCCAAAAAAGAAAATGAGTTTGCAGGTTATTATTCAATAGATCTGTTTTCTAATGTGTTTGCTCTGGTGAGTGATTAACTTTTTTTAATAGACATTTTAGCTAGATGTTCTTGGCTGCTTTGTTTTTGTTTAATTTGATATGTTCAGTTTATTGCTTTAAGAATTTTCACACAGTTGACATCGCAAATTGGGAGATTAAAAGGCGTTAAAAAAAAATAGTGCATGGAGCTTTGTCAAAAACTACAAGACAATAATAACAAATACAACTTGACATAATAAATACATAATTGAGGATGATTTTCCTTTGCCAAAACAATGAAGTATGCAGTCAAAGCTTACATAATTAAAAATTGGTAAGTTGCTAAATATTCTAACTATAAGTCATACTTAGATTGATAATTATCATGTGGTATAATATTTCCCTTTGACCAATCTTGCGGAATTGGAGAAAGTTCATAGATTACTTTATGAACTTTCTCGAATTTCACAAGATTGGTCAATGGAAAATATTGTGCCCACATGTACATGCACATGCACTTACCAATTACTAAAAGTCATACTTTAGATAATTGAAGATTGGTTAGTTACTATCTTACAAAATTCAGTGCCATGAAAGTTTTTGAGACATGGCTATAAAACTCAGACAATTTTTTCACTACAAAACATCATCTCATCTACTGCATTCTAATATTTTCTCAAATTTTCAAGATTCTCTAGGTATAACATTGTCTCTTTATATCTAGTAATTCCAAAGATTTCGCTTGTAAATCTTGTAGGGTGATCATGAAATGTATTGTGTATTGTAGTAATAAAGTGATATAACGTACAATAGCAGCCTTTACAAGCGTAGTCTTTTGTGGTCTTGTCAATAGTCCATATTTCAATGATATATTTTTAGTTATATATTAAGATCCAATATTTTTCTCATACTGTATATCAAATGGATATTAATGTGGATAATTTACAAGATTTTATTTTTGTTTTTTCCAGAAGTGAGATTAAGAAGAAGAAGGAGAATGGTGGTGTCCGACTGTTGTGCTCCCTCTAAGGTCTTGAACTACATATGTCCTTCTAGCAGTAGCCCTGACTCTAAGTGCATGTGGGCACAATATTTCCCAGTGACAAATCTTGCCAAATTCGAGAGAGTCCATAGAGTCTTTGGACTAGAAGGCATCGGCCACATCCTGTGTAAACTCACACCTTCAGAACGTGAAAGTGCTGTCACGGCTCTATGTCACGAGGCGGATGCTCGCCTACGTGACCCCGTATTTGGTTGTGTTGGCATGGTCTTACAGCATCAAAAAGATCTCGATGATTTGAATGAGAAAATCAACTCCGCACAGAATGAGCTCGCGTCCCTCGTAGGACCAGACAATGTGCCAAAATATTATGAACTTCCGATCCCGGATGATTTCCTCGCTAGTGAGAAAATGGACGATCTTACCGAGGATCAAAGGAATCATGTTACGCAACTTCCAACAGTTGATGCGCAAAAGATATTAACTGAAATGTTTGGGAAGAAAGAAGATCAAGAGATGTGTCATGGTCATGGAGCTGATGGCGCATCAACCTCTGCTGGGCCATCAAAGGCTTAGGAATCATAACGCAAAAACCAAAACTAACAAAAGTTTCAATCAAATATATGGTTTTTGTGTTTTTATTTACTCATTTAATTTCAGTCCCCTAAAAGCTTGTTGTCGTTTTTGCTTTATTTAATATCATGTAATACATTTATGAATATTTCTGTTGTTTTATCTATTTGATCTTTGTTTCAATCTACTTATTAGTTATTACATTTACTTATGACGACATAATTATTAGATAAAACAAACAACAACAAGCTTTTCGGGGAGTTGAAATGAGTAAATAAAACAGAAACAAGATATATATTTGATTGAAACTTTGGTTGACTCTGGATTTGGAGTAATGGAGTCCATTTCTCGAGTAATCCTCTGAGGTTTATAGCCATGTCTCAAAAACTTTCATGTCAGTCAAAGGGCAATAACTGTAACAAATATCGAAATTTGACTTTTAGTTAAATGTTATAGCATACATCTAATAAGGTAATCTCTTAAGAGTTGTATTGCAGTCAAATTTTCTCACTAGTAAGGAAATCATCGCCTCCAATATTATGTATTACAGTCAAGTTTATCACATAATTGGTAGTTTCTTAAAAACAACATCTGGAGTCAAATGATAAGACAACATACTTGGTAATCTCTTATATTATGTATTTCAGTCAAATTTATCACATAATTGGTTATTTCTTAAAAACAACATCTGGAGTCAAATGCTAAAACAGCAGAATTGGTAATTTCTTATATCATGTATTTCAGTCAAATGTATCACATAATTGGCCATCTCTTAAAAACAACATCTGGAGTGAATAGATAAAACAACATCATTGGTAATCTCTTACAATAAAACTATTACAGTCAAAATTATTACATACTGTAATAGGTAATATCTTAAAAACATCATCTATAAAACAAAGGTTAGATATGTATTGGAGTCATTACTATCTTATTCTTAACTTGCCTAAATCAATGACATGAAATAATTTAAGACATGGCTATAAAACTTAGACATTTTCTTCTCAGTATAGGAAATCAGTCTCTCATCAACTGGATTATCATTTCTTTCCCAAAACTTTAAGATTCCCAAACTATTATACATTATTTCAGTCTATATTTACAATTACCGATACAAATGTCATAAACTGAATTTAAAATTTACATTAAGATGTCAGAAGGAAACCATTGAAGAAGAGAACCATAACAATCCATTTAAACAAGATCCAACAAACCATTTATCAACAAACCGTTCAGTTTTCTAACAAGAAAACACAAAAATGGGAAGAAGAAATAAAGGCCAGAGAATTTGGCATTAAACTGAACAAAATCACAAGAGAACACACACAAACAAAGCCTTCGACAAGTTAACCATGGCCCATTTAAAGCCTAACCCACGGGTTAAATGAACCAAACCTCCCAAATTAAAATTGAACCAAACCCGAAACAGAACTGAACCAAAACCCCAAATTGCAGAAAAACCCTAAATCTCACAATTGAAGCTTGAATCCACACACCACTAAATTCATTTCTGTAAAAAACAGAGCTTCAAGCTCGTGCATTCCTTAAGGTCTTCAATTCGATCGAGCATCATCAGGAGAAGAGTAAAGACGCTAAATCTAAATCAGCAGCGATAGAAGTTTTTCGATCGAGCTTTTGAAGGCGAAAAAATGTGTTCTTAATCGAAGAACCTTGGTCGTAATTGAACATAACAGAGCGTAGATCGAACAGTTGAATCCGGTATGTTTCATATGTATTGTTCGATTCTTACACCATTGATTTCGAGTCTTACATTAGATTCTTCTGTTACCTCATATTAGCTAGAGCCGTAGAAGTGAGGATTTAGGTTTAGATTTAGGGATGTTTTATCTGCAATAACAGAGGATACCATAAGTTAGGTTATTGTTGCATCTCTCTCAATACCTTCACCAATCCATGAAAAATGTGTAATTTTGTTCATTACCCTTTTGCTAAAACTAACTGTTCGAATCAGCTTGAGACTAAAGTTTTGGTTTTTATATCATCTGATCCGATACTTAACCTTTGCCTCCTCTGTTTTGTTCTTCTTCATGCAGAAAGTTTTGGTTTTTAAACCAAAGAAAATGAAGAAAAAGATAGCCATTGGCTTCGAGGGCTCAGCTAACAAGATTGGTGTTGGCATTGTGACGCTAGACGGAACAATCTTAGCGAATCCTCGGCATACTTATATAACACCGCCTGGTCATGGTTTTCTTCCTAGAGAGACTGCTCATCACCACCTCGACCATGTTCTTCCTCTAGTCAAATCAGCTCTCGAAACTTCCCAGATAACTCCTGAAGACATCGACTGCATCTGTTACACGAAAGGTCCCGGGATGGGAGCGCCGTTGCAGGTCTCAGCCATTGTCGTTAGAGTGTTGTCGCAGCTCTGGAAGAAGCCGATCGTCGCTGTGAATCACTGTGTGGCTCACATTGAGATGGGGAGAGTGGTGACCGGAGCTGATGATCCTGTTGTTCTGTATGTGAGTGGCGGGAACACTCAGGTGATTGCTTATAGTGAAGGCAGGTATCGGATATTCGGTGAGACCATTGATATCGCTGTTGGTAATTGCTTGGACCGGTTCGCTAGAGTCTTGAAGCTCTCTAATGATCCAAGCCCTGGTTATAACATTGAGCAGGTAAAGCTCAAACCTTTTCAAGATTCTTAGTAAGACACATGGTGAAGATTCTTCAATTCAGTGTTTTGGTTTTGTTTGTTTGTTTGTCTAGCTTGCTAAGAAAGGAGGAAACTTTATCGATCTTCCGTATGCTGTTAAAGGTATGGATGTTTCGTTTAGTGGAATCTTGAGTTATATCGAAACTACTGCGGAGGAGAAGCTCAAGAACAACGAGTGCACACCAGCAGACTTGTGCTATTCTCTTCAAGTAAGGCTTATAGATGGTTAGTGTTGCCACATGAATGTAAAGTTTTGGACTTTTTGTTGATGATTGTTTCGTTGTTGTTGTTCTTGCAGGAGACGGTGTTTGCGATGTTGGTAGAGATCACGGAAAGAGCGATGGCGCATTGTGACAAGAAGGACGTTTTGATAGTTGGAGGTGTCGGGTGTAACGAGCGTTTGCAGGAGATGATGAGGACGATGTGCTCTGAGCGTGATGGTAAGCTGTTTGCTACGGATGACCGTTACTGCATTGATAACGGAGCGATGATCGCTTACACGGGTCTGCTCGCGTTTGTTAACGGTATTGAAACGCCGATTCAAGACTCTACCTTTACGCAGAGGTTTCGTACAGACGAGGTTCATGCGGTGTGGCGAGAGAAGGAAGAGCTGGGGCTTGATAAGAACGTTGCTACTAATTGATTGTGATATTTTTGATCCACTTTGAGAAAAAGAAGAAAGTCTCTCTACTTGATAAATTGTTATTTTGATAAAGTTTAAATGTGTTTTATCAGTGACATGTTGTGATTGTTTTTCTTATGATTTGAATGATTCTAGATTTGGTGTAACACATTCAAAGTGCAAGTAATTGGTTTTTTCTTTTGCTAAGGAAGTGCAAATTGTTTATGTTGCATTTCGATATTTGTATGCTTTAAAATAATTTTATATATTATAGGCGACATTTCTTCCGAGAATGGTGGAGAGATTGTTGGCATAGTCTTCCTTAATCATCATCATACGGAAACAACTGTAAAATACAGCAATTCCAAAAAGTAAGCACTTTTATTGTAATGTACAGTATGACCAATTAAAGGATACTTTTATAGAAAAGATCATTACGTGTCGAAAAGAAAAATCGGCGAAAAGAATAAAACTAGGCCGTGGACAGTGGAGCTTGTAGTTGGTGTTTTGTACTAATTGTTGTTGTTCAAATTCGGTTATTGTGTGGGAAAGACGAAAAACAAATAAAACTAGGCCGTGGAGTATGGTTTAAATTCGTTCTTATGATATAATGTTCATACTGTTCTTAATGTTAAGGGAACAAAAAGTTGTCATATTTGTGTGTGTATGTACGTAGAAAAATCTTGTAAAATATTCGAGATGTTTGCGTCACTCTTATAGTATGATTGCATTGAGACTGTTATTATTGCGATATCCATCTAGAATTGTAGACATATACACATGCGCGCGCACACATGCAATAACTAATCTATAACTCTGAAAAAAATAGTATAAAATTTTAAAAAGTTTTCAAAGATCGATCACGGATTTTTTTTTTTAAAAAAAGACAAGGGGAAAAGAGATCCAGAAAATGACAAAAGTTATTAGTAATCAAACCAATTAAAGAAAAGAAAAAGTATCTCCAAAGTCTTTCTTCCTCCATCTTCAAATTTCAAAAGGAGAAAAACAAATGATTTTAAGAACAAAAGTTCTCTAATCGTAATTATCGGTGTGTCCAGATTCTTTGTTCCCAAAATAATGTACTTGGCTACTATGGTATTCGTCTTACAAAGTCGAAATGATGCACTGAATTAATGAAATTTTTTTATTGATAAAACGATTATTCGGAAAAAATCTAAAATTATAATGATTTACAATTATATACCCACACAAAAATACGTAAGAAAACAAAAAAGTAAGTAGTAAAGTATAGAAGTTTGTATCAAATCAGAGAGCATAACATCATTAAGATATCAAATTAGATGAATGTTGGAGTTCAAGTCAACATTGGATTCTTCTAATAGTCAAACAGTGGTGTTCTAAGTTCTAACCCCAAGTTAGTTTTGAAGCATGAACTAACAAACAGTATTTCTACAACTAATAATTAAATAAGCTCAAGTCTCTTAATTATCAGTTTACTTTCTATAGTCTACAATTGATTAGCATACAAAGCAAAAGCTAGTGGAATGATTGTCCTCTAAATCTCGATATTATCATTGACTTTTTTGAATCGTATAAAATATCTAGTAATCATTCTAGAGCATTACTAGACATATAGATCGAAGCAAAAGATTCTTTAATCAACTATCTTCATCCAAAAATTAAAACTCGTTTCTAGGGAGACTATAGATAGATATCGAAAACAAACCGTATAGTGAAAGTGTATGTGCCTGCATGAGTAAACAGGTGCACGTGGCACGTACAGAGAATGCGAAGGAGTGGTGACAAAGAAGAAGAGGACGATCCGAGTTTCAAAATGATTCCAAAAGTTATGACTAAAGGCCAAAAGTTAAGTGCCATATCTCCAAACATGAACTTCAACTACACTCGTTAGATCGTTTTCTCACATTAAAGCCGCTCTACACTTTTACCCATTAAGTTAGATATTGCGGATTTTGCACGTTACACGAATATCTTGATAAATTTGCGATTTTGCAGAGTTTTTGTAATAAAATCCACATAATTTTGGGGTTTTCTAGTCTAATGAATTTTTTTTGGTCGCAATATAGTTACTGATTTTCTGCTAATACTTGCTCATTCCTTGTAAAAATCACTTAAAAGTTACGATGACAATATCATTTTGGGCTGAAACTATTCAGTTCGGTCTAAAAAGATGATTATGCATCTAGAAAGTACATTTTGTTTTAAATCAAAATTTGTGATACAGAAGTATACTAAAAATGTTGCAAAAAAAATCTGCCTAAATCATAAACTAATGCAAGAAAGTGATATAAACCAAGATCCCGAATAATATATTTACTTATTATTTATTTTAAACCCTAGTTACATTTGAAGAAAACAACACATCTTCACTTACAAATGTGAACATTAACTGTTTTCCAAATCACCAAAAAAAAAGTCATCAAGATTTGGCCTTCCTTTTCAAAAGCAGTACACGTCTCTATCTCTCTCTCTCTTGAGTTGGAGACACAGAGACAGTGTATTCAATGCGTTGCTGTCTTTTCCACTTTTCACCAGCTAAGCTCTGTTCTTCCATCTCCCTATTCTCTCCAAAACAAGTAAAATTCTGCAGAAAAAACAAAACTTTGATTCACGAGTGTTGAAGTAAAAGTTTCCAATTCCGAGAAACAAACAGATAATTTCCCGGCCTAGATTCTGAAGTTAGGCCCCTCTCTAAAACTTTCCATTTTCTCTTCGTCTAGCTAAACGAGAATCAAGAAGAGAGAACCTCCAAGAAAACAGAGTACTCTGCTCCATAAAGTTTCGTACTTTCTTTCAAAATTTCATTCCTTTACTACTTTTCAAGACAAAAAGTAGAAGAACTCTATAGACAGAGCAGAAGAAATCAGAGACATTTAGTTAAGAGGTTACGAGAATATTCAAGAATGGTTGCCTTATGTGCCACGTTTCTTGTCCTTCTCTCAATCTTTCTTTCATTTCCACCAACTGTCCGAGGAAATGCAGAGTTAAAAGCCCTAATGGAGCTCAAATCGTCGCTTGACCCTGTAAACAAGCTTCTCCGATCATGGACGTTCAACGGCGACCCATGCGACGGATCTTTCGAAGGAATTGCCTGCAACCAGCATCTGAAAGTCGCCAACATATCTTTACAAGGGAAACGTCTCACCGGAAAACTGTCTCCGGCGGTTGCAGAGCTCAAATGCTTGTCAGGTCTTTACTTACATTACAATAGCCTCTCCGGAGAGATACCTCAAGAGATCACAAATCTCACGGAATTAACAGATATCTATCTCAATGTTAATAACTTCTCCGGTGAGATTCCGGCAGAGATCGGCTCCATGGCTGGCTTGCAAGGTTAGTAGTATCCACTAAACTTTTCAATTTTTTTCTCTGCCGGTTTATTCTAAAACCTGGTTTAGATTAGTTTGTAATCAGTTTGATTTGTTGTGTTGTGTTGTCTTTTGTTGCAGTTATGGATCTTTGCTGCAACAGCTTAACAGGGAATATACCAAAAACCATTGGATCCTTGAAGAAACTAAATGTGTTGTCTCTGCAACACAACAAACTAACCGGAGAGGTTCCTTGGAGCTTAGGGAACTTGAGCATGTTAAGTAGGCTTGACTTGAGCTTCAACAATCTCTTAGGAACAATCCCAAAAGCCCTAGACAACATTCCTCAGCTTGACACTCTTGACTTGCGCAACAATACTCTCTCTGGCTTTGTTCCTCCTGGTGAGTGATATGTTTCTTGAAATGTCTTTTGTAAACCTTATCTCTCTGTTTCTTGACTCTGCTTTTAAAATTCTTGTGAAAAGGTCTCAAGAAGTTAAACGGAAGATTCCAGTTTGAGAACAACACCGGTTTATGTGGCATCGATTATCCTTCTCTTAGAGCTTGTTCTGCTTTCGATGATGCGAATATCGAACAACTCAAGCAGCCTCCAGGTGAAGTAGACACTGATAAATCAACTCTCCACAACATTTCCGAGACTGTATATCTTCAAAGTCATTGCAACCAAGAACACTGCAAGAAGTCATCATCAAGACTCCCACAAGTTGCTTTGATCTCAAGCGTTGTTACGGTAACTATAACTTTGATCGGTGCCTGTTTATTGACCTTCTTTCGCTACAGAAGAAGTAAGCAAAAGATAAGCAACACAGCTGAGCCTTCCGAGGGAAGACTTAGCGTAGATCAACAGCAAAAAGATCTCCGTGCATCGCCTCTTATGAGTCTTGCATACACCAAAGAATGGGATCCACTCGGAGATAGCAGAAACGGAGCTGAGTTTGCACAAGATCCTCATCTCTTTGTTGTTAATAGCAGCTTCAGGTTTAACCTAGAAGAGGTTGAATCTGCAACACAATGCTTCTCAGAGTCTAACTTATTGAGCAGAAACAGCTTTACTTCGGTTTTCAAAGGAACCCTCAGAGATGGTTCTCTTGTAGCTATCAGAAGCATCAACATAAGCAGTTGCAAGAATGAGGAAGTCGAGTTCATGAACGGTTTGAAGCTTTTATCTTCGCTTTCGCATGAAAACTTAGTGAAGCTGCGAGGATTCTGCTGTTCTAGAGGCAAAGGAGAGTGTTTCCTCATCTATGATTTTGCTTCAAAAGGAAAGCTCTCGAACTTTCTTGATTTACAAGAACAAGAAACCAGTCATGTTCTTAATTGGCCTGCAAGAGTCTCTATCATCAAAGGAATTGCAAAAGGTTAAACCTTTATCACTTCCTTGCGTTACAAGAAACTGAGTTGCAGAGAAAAAAATGTGTATTAAGACAAAATAATTTTGCAGGTATTGCCTACTTGCATGGAAGTGATCAACAGAAGAAGCCTACGATTGTTCATAGAAACATCTCTGTCGAGAAGATCCTACTCGATGAGCAATTTAACCCGTTGATCGCTGATTCGGGTCTTCACAACCTTCTAGCAGACGATTTAGTCTTCTCAGCACTCAAAACAAGTGCAGCCATGGGATACTTAGCTCCAGAGTACGTGACAACCGGAAAGTTCACTGAGAAAACAGACGTTTTTGCCTTTGGAGTCATCATTCTACAGATACTCTCAGGCAAGCTAATGCTTACAAGCTCGCTGAGACTTGCAGCTGAAAATGGAGAGCATTGTGGTTTCATGGATGAGTATCTCCATGGAGAGTTTGATAAACCAGAGGCGAGTGCGTTGGCGAGGATTGGGATAAGCTGTACACAGGAGATTCCAAACAACAGACCCAATATAGAGACACTGCTTATGGAGATAAAATGTATGAAGAGTGTGAATGAGTCTGGTTTTTAGTTTGTGTTTGGAGTAAAATGGTTTCACAAGAACCGGGTTGGTTTATATGTTTGTTTATAGATTTGCAATCAGAAGTGAAGCCTCCTAATTACGTAGATAATATGACATCAATTGGATAAATGTTGATTACGGGCTTCACAGAATTGATAGGAGAGTAAAGTCTAATGCACACATGTAAACCTTTAAAAGCCCACATTTTTGTTAGTGGTTTGCTACATATTCAAGGTTAACGAAGATATCCGGAAAATTTAAAATACCCGGAAACAAAATTTTATTACAATTTTGCACAAGCCTAAACCAATGTAGCTCTACAAGACTATAACTTGTTGACCAAAAAAAAAAAAACTCATTTTTTTTGTGAAATATAATAACACAATTTCTCGTTTATTATTATTATTATTAGGATCAACACAACTTGGATATATATCTAGTTTTTACTTCAAATAATTATTTTCTCATTTTCAAATTAGTTGTCGTTTTGTAAAATGTATATACAATTATTTGAATGTATTTGGATATGTTTTGACTTTAATACATCTAAATATTTGTAGATATATTTTTCCAAAACGGCAAGTAATTTGAAACAGATATATATATATTGTCAACTGTAATCTCGTGAAACACGTTGATGCATAAACACGTGGAGTAGGTAAAGTGAAGATGTCGAAGAAGATTGTAAGAAAACTTCGGGTGACCAATATCAAATGACATGATTCTAATATATTGTTTAAAAATATCTGTGTAAAATAAAGGAAGAAAATAGAAGGATCATCTAATATATAGTACTGTACAACTTGTATTTCTAATATATGGCAGTCACACTCACTAGAGCGAAAATATACTTGTCTAAAATAGTAATTTTTCAAAAGAGCCAAAATTATTAAGATAATTATACTGAATAACTAAGGACCCAAACCAGATTGTAAGAAAATAACTCAAAAGGAAAAAGGATCCTAATAATGGGTATACAATTATAAATGTATAATATAAAATAATATAGACCAAAGCTTTGAAAAATATGTATTAAAATGAAAAAAGGCCAAGTTTAACAATCTGATTTTCGTCACCTCCGGAGGATATATTCTGTTTCTAGATGCATGGCCCATGGAAATTTAATACTTCCTCCTCCCCCGCTAATAACTAACCTGAACGATCAACGACTTCTTCTACTCGACGACTAATAATTAACTTAATATTGTAATCCTTCACGAATAATTAACCTGAAGCCACCCTTCACACACTTTCACAGTATACATATACGGACGTTCATGAAGAAAGAGGAAGAGCATCTCACTGAAAAAACTTCCAAGAACACTTTAAAAAAAAACAACTGAAATACAACAAACACTTCTTATTTTGGCTCTTTTTGGAAGACTTTCTATTTTTGTGATCTGCTTATTTCGATAATTTCAAAAAAAATGGGCCAAAAGTTCACGCTTTTATGTTCCCGTTGTTCGCTTTTGGTCATATGACTCCGTACTTGCATCTAGCCAACAAGTTAGCTGAGAAAGGTCATAGGGTTACTTTCTTGCTGCCCAAGAAAGCTCAGAAACAGTTGGAACATCTCAATCTGTTCCCAGACAGCATCGTCTTTCACCTATCACTGTTCCTCATGTTGATGGTCTCCCTGCTGGCACCGACACCGTGTGCGATATCCCCGTCACGTTGTGGAAGTTCTTCACCGAAGCCTTTGATCTGACACGCTCTCAGGTCGAAGCCGCAGTTCGTGCCTTGAAACCGGACCTGATCTTGTTCGATCTTGCTCACTGGATTCCGGAAGTGGCAAAGAGCATGGAGTCAAGAGTATGATGTACAACATAGTATCAGCCAACACTATAGCTCATGACCTTGTCCCTGGTGGTGAATAGGAGTTCCTCCACCTGGTTATCCTTCATCAAAGGTCTATACCGCGCACATGATGCTCACGCCTTGTTGTCCTATCCGTCTACTACAAGGAAGTTTATTTTAGGGTCACCACAGGTTTTACAAACTGCGATTTCATTTCGAATAGGACATGCGAAGAAATCGAAGGTAAATTCTGCGAATATCTAGCGCGTCAATACCAAGAAGAAGATTCTCTTGACGGGACCAATGCTTCCTGAGCCAGACAAGAGTAAACCACTTGAAGATCAATGGAATCATTGGCTGAACGGGTTTGGACCAGGCTCTGTAGTGTACTGTGCCCTAGGCAGCCAAATCACTCTTGGAGAAAGACCAATTCCAAGAACTGTGTTTAGGAATGGAACTCACAGGTTTACCATTTTTTGTAGCGGTAAGCCACCAAAAGGAGCAACGATTCAAGAAGCGTTACCAGAAGGGTTCGAGGAGAGGGTGAAGGGACGTGGCGTGGTTTGGGGAGGATGGGTGCAGCAACCACTGATATTGGCTCATCCATCAGTAGGTTGCTTTGTGAGCCATTGCGGTTTCGGGTCAATGTGGGAGTCTCTAATGAGTGATTGCCAAATAGTCTTGCTTCCATATTTGGTTGATCAGGTTCTCAACACGAGATTGCTGACCGAGGAACTTGAGGTCTCCGTAGAGGTGCAGAGAGAAGAAACAGGATGGTTCTCAAAAGAAAACCTCAGCGATGCGACCATGTCTGTGATGGAGAAAGATAGCGAGATAGGGAACCAAGTGAGGAGGAACCACGCCAAATTGAAGGAGATTTTGGTTAGTCCTGGATTTATTAACCGGTTACACCGATAAGTTTGTTGACACTTTGGAGAATCTAATCAGTGATACAAAGCTTCAGTGAAAATTATATACTTGTGATTTGTGAAACAAGTAAGCTGCACCTGTTTCAAAGTATAGCTCTCTCCTTTGACTCTTTCCACGTAAAGAAATTTCCATCAAATAAGGAAAAAGAAAAGAGTGTGTGAATCTCTTTGTATTGTCTTTTTCTACATGCATATTTCGGTTTTTCTATACTTTAAACGTTGTCGTTGTCCCAAAAAAATAATATATATATATTAAAAGTTAACAATATATATATATATATATTCTTAAGAGGATTAAAATATATTCTTCAAGAGATTAAATTACATTGAATTGAATGGTTAGAAAATGACATGCGCCAAGCATGAAATTAGAAAACGTGGAAAGATTGATTAACAAGTATAACGATAAAAAAAAAAAAAAAAAAAAAAAAAAAAAAAAAAAAAAAAAGTATATATTGAAACATTTCCTACGTATGCAAAGTCTCGCATAGTTCACGTGTTGAGTGTCACTGCACTTTATCTGTAAATTAAATAACAGACGCAAAGAGTAATTATTAATAGTTTCATTTAAAATCTCAATCTTTTTAAACCTCTGTTTGTTCTCCCGTATTTCTTCCATATACTTTCTCCACGATATTATTGCCTTTCACATACTCGATCTTGATGTAAGCGATCATCTCGTCTGAGCAGTGGCGGACCTAGAGATATATATTATCTGTGTCAAAAATCAACTAAAGGTGTCATTGAGGGTGTTCGAACCTAGGTTCCTTGTATGTAGGTCCGCCTTTGCGTCTGAGTATTCTCGTAACGGCAATGAAAATGACCGCGTCGACTTGAACGTACATCGATGTCGTAAACTCGTAATGTAGTCTTGAACGTACATCAGCTCAACACAACTACTTCCCATAAATGGAAATGATCTCTAAACTCAGCACTCTGATTAACTTGACACTATACGATAAAGGTAAATCACACCATTAAAATAAGAGTAATTCTTTAGTTAGAGAAAAAATCAAGTATCCATAGTCCGTACCAAAGCTTGACACTATATATATACCCATCCCTACACACTCAATTCATCGCTCTCATAAGTCTCATCACATATTCCTTGAATCAGAGATACGAAACCCCAAAGGTTCACAGTTCAAATCACCTCTCTCTTTCTCTAGGAGGGATTTGTACGTTTATTTTTGTTCATTATAGAAGGAATTTGTACTTTCTCAGCCTCTAAGAGTTTTGTTTTGGTCAAGTTCTCAGCCCCTAAGAGTTAGTTTTGCTAAACATTAAATATTGGATATAGGTTCCTTGAAAAAAATCAAATTATATGTTATAACCCGCAATTCTCTCAAAATAATAAGGGTTATTATTAACATTGATAATTATTGAATTTTATAATAATAATAATAATAAATTACAAAATTTGAAAATAAAAGGTTGCATTTTGATTGCTATAATTTACACATAGAATGATTTCAAATCCAAACAAACTCTATCATGTCAAATTCATTGAACAAAATCTATTAAACTTGAATAACACATGATTTTAATTGATTTATGCAAATCCTTAATTGAATAACACGAGATTTCAAACTCTTTTAATAAAGAGATTCTAAATACAAGATCCAAGAACACTAGATTTTAAACTCTTTTAGTGAAAGTATATTAAATACTTAAACCAATAACACCAAATTTTGTTAGAATATTTAAAAACTATGATTAAATAACAATGGAATAGGATTTAAACTCTATTTAAAACCATAAACCAATAACACTCCCTAAGTATTGATGTATTATTAATTTATTATCCCCGTGATTTGATAAAAATTATGAATAAAGTTACTACAAAATAATGGAGTAGGTAAAAGAGAAGATCAGCGACTAAATATTAACTTCTACTAATCGACGACTAATAATTAACCTGATATTGTAATCCAGCACGAATAATTAACCTAAAGCACCCTTCACACACTTTCACAGTATATATATATACGGATGTCCATGAAGAAAGAGGAAGAAGCATCTCAGTGCAAAAACTTCTAAGAGCAATATTTTTTATTATCTCAAATACAACAAATCCTTCTTACTTTGGCTCTTTTTGAAGACTTTCTATTTTCGTGTTCTGCTTATTTCGAAAATTTCAAAAAATGAGCCAAAAGTTTCACGCTTTTATGTTCCCAATGTTCGCTTTTGGTCATATGACTCCGTACTTGCATCTAGCCAACAAGTTAGCCGAGAAAGGTCATAGGGTTACTTTCTTGCTTCCCAAGAAAGTTCAGCAACAGTTGGAACATCTCAATCTGTTCCCAGACAGCATCATCTTTCACCCTATCACTGTTCCTCATGTTGATGGTCTCCCTGCTGGCACTGACACCGTGTCCGATATCCCCATCACGTTGTGGAAGTTCTTCACCGAAGCCTTTGATCTGACACGCTCTCAGGTCGAAGCCGCGGTTCTTGCCTTGAAACCGGACCTGATCTTCTTCGATCTTGCTCAATGGATTCCGGAAGTGGCAAGAGAGCATGGAGTCAAGAGTATGATGTACAATATAGTATCAGCCAACACTATAGCTCATGACCTTGTCCCTGGTGGTGAATTTGGAGTTCCTCCACCTGGTTATCCTTCAACAAAGGTCATATACCGCGCACATGATGCTCACGCCTTGCTGTCCTTATCCGTGTACTACAAGGAAATTTATTTTAGGGTCACCACAGGTTTTACAAACTGCGATTTCGTTTCGAATAGGACATGCGAAGAAATCGAAGGTAAGTTCTGCGAATATTTAGCGCGTCAATACAAGAAGAAGATTCTCTTGACGGGACCAATGCTTCCTGAGCCAGACAAGAGTAAACCACTTGAAGATCAATGGAATCATTGGCTGAACGGGTTTGGACCAGGCTCTGTAGTGTACTGTGCCCTCGGCAGCCAAATCACTCTTGAGAAAGACCAATTCCAAGAACTGTGTTTAGGAATGGAACTCACAGGTTTGCCATTTTTTGTTGCGGTGAAGCCACCAAAAGGAGCAACGATTCAAGAAGCGTTACCAGAAGGCTTCGAGGAGAGGGTGAAGGGACGTGGCGTGGTTTGGGGAGGATGGGTGCAACAACCACTGATATTGGCTCATTCATCAGTGGGTTGCTTTGTGAGCCATTGCGGTTTCGGGTCAATGTGGGAGTCTCTAATGAGTGATTGCCAAATAGTCTTGCTTCCATATTTGGTTGACCAGGTTCTCAACACGAGATTGCTGACCGAGGAGCTTGAGGTTCCGTAGAGGTGCGGAGAGAAGAAACAGGATGGTTCTCTAAAGAAAACCTCAGCGATGCGATCATGTCTGTGATGGAGAAAGATAGCGAAGTAGGGAATCAAGTGAGGAGGAACCATGCCAAATTGAAGGAGATTTTGGTTAGTCCTGGTTTATTAACCGGTTACACCGATAAATTTGTTAACACTTTGGAGAATCTAATCAACGATACAAATCTTCAGTGAAGATTATATACTTGTGAAACAAGTATACGCTGGAGCTGTTTCAAAGTACTGTTCTGTATAGCTCTCTGGACTCTTTCGACATAAACAAATTTCCATCAAATAAGGAAAAGAAATGGGTGTGTGAATGTGAATCTCTTTGTATTGTCTTTTTCTATATGTATATTTCGATTCTTCTATACTTTAAACGTTGTCGATGTCCCAAATATATTAAAAGTTAAATATCATATATATTAACAATATATTCTTCAAAATATTAAAATACATTGAATTATTAGAAAATGACGTGCGCCAAGCGTGAAATTTGATCAACAAGTATAAAGATTAAAAGGAAAAAACAACAACAAGTATATATTGAAACATTTCCGATCGCATAATTGATGCGTTGAATGTGATTGCACTTAGTTCTAAACTTCTAATATAAATTGACTAAATAAATTTGGTTATACGTTTTTCTTATAAGAATTAAGGGTGTAAATGGTGGTGCATGCATATGTAGAAAATAGAATTAGTGAAATAAGAATGAGAAGCATAAGTAAAATTTCTTGGAGTATGGATGAACCCTCTCAAGCTTGCTCCATAGGTCAATTCGCATCCCCTTCCTCCTCCATTATAATCTCCAGGCCTCATGTTCTCAATTGGACAAAGGCAACTTTTTCATATTTGTTAAAGATAAACTTATAGAAATTATTTTTATTTGTAGGAAGTAGTTGTATCAACATAATACCCATATATACAAGTTTTTGACTTTTGATACAAGAAAGTGAGAGTAAGTAATACCCAAAGTGTGAATATATTAATTTTATTTGATAAAATAGAGGAAGTGAGAATAAAAGAAGTTTCCCACCTGTATTTTTACTCTAACACTACCAACCATTCACACCCAAAGTGTTTTTTCTCCACATGCACACACTCGGGACAAAAATAAAATTAAATCATAATAAGCCAAGAATATGATCTAATGTAAGTAAAAAGTGGGACCCGTTCATATTTTTACACGAACTGTGTCATCGTAAGTGTGCGTCGTGTCGTATGACAGACTCATGAGTCCAACACTTTTTTCTTGGTTCTTACTTTCTCACAATCTAAAATATTTTTGTCTTATTGTTAGAATTTCAAAAATCAGAAGATGAAAGTTGGTTGGCATTATATTTCTTATTCAGATATCGTAGTTCATCCTCTATTTCTCTCTTTTTTTTTTTTAAATATGTTTTATGTTTTGTGGTCAAATGAAGTAATACGTTTCAGTTGATCATAGGATCATCTTGCATTCTTGCTTTATTGTTTTTAGTATTTATTTAGTTATATAAAAATCTATTCATGAACATTCCTTACAAAAAGAATAAAAGAATATATTCCGCCACGGCGCCACCCTAACTTTATGCTACAGTACACTAATTTAACAGCAATGAAAATGACCGCGTCGACTTTATGTCGTAAACTCGTAAGGTAGTCTTATAATTGGATGAGAAAGGAAATTTCGTAGCTTTTTCTCCACAATATGGACTTTCGAAAAATATTAAGTGGAGGCTGATACATTCCTTTCTACGTGAATAGTGTATCCATGTGTCTGTGTGTGGGATTGTGCGTGAACATACGTTGGCTGTAGGCAATTCAGGCAAGTTTATAAGTCTTGATTTCTCTCTAACAACCTTAGAAGTTGTTTTGTCCTTTTGTTGTTTGTATTTCTTGGCACAACCAATAAGTTTAGTATTCTCTAACAAATGGTTGAATCTTGTAATGGTACTATGACGTTTTCATTAGAAAGAGTGGTAATCAATTTTTCTCCCGTCATTCAGACACATATTTATTATTTGCAACAATAAATTTACGTAATTATGTTTGTTACATTGTACAGATATTAAAACACAATTAGTGAATAAAATTATGATTTAGTCTACTGATTTGTAGTTAATCGGCCTATATAATTAATAAAATGTCTCTATCTGTACCTAAACTAAATACTGTAATCAGCAAGTTAAATTTATTACTCTTCTTTTTTCGTTATTAAAAATCCTACAACTGAATATGTTTATTAATCTACATGTGCTTAAAAATCCTACCGTAATCTAAATATAATCATCACTTATTATTTTGTTTTTCTTTTGTAGGAAATTAATATTCGATCCATTTGAATAATGCAGATAAATATTCATACTTATCAGTTAAGTTTTCTAAAATACACTTGAAGTTTTTCTTTTAATTTTTGTTTTATATTTCATATTTGTAACACAACTCATCAAGATTTCGAAGGCGTTTCCCTCACGTATATGACTAACAAGTGTAACCGCGTTCTTGCGTCATCTCAACACAACTACTTCCCATAAATGGAAATGATCTCTAAACTTAGCACTCTGATTAACTTGACACTATACGATAAAAAAAAATCACACCATTAAAATAAGAGTAATTCTTTAGTAAGAGAAATATCAAGTATCCATAGTCCGTACCAAAGCGTATCTCTATATATATACACATCCATACACACTCAATTCATCGCTCTCATAAGTCTCATCACATATTCCTTGAATCATAGATACGAAACCCCAAAGGTTCAATTCTCTCTCTCTCTCTCTCTACATTTTTTCTCCTTCATTTCTTCTAATTTGCTAACTCAATTTTGTTCGGAGATGTATAATATTAATGATTATTCGTCTGTTAACATACAATTATATAAACTGATCTTCTTTAGGAAATCCTGACATTTGTCTTCCTTATACGATAATATTATTTTTCAAAAAAATACAATGCTTGTATTTGATTGTTATAACTATTTCGTCCATTTTACTGAGCCGGTCTTTGGATATTTCAGGGAACAATCATGTCAAGGAAAATGGCATTAATGGGTAGTAACGTTGGAGACGAGTGGGATGATCAAGCCCATGACAATGTTACGAAGATACAAGTAGCTCACGATTTTATGGGTATCAACTTCGTCAAGTTTGAGTACGTTGACGGCACGGAGAATGCTGTAACCAGATACGCTCACGGCAGGATTCGAAAGTCTTCACAAACCGAGGAGGTCCCTTAATTACCTAACTAGTGAAATTTTAATTTTAGATAATTCCTTATTCAATTTCAATTTTTCACTGATCAATTTTTTCTTCATTTGTTTTTGTTGGCAGTTTGAGCTCACATCAGATGAGTACATTACAGAAGTGGAGGTACATTCGGATTACATAGGTCCTGTTGGCCAAATCATGATGCTTAGATTCAAGACAAACAAGCGAACATCTAAGGCTTATGGACAGGAGTACGAAAAACCCCTTCATAGCCTTAGAAAGAAAGTGTTTGCGGAGAAAAATAAAAAGATTGTTGGATTCCATGGCAAATATGGAGAACGTATTCTTCACGATTTTAGTGTCTATGTCGCGCCAATCAACAAGGCACCAACTCTTAAGCAGCTATTTTATGGTTACCTTGATCAGATTAAAAATAAGTTTGTGTAGTTCTTTCTCTCTCTTCCCAATCTCCTTAAGTTAACGATATATGTCTTATGTTGTCATTGTGCTTCTTATGTCGGTGTGACTTCTTCCTCATATGCTGCTTCTAGTATCCTTACCTAGGCAGGTGTCTTATGTTATGTCGTTCTTCTGATGGAATAAATTAAAGTAGTAAGTTTGTATTTAGTGATGGCATCATCTTAATTGTTGCTTTATTGTTCTCTTTATATTACTTTATTATTTATAGAAATTGTACGTTGAAATTTTATATTTTTGAGCTTTGTAGCCTATACTATTTCAAGCGGATTCCAAAAATTTGTAAGACAATGATAGAAAAATGTGTATATTCTTATCGAGTATTAACAATAGAAATATTGATTAAAAATATGAAATTGGATTGCAGTAGTTAAATCTATAAACTATTAGGGGAATTTTTAAATTTATGGGGTGTCACTTGAATTCCTAACTGGCACTAATTAGGAGCTATCCCAATACTAGGAATCGAGCAATAATAATCCCAAGACGTACAATGCCTGAAGAAAACACCACTCTCTTTAATTTATGTGTATAAGTCACTCGCCAGAAAACATAAGTTAATTGTATCACATAGTTTTATTAATAATAAAGGTTGGAAACAAAACTCAATGTTAAACTTTTTTTTTTTGATAAAACATTAATGTTGTGAAACTATTTAACCGAAATCAGTTATTGCAAAAATTAAACATTTTCACATAACAAATTATGAAATTTCTTCCAAGTGCCTAAATACAAACTTACTGCTTTAATTGAACAAATCCCCTTTGTAAAAAGTGGGTCCCATTTTCAGATTCTTAAGAAATATAGTACTCTAGTATATTTGAATTACGACTGTAATTTATTTTTTGTTTGGTTTTTATAATTCTGATTGTTTGGCATCGAAATGATCAATCCTGGCGTATTTTAATATACTTCCCTGGATATATAGTTGGCAGAAGCTCTAAACTCCCATGAAGTTGTATATTTTTGTGTGTGCATAATTTGAAGTAGCAAAGTTCTCATTTGTAGATGACGATGTAATATCTTCGTAATATCTTTCCTCGTATCAGAGCTAAAAACAAAATCTATTTGTGTCGCATATTTAATCAATAGTATAAAAACAGAATAACTCTTTATGGGATGTTAAAACGAACTTTAACACCGACTCACACTGTTGGAGCCTGAATTCACATAACATACCAGTTAAAGCCCGTCAATTTCAGGCCCGTTTCAAACAGAATGAGTCACTGAAGTTTTTTGTTTTGTGGTATGAGAGGCTGACATCTAATCAAGACACTCATATTTTAAGAACTAATCAAATTAATTCATAATAACAATAAGATGTTGGTGTGTTTAGGCATTTTTTTGCTGTAACTTCGTTTAATAGATATTATATGTCATTTCTAAGAGTTGGGGTTCGACATTTAACTTAAATTAGTTATGTCCTGTTTGTGGAATCGATTCCAAATGCATTACAACAGGTGACACAATCGTGTACTTGGAGGAGGTTTACAATTCGGGTTTAAAACTCGATTATATCAATGATATAATTTTTGTCCATATTCATACATAATTATATATATATTGAAAACTAAGCACTAAATTCTCACTCTAAAATGAGAATTGAAATCTTGTGTTAAAACAGACAACTAAGTTTCGGATTTCTCTCTCAGATCCGAGTCCCTACACAGTTTCCACTTTCCACCATATCGTTTTGGGTTCGTTTCAAAATCTATATAGTGTATCTTGTTATTCCCAAAATAGAAAGTTTATCCATCCAAAACCCTGGTTCCGGTCTGGTTTATACTTTGAAGTAGACGATTTCTTTTCTTTTTTGAAAAAATGATTATGCTGACGATTTTCCTTTGTCTGCACTCTGCAAAATAACAACTAATAGTAGCAAAATTAAATTTAAATGTTAGCTAACACTTAAACCAACACTGTAACAACAATTTTTGGGGACTGTTTGAAGAGAGACAATTGTTTGGAGAGAGACAAAATCAAGAAAAACATAAGAAAAATATAAGGAAAAATTAAGCAAAATATAAGGAAAAAATAAGAAAAATCAATCTAAGGATAAGTCATAAATTTTGACTCCAACAGATTTGAAAGTTAAAGAATTGCTTTTGACTTCAATGTTATTAATAGGTACTCATCAATTTTTGTACAAACTAGCAGGTCAATAGTGGTAGAAGGAGCCATTTCTCAAACATCAATTTTTGGAGGACCCCAAGTCGACCTGACAATCAGAATTTGGAAGGTAAGAATTTGTTTGGATTGTTTTAATTTCTAAATATTATTATTACATAAAATGTTTCTAACCGATAAATAAACAAAATTGTAGGATCAAAGACATGGGAATTGGTGGTTGGGCATCATTCACGATGACATTCTTGAGTCGGTTGGATACTGGCCGGCACTACTTTTCACCCTCCAAACGAACCACGCTGAGAGGATAGACCAATTCCAACCGGTCCTAAACCACGAGCCATATTCATCTCCCTACTACTGAGCTAAGGCGGTCAACAGTTCGTTTTTTTTATTATGGAAGGCCGGAGCAGCTCACGTCGAGAGCAGTTCATCTTATGTTGGATTCTTTTATTCTAGTTTGTAGTTTCAGCTTGTTTTTTATGGTATAGTTATTTTATTTTGCTTTTATTTTAGAAAAATACAAGAATAATATATTAGACTGTCAGTATATGTTTTATTGAATTCTTGATAGAAACATGTTCAGCCTAAAATCAAACTCAGATTTCATTCAGTAAGATGTGAGATGATTACCTTTACATCTCTTTTACTTTGACCTGAATTATCACTACGTTTAAGTTTCTTACAAGACAAGCCTAACCCAGTTTTTATGCGCTATCTTTGATGAAATGCAAAATTTGTTTACATGATGTAATAATATCATCGTTATTTCCTTTGTCAAAAATAAAATAATATCATCGTCATTTTTCTGAAAGATGATGAGTCTGTACTACGGTTGGCAACAACATCGCTTGGGTTCTTTTGGAGAACGAGAAGCACAGTGCCCAGCATGTCTATAGCCAAAATAGTCACAATCATAATTACATTTATAATCATCATACCCATCTGAACACTGAGCAATGCAATGGTCATATGAGAAACTTTCTATCTCTGCACATACAAAAACCGACATAATTAAATATTGATTATCGTAACCGTTATATATATGCATGTCTCTTTATATAACATGCCGAAATTATACAATTTTAACGAAAGTTTTGAACGCATGTCTCTCTATATGCACACACAAAACACATGTTCTGTACAAATTCTACATGCTGAGCTATTGTTTTTTTTTTTTTCAAATTATCGACGCAAGTAGAAAACAGTACGAAATTAAAATTTAAACATACCTGAAGCCAAAATTTTGGGATTGGAAAACGAAATTGTTAATAATACTACCATGAAACAAGTCACCATTTTTTTTGCAATACCCATAGTAACTTCTTTATGAATTCTTTTGAGAAATAAAGATCTTATTTATCTGAATGTTAAAGAGAGGCTTTATATATAGTTTTGGTCTTTCATTTTTTTTTTTCAACATATAACTTGCAAATATGGAAAATATCGTTAAAGAAACGTTAGTGACTTGCAAATATGAAAAAAGAAATATAGTCTTTGATTCAATTCCCATATTAGCAAGTCAACAAAGTTAGTATATGGCAAAATAACATTTCTATGAATATTTGCTTGTATGTATCATTTAATATTACCAAATCAAAGTAAATCGAAAGTTTCAGAAACAGATCTGATATTTTTAAATAAAAGATAATTTAAATCCAAGAGTTTGGAAATTATGGGTTTTTTTTTTGGAAAATTTGTTAACATTAATGAAGTTTCCATATTTGCAATCAACAAAGATATATATGTGGCAAAAAATGATTTAATTTGAACATATGCTTGTATCAGTTGATATTCCCAGATCAAAGTGAAAATTTCGAAAATTAAGAAATTGCAATTTTGTGAAAGACTGAAAGATAATTTAAACTACAAAGTAGGCGGAGAAAGACAAAACCATTTTATCACTTATTCGAAGGATTCCGGTTTACAAGAAGGGTTTTCAATTTTGATTCGATTCAATTTTACTCCGGTTCAATTATTTTATTAACCATTTCCAGTCTCCGATTTGGGTTGATTGATATATTAAGAAAATTTAAAAAGATACTCCGAACAAATCTTTCGGGCTCTCAGCCGTATCTGAAACAAGACCAAGATGTAATTTACACATATACTCTCGGTCTCAGGATTATTTTAACAATAAACCTTCTCTTTACATAGAGTCCTCAACTTCTTATTTGTATCATGGGGTCTATACAACAATTTATCAAACCATATTCAACTCGTCTACTGTTTTGTATCAACATCCACACAACATACTTGTAGTTTATTATTCTTTATTTTATCGGATTTATTATAAATAAACACGAGAAACAAAAATGTATTGCTAAAATCGTTAAAATATTTGGAAGATGATAATTGATAAATCTGTATTACGGTTGGCAACAACATTGCTTAGGTTCTTGAGGAGAACGAGAAACACAATCCCCAGAATTTTCATAGCCAAATATAGAACAGTCATGTTGACATTGAAACCATCCGTACCGAAGCGTACACGGAGTAATGCAGTGGTCAAATGAGATTTTTTGTATCTCTGCACCTACACAAACCGACATAAATATTTGTCGTTAAATATCAATATAAAATTTATTAATTGTAAACGCTATATGCATATATGTATGTCCCTATATTATAACATGCCGAAATGATACAATTTTAACGAAAGTTTTTAATATATACACACATAAAAAGTTAAAAACACATGTTCTTTACAAATTCTACATGTTGAGCTATTGTTTTTTTTTTTCAAATTATTAACGCTAAGTAGAAAACAGTACTAAATTAAAATTTAAACATACCTGAAACCAAAATTTTGGGATTGGAAAACGAGATTGTTACTTTATTACACCCATTTGCTAACAAGTTTTTAGTTACCTTACTAACAAAAAGTATATCACCATGCTAACAAACATTACATTCGTTGCTAACAAACATCACATTATCTTGTTAACAAAGACTGTGTTACCTAATTAACAAAAATAATGACAGATTGTTGTTATTGAATTTGTTAGCAAGTAATAATTTGAATATTAACGTATAATTGTTTGAATGTTAGCATATAATGATTTGAATGTTAACATGATTTCACTAGTTTGGTTAATAAGTAATATTAGCAAGTAATGTTTAAATATTAGCATATAATGCTTTGAATGTTATACCATTTGTTAGTATTTGTTCACATGTAATGATTTACATCTTATATTATTTTATAAAAATCTATGTATTAATTAGATTAGTATAAATACATGTAAACATTAATCTAACAAATGATAGTTCATGTAGAAATATATTTAATCTGACAAATGATAATTCATAGGGGTATATATGTATGATTCCACTATATATATCTATATGAATCTAATTAATAACTATTTTAACTATATATTTAATTGTCAGATTATCTATGTATATTGCCTAAATTTACCCTTGTTAATAGAGAAAACGGTCAATAAAATGATGAACTTACACACTTTTGCCAAAACAAATACCAACTTTCATTAAACTAAACAAATCACTAACTTGTGTTGACCTAGCCAATTAGTATACAAATTTAGTCAACCAAATCTGGAGATTAATGAGTGTTAAGCGCCGTTTACTGTTCACGTTAAAACAAAACAGCGTCGTTCTGAAACAGATGAAACACACAAAAAACCAGTTATCCTTCTTAAATCCCTAATTTCCTTTTAGCAATTCAAAATTTCTGGTTTATTCTCTTCGCCGATTCTCGTTTTCTTTCTCTAATTCTCGTTCTTCTTTTATCTCTATCACTTTGCTTCTCTAGATCTTAAATTTCACCTCTGACGAAAAGGACGAAGTTAACACCACGGCGCAGGAAACGTGATGCTATTGAGGAAGATGATATCGATCAAGATGAGCGTGAGCCAATACCAGGAGATGACTGTGAGGCTATTGTTGATGATGTTGGTGATGAGGTAGCAGATGAGTGGTGTAGCTGTTCGAGAAGTAATTGTTGAAGGCCAATCTTTATCAAATTACTTGGAGATATTGCTAGCAATGACAATGAGGAGAATTATGACAGTGGAGACGATGTATGGAACGACGATACAATACCGGATCCTCTATCATCAGACGATGAGGAAGAGGAAGCAGAAAGGGAATCTCATGTGGATACAATACCACCTGATGAAATTCTAGCATTAGGCAAGACTTTTGGTTGTGCTTATGAGTTCAAGCAAGCGCTTCTTAGGTACTCTCTGAAAACTAGATATGATATTAAGTTATACATGTCTTTACAAAACAAGCTTGGTGCGGTTTGCTCTGACACAGAGTATGACTGTCAATGGAGATGTTATTGCTCCTACGAGAAGAGCAAACACAAGATGCAGATTAAGGTGTATGAGAATAAGCACATATGTGTCAGGTCTGGTTACTCAAAGATGCTGAAGAGTTCATCAATTGCTGAATTGTTTAAAGAAAGGCTGAGATTGAATCCAAACTGACGGCAAAGGAGATGGCTGAAGAAATCAAGAGGAACTATAATTTAATAGTTACTGATGAGCAATGTAGGAAAGCAAAGACAAAAATTACAAAGGAAAGAAGAGCCAGCCACGAATCACATTTTTCTCGAATTTGGGACTACGAAGCAGAGATCCTTCGGAAGAATCCAGGCACCATTACGGAGATTCAGACTATTCCTGGACCAACACCAGGAAGCAAGCAAAGGTTTGATCGTATGTATGTTTGCTTTGAAGCACAACGAGCAGCTTGGAAAACTACATGTAGACCTATCATAGGACTAGATGGTGCTTTTCTTAAATGGGATGTCAAAGGGCAATTGATAGCTGCGGTTGGAAGAGATGGAGATAACATGATTGTTCCTATTGCATGGGCAGTAGTAGAGATAGAAAACGATGTTAACTGGATTTGGTTTGTGGAACATCTTAAACGAGATTTAGGTCTTGGTGATGGCAGCAACATAACAATCATATCAGATAAGCAAAAGGTAAATTTGATTAAGTGTTTACTATAGTCTTTTTTTGCTTAGATATGATTCATACTTAAAGGTTTTGATTTATTTGCAGGGTTTGGTGAAAGCTGTTCACAATGAGCTTCCACAAGCTGAACATCGTATGTGTGCTCGACATATTCTAGGAAATTGGAAAAGAAATAGTGGTGATCCAGAGTTAGAGCGGCTATTTTGGAAAATAGCACGCAGTTACACTCAAGGAGATTATGCAGATAATATGGCAGCTTTGATGAGTTACAGCAGAGGTGCATATGATTCTCTACAGAAGACCAATCCTCCTACATGGTCTCGGGCCTTCTTTAAGGTTGGTTCATGCTGCAATGATAACTTGAATAATCTAAATGAGTCTTTCAATAAAACCATTCGTGAAGCTAGGAGAAAACCATTACTCGAGTTATTTGAGGACATTAGGAGACAATGTATGGTGCGTACTGCTAAGAGATCTATTATTGCAAATAGGCTCAAAACTAGATTCACGAAGAGAGCACATGCTGAAATTGAAAAGGCTATAGAGATGTCTAAGGAATGCATAAGGTATATGTCCACCGATGATTTGCATGAGATAGACTATCGTAATTGTGGATATAGTGTAGATATGCGTTTGAAAACGTGTGGCTGCGAGATGTGGCAGTTAAATGGAATTCCATGTCATCATGATGCTTGTGTTATCATAGCAAAAAAAACAGAAAGTTGATGATTATGTCTCGGAATATTTCACAACTCGAATGTGGGCCCAAAGTCCCAAACATATGAGCATAGTATTAAACCTGTGGAAGGTATGAAGCTGTGGCCGAGATTAAACAGGTTACCCGTCTTGCCACCACCAAATAGACTAGGAAACCGTGGTAGACCAAGTAACTACGCTAGGCGTAAAAGCATCAATGAAGCTACCTCTTCCTCTAAGAAGACCAAGTTAACCAGGGAGAAGCGTATCATGACATGCTCGAACTGTAGGGAAGAAGGAAACAATAAGTTATCATGTTCGGAACCTTCTGCTGAGCCTGAAGCTAAAAGACCAAGGGGTAGACCAAAGAAAAATCAGGTTATTTCTTCTCTAGAGTTTATATGCGCATTTAGAGTCTTGGAAGTTTTTTAAAAGACTGAAATAGTTGTTTAAATATTATACATTACTTGGTCTGTAGGAAGGAGGATCACACGGAGGAGCACAAGTAGGATCACAAGGATAATTCAGCATCCTCTTGAGAAGATATTTAAATGTTTTTTTGTCTTATTGAACTTTTAAACTTTGTTGATTTTGGTTTTCTGTAATCGTCTAGAAACAGAAAAGGTTGTTGGTCACAATTTTTCATATAAATGGAGTTTCATTGTCATAAGAGTTGTTCTTTATTTTATTTAACAGTTCAATATAAAAAACTGAGAACCATAAAAGAGAAAAGAAGACAAGACATTGAATCAATAACAAAAAAGATAACACTGCATTCATATGTCAGAATAAGGGAGACTATCAAGTTCTGGGTAGAAAAACAGAGATGAAGTGATGATGAGAAGGATATGTTTAATACACTTTAGGGACGGTTCCAGTTCTATAAATCTAATTTGCATTCTCCCGTACTGTTTGATTGCCTTCATGCATTAATCTTTTGGAGTTCTTCAGCAAATATGAAGAAGAGAGAGTTTTGTACAGAAAAATTGAGAAATTTCTGTTTTTGTCGTATTAAAGAAACGACAACGTATTGTTTAACAGTTACAGTAAACGGATATTAACGCTAGATTTAGTTGACTAAATTGATATACTTATTGGCTAGGTCAACACAAGTTAGTGATTTCTTTGGTTTAATGAAAAGTTGGTATTTATTTTGGCAAAAGTGTGGAAGTTCATCATTTTATTGACCGTTTTCTCCTTGTTAATAATACTACAATGAAACAAGTCACCTTTTGTGTAATACCCTAACTTCTTTATGAATTCTGTTGAGAAATAAATATCTTATTTTTCTGGATGTGAAAGACAGAAAGAGAGGCTTCATATATAGTTTTGGTCTTTGATTTTTTTAAAAACATTAATTCGTTTTCCATGTTTGCAACACAACAAAGTTAGTAAATATGGCAAAAATAACATTTATTTGAATATTTGCTTGTACCTATCATTAAATACTACCAAATCAAAGTAAATAGAAAGTTTCAAATACAGATCTGATATTTGTGAATTTTATAAAAGATAATTTAAATTCAAGATTTTATTTTGTAGCACTATGATGGAAAGTATGGTCTCTTAACATTTTTTTAGCATAATTAATTTTCCATATTTGAAGATGGAGTCGCAAAGACATTGATTTGAACGTACTGTATGCTTGTATCAGTTATTATTCCCAGATCAAAGTGAAAATTTCAAAAATTCAGAAATTGTGAAAGATAATTTTTAAAAATGGCATTTATTTGAATATTTGTTTGTATATATCATTTAATACTACCAAATCAAAGGCGGGGACTATGTCACTATGGGGATGATTGGGATGATGACAACATAGATTGTACTTCCACCTCTTTGCGACTCCATCTTCAAAAATTTGAATGATTGTCTTTTGTAACTCTTTTGAAAATATTCTCTATATTGTCTGTTGTTCCTATATTAATATACCTAACCAATTATAGGATGCACTAACAGCAATCAAAAGCTGGAAGTTTCTGCGAGATTTATCACTAGTCACTCTAATTTATAACAAAAACACACTAATTATAAAAACCTTTGATCTGACGACTGATTGATTCATTACGAAGTGATTAATGTAAAAGATACATATACTATTGTCATTAGAGTACAGAGCAGCAGTATTCAATTAAAACTCTCAAATCATTTCATCCTCTTACAGTTACAGTAACGATGCAACCTAAAGTAAAGTAGAGTAGTCTTTCGTTACATCCACTAAAACCTTAAAAAAAACTCCGAGATTAGTTTCTGCCATGTCCTTCTCTTACATTCATGGCACCTTTTGTTCTTCTGGATGACTCTCCTCGTGCACGAGAAGGACTTGGATCAGTCGCGGGAGGCAACATTGTTTGATCTCTGTTTACAATACCACCTGTAAAAATGTCAAACAGATGTTTTAGTTTTTATTTAAAAAGGAACGTAAAGACAGAACCAAAATCTACACCGTAAATTGACTACTCACTGCCAAAGGAACCAGACCGGCCAGGTAACTGCATTCTAGCATTTCCACTCCAAGACTGCTCAAAATCAGCCAACTCATCTGCAGAGTTTTGCAATTACAATCAAGAATAAGAAACGGTTTATATGGTTTTCTCATCAAAACTAGAATCTCTCTGAAGCTTAATGATAAAAGTGTTACACACCTTCGTCTAAATTGTGCAAGGTCTGTGTTGTATCAACCCGACCATCTGACTTAAGTTTCCGTGCAACCGTGTGGCCCTGCAAGCATAAGAACATCACTTATACCTTGACCAAATTGAATCCAACAACACAGGAAAACAATATTTTTCAATGATCCTCAAGGTACCTTGTTATGAAGGCCTCTTGAGATCTTGTGGGCTGCTTCTCTCGTTGCAGTATTGGCTTCTTTGCTCTCTTCAAGTGTTAACTGTTTCATATCAAAACCGGTTTTAGTAGCAAGCATAAGCTAAAAATCTTCCACACACACACACACACGCAAATGCAATTACTATTATAACTCACCCCATCACTTCCTGTTCTTCTCGTCTTCGATGAAGTATAGTAGTTTCCGTTTTGGCCACCGTATGTCACAGTCGAACTCTGGAAACTATAGCTACGAGTTTGTGGTTGCCATTGTCCATTGTTTACCATAGCATTCACATTCATGCTTTGTACTTGTCTGTTCCTTCTCCCTGCATCAACATAAAAAAAACACAGTCAGTTCTTTCTTCCGCTTAAGCCATAAAAGAAAGAACAAAAAGAAAAAAAAGTTACCACCTTCGGCTCTAGCATCTTCAGTTTCAGCCTCAGTGCTTGACCTGCCATGTTTCCCTAGACTTACTTTCTTCTCTTCATCTCCTTCTCCTTCTCCATCTTTCTCATCATCTGAATCAATCTCTTCAATAACCGGTCCACTTGATCTTCTCGGCTGCGGCGGCTGATTGCCCTGCGGACGATGATGCATTCCTGCAAAAGGATCCATGCCTTGACCAAAGAAGTTCGGCTGTAACATTCCACCAAATGGCTGGCTGAAAAATGGGTCATCAAACGGATTCCTTCCTCCGAAAAAATTAGACATCATATTAGGAGGACCATTAGAGCCACCAAAAGAGCCACCAAAACCGCCTCCACCAAAAGGGCCACTAAAAGAGCCACCAAAACCGCCTTCACCGAAAGAGCCTCCGAAACCTCCACCAAAACCTCCTCCCATACCGCTACCAAAACCGCCTCCAAAACCACCGGAAGGGCCACCACCAGAGTTGAAAGGATCTCTACCACCTCCTTGCATCTTCCTTGTTTACTACACTACACAAAACAACAAAATTCATATGAGAAAAGCTCAAGTGCGAAACAACTGACTAAAAACAGAGGAAAGAAGAAACTAGAGTTTTCCAAAACATATGTATGTAAAGTGCTATTTTTCAATCACAAAGATCACATCTTTTTACAGATAATCTGAAATTGCATTTCATCAACATTCCAGCAAGATAACAACATCAGGTGGAAACAAAGGGAACCCTAAACTCTTAAACTGCAAAAGCAGCATCTTAGAGTAAACCCATCCAGCTATAATCACACAACATGATCAATTCATAGTAAACCGATTCAAAAGCAATACGTTCAAACTCGTGAGCAAAACTAGAATAATATCAAACAAAATCCTATCAAAATCGAAATCGAAAAACACAGGAGAAATTACGATAAGTTGAAATAACAGCTCAGGAACGATAAGAAGATGGAGAATTCATCGGTACTTCAAAAATTGCAATCTAGCCATAAACGATTCGGTAATAATGAAAAAAACCCTTAACAGCAGCAAAACTACCGCGCAAATTCAAGGAGAAAGATCGAAGTTCATACCTCGAACAATGATCGGCGATGTTGGCGAAATTTGAAGCTTTAATTGAACTCGGATTTCCAAAATCTGAAAGACGAGAAGATATTTGTCGAGCTATTGAGAATCTCGTTAACTCTTTATGCGATTTTCTCCGGCAAGGACAAAAAAAGAATTCCCTCGAACTGATATTTTTTCCTTTTTTTACAGAAGTCGAAATATGATTGGCTAACGGGTGACACGTTTCATCCGTGATTTTTCCTGTGCCACATTATCATGGATTTTGTACTAAACTTGGCATTATTCTATTTTTGTTTCCATTGTTTCATAAATCCATATGATCTGAATCTGATTAACCATTAAAAATTTAAAACATGTCAGTTTTGGATAATTATGACTTTTAGATTAAAAATTAGTTATATGATCGGTTTAAGTTTAACTCTAGAAAAATGTCACTTGCCAAATGGCATTGGCATGTCATTTATGTGTGGTATTTTTGGAAAAGTTTAACAAGCAACATAGTCCATTAATTTCGATTGTTTTTTGACAAAAAAATCAACTCAAAACAACATAGTCTTGTGGTAAACTATGACCATATTCATTGAGTGTCATGTGCAGTGTCGGCCCGTAATGGAACCGGCCCGTAATGAAACGACATCTAAAACGCATTGAAATTTTTTTGCCCTTTAATAATAGCATTTGTAAAAAAAAAGATAAGAACCTGTAATGCTGGGAATCAAACAACGCACACAAGAGAATATATCAAATACTTTAGACCACTACACCAAAGGAACTTTTTAAAATTTGGCGCCCCTAAAAATTTAATAAAATTTGGCGCCTAAAGCCTGGGCTTTACCAGCTTTAGCCCAGAGTCGGCCCTGGTCATGTGCTTGGACTTGATCTTCGTTTTTGTTTTTAAGGCTCATGGTAGATTTAGTGCATGTGAAAAAGAAAATGAATCAAATCAAATCATCTTTGAACATAGTGTTCATTTCGTGCATAATCAGATTTGTGTCAAATCTAACCAAAGTTGATGACTTTACATTCCCTGAGTGCTTGTTGTTGAAAATCATTAACTAGTGTTTTAAACTCTTATTCAATAAAACAAACTAAGCTTTGGGATTCTTATTCTTATTCAATTAAATAAATTAAACTTAATATTCATCATCTCTATTTCGACAAATGTGACCTAGCAAACTACATTTCCGAGAAGATGGGATGTGTAAAGCAATTGTTCAAATATGTGGACCAAAAAGCCGAGTCCATTAACTTGAAGAGAATCAACATATAAACATTTTTACGTAATTTTTATTATTTACATACTTCTTATGAAAAATATTTTTCAGCTTAGAAAGGAAGAAAAAATCAAGAAAGGAATTCGTATTGACAAAATCTTTTGAAAAAGAAAGCAGGAAGAAAAAATTTAACTCTCAGAATGACGAGCAGATCATATGAGTTTGTTTACTGATCTCCTCATGGCATTATCTGCTTAACAATTAAAACATGTCAGTTTTGGATAATTATTACTTTTGGCTAAAATTAGTTATATGATCTATTTAACTATAGACAAATGTCACTTGCCAAATGGCATGTCATTCATGTGTGGTATTTTTGGAAGAAAACTAACAAGCAACATGTAGTCCATTAATATCTCTATGAACAAATCAAATCATTTTTTTGTTTCTTTGATAAAAAGTAAAAACACATCAACCCATAACAACATCGTCTTGTGGTAGTAAAAAAAATCACTAATCTTTAAAAACAACAACATATACTGAATAATATTTGGTTTGATACATACACAAAGCAGAACCAAAAAAAAAAAATTGAAGCTTTAAAGGTCATAGAGACTGAAGCGGCTCCGACTCCTCCGACCTGCTCGTAAAGTCTAACCCTCGAAGCGCAGGCAATCTCTTCATATCGTCTTCCGTGTACAATGGCAAGAACCAATACAATTTATCCCTTCCAAAAACCTGATTCAAAACAAAACCAAGAAACAAAAACTTTCACGTTCATCTCCAAGATTTCATCTTTTAAGTAGTAGCCAGAACAACTTGTGTTAACCCAAGAATCAAACTTAAAAAGCATGAGTTTTTGAGATGGTGAGAGAACCTGTTCAAAGTTTTTCTTACGACCAAGGTCAAAAGGCCAGTTAGGAGTTGTATGCTTCTCATATGCCTGAGATCAACAAGAAATAACATTACTTTGCCATTACTGAGAAACCCAAGAGAGAGCTGTTGCTTTACCTCAATAGTTGTGGTGTTACGTTTGACCAGCATTATGTGCATGATTAGGAAGCCTAGTACACTTAGTGCAAATGCTATGTTCAATACTGGAAAAGCAACAAGAGAGGGAAGATTTTGAATCAGATACAGAAACAAAGAAGAAACTGAGATATAAGAGTAACTTTTGGACTCACCAAATGCAACAAATGTGGCTGCTAGGTTTCCTGGTGATACGGTTATGTCCTCATCTCCATCGGTAAAGAAAACGAGGAAAATTGGAAATAATGATACTGCAACCATCGTTGTCTCAAGAAACGTGTAAAACTGCATTGTTTTGACATAAGGGAAATTGCATTAAGATGATGACAATGGACATACCAAAATCATACTGTATGAATCCGAAATGCAGAGTAAAAACTTAAGAACCAATCAGTTAGTATAGATTAAAACACAAGAAACAATTTTATCCACAGCAATGCTTCAATAAGTTCGTAGACATACCAAGAATAGGAGAAAAGACTTGTAGTTCATTGCCCCAACACAGTTCACAACCCAAACACAGTGATGGTCCATCTTCAGTATGCATCTTCCACCTGAAAACCCAAGATGAAACCTTTTTTCAAGAACCAAAGAAAACAGACAGACCACGGATTGGAAGAAAAGAATCACACATTGGGAAGAGACTTACAGACTGAGCAATGGTGAGAACGAGGCGGTTTATATTGATTGCATTTTCGGCAATATCTTACACCATGAGCCGAGGAACCTCCAGCCGAAAACGCCGGGTTAGCTTCTGCAATCACTGGTTGGTTTCCTTCGTTTTTCTCTATGTCTAGTTCCGGCCTCCATCCCGGTGGAACACCACCAGGGTCCGTCACAACTACAGAGAAGTAACTCCACAATAGCATTATAAGCTGCACACAAAAACAACAATGGTCACAAATGAAATCCTTTACTCTTTCTTCTAGTGTAGACACAGAAAACCTACAGCTTCAAAACTAGAGGAAATACAGAAACTCTCTACACTAAATCAAACCAAAAAGATGACTACTTGGATTGCTTCCTTAGCTTATAGTATTCATGATAAACTCACTATCTCTCACCTAATTCAATTTGCAATCTGAATTGCAAGAAGTAACAGACTAACAGATACCTAAAATCCAACAGCCAAGAATCTTTTTTTTTGGTTGAAATCCAACAGCCAAGAATCTAATTAACCAAATCAACAACGATCCAGATTGAGCCTATTACAACAAACACTATGAGGTAATGCCCCAATTTAGATCTTAGTATGCCTAATCTAAAAATTCCAACATACAAGCGATAAACACATACATCTATAGCTTTGGCAACAAACATAAAATTGTATTAGCTCAGACGGGTCACAAGATTCCAAAGTTGAGATTTTTGAGACAAACATATAACTGTATTAGCTCAGAAGGGTCACAAAAGATTCCAAAAGTTGAGATTTTTGACAAGATAGGTTTTGAAGAAGATAAAGCTCAAAATTGCAGGATTTGATCAGCTCATGTACTACTGTAGATTAGCCAATAGAGAACGAAGACTAACAAGCGGAACAATACTAAATGCAAAGATCTAAAGAAGGGTTTCCTAAAGTTTTGATTTTTGAGTTAAAAGAAGTGATTTTTACCAGAAAGTGAAACAGGGCTACAACCAGAATAGCTACGAAGGAATCAAAACCACCGAGCAATAGAGCAGGTCCGTAATTAGCCACGACAACGGCGTAGTATGTGAATCCGACGATTCCGATTACAACTAGGATCATGATCGAGCCCAGGGCGCGAAGTGCTGTGCAGAACTTGAACACGTTCCACGCCATTGTCGAGATTTCTTCAAAAACCCGAGATTTTCTTGGTCGACGGAGAAATTTGAAGTAATCCCCTATTGAATCGAGGAAGAAAGTTTACAGATTTCGGTGAAATTGAGCTGAAAAATCCATAAATTTTCGTGGATAATTTTGCCTTTCAACGAGACAATTGATTTTCTCCACTTCTGGGTTCTTCCTTATTACAAGTCCTGATCTTGTCAGGATCAAAAAGGTAACTAAATTATTACACGCATGGTTAAAGTAAATTTTTTAAGAGTAAAATTTAACATAATCTAATACACGCATGGTTCGTCCGAATTACTTACCCTAAAACAAATTAACTTAAGTAGACAAATTATCCATTTAAATAATTAACAGTGACCTAATATTCATTAAATTATCCAAGAGTTCCAAACATAAAATTTTATGTTTATCGGTTAGAACTCGAAATGTGATATCTTATTTGTTTGAAATAACCAACAAATGTTTGTACTCTATCTAATATATGAATTACTCATCTCTTTATCTAAAACTTATATTTCATATATGCCAATTATTGATACTCGAGAAATGTTTTGAATCCACTTAACATACATATACGTAAATTTATTTAATCTAAATATCAATGGATTGAAACTTTCAACCCTCTTCGAATTTATTTCTAATCGTATTTCACTCCTCCCTTCTGCTCAGCCTCATCCTTCTACAACATGTAATAAGATACGCCACAATAAAACAAAAACAAACCTTTAGCACAAAAAAACAGAAACAAGAACATAAGTCATAAACAAAACAAAGTGTGGATAATACTACATAATATTAACCTGCTGATGAAGAAGCTTCTTATGCATTCGGTAACCCTAACGGCAGAAATATAAAACGTTAACAACAAAAAAAAAGCAATAACTGATTTTATTGATTTTTGATCAATACTCACTTTGTCAGTTCCATAGATGTAGTCGCAGTAAGTGAAAACTGAAGCAAAGTTGCTTTGGCTTTGTCCTCCAACGTAATGATGATAATCATGATACTCAGCTCCACCGTAGAACGGAATGCATTTTGTCAGAGTCCATGGAAAATCATATCTGCAAATTAAAACACATTTGTATTTTAGAGTCCGATTATTACCAATGTATATGTTCATGTTTGTGTTAACATATATTTGTAACCTTTATTATCCACAGCGAAAATGTCTCGTTCTGTGAATTTTCTAATGGTAACCGATCAAAGCATTGTGCTCTCTTTTGAAAGGTGGTATGAAATGCTTAACAAAATTAATTATGATTTGATTTTTATTTTATTTTTCATTTTACCCGCTGTGAGTCTCAATAGCCTCGATTTGGCGTAAAGTTATCCACAACCACCATGTCATAATATGGCCAGGAACAATCGCCGGTCCAAGAAACGTCGGGATCCCAAGAATCAAGACCTCGGCCCAATGTGCATACGGCGATGCGTATCCGATGGGAGATGTGTACTCGTGATGGACTCGATGAATCTTCTCATAACCCCATTTGCAATGCAAGAGTCTATGGAGCCAGTAGTTTGTGTAATCTTCTATCAAGAAGTAAACCACTAATTGTGCTACTAACTCCATTAAGGATGGTAATGACAATCCAATTCGAATCCCAACAATCTGTAATTCAAAACAAAAACCTAATCACATCTTTATTGTAAGTAGAGTACCTTTCTGAAGGCCCTTTAACAAAAAAAGTAGAGTAGGTACCTTTCAAGAATATTACCATAACAAAATTTGCGTTTAAATTCACAAACTGAAAATATATTTAATTAAAAAGAAAGGAAACCTAAAGAATCAAGAAATTTGTGATACTAACACTCACACAAAATATGTTGCAAAACTAACACTTAAAGTAGAGGAGTTTATATATAATAAGTTGTTTAAAAATAATATTAGTAATAATAATACCAACGCAGATGCAAAATTAGTAACATGATCACGCACTAAACGATACAAAACAAACAATAAAAATTAACCTGGAGCGAAGGATAAGAAACGAGTTGTAATGTGCCGACCACGATAAAGAAGAGCTGCATGACATCTTTATAACACCGAAACATATCAGAAAACGAGTATTTAACCTTCGGCTGAATCTTGTACCGATCGAACCAACCAGTCAGTTCCACAAACACCAGTGGAAGAGGTGCGAGAGAGAAAACGAGGAAGAGCAACAAAATGGTGTGGCAATACACATAAAAATTGGATTTTGTGGCGGAGTAATCGAACCAAACCGTCTCGGACCAAGTCAAATTTCGTCCTAACGCTACGGACGCGTCTTGGACGGTAGAGTAAGGGATCATTGTTGTGTCTTGGTTTGGAGTTAGACTGATGATACGTGGCTTGAGTGTTTTTTATTTTCTGGATGTATTGGGGATATATGCACAAAAATTCTTTTAAATGAACAGATCGAGTCCGAAGTGATGTTAATGAGGGTTGTGGACTTTTCAACCAATCTTATTCTTAAACTTTTGTTTTTGAACGAAAAAACAGATTCCTTAGCCAATCAGAACCACGAAAGTGACCTAACTTTTGATACGATCTTTATTACTTGCCTTGTTCTCTTTGAGTTGAGAGAGTCCGCCAAAATGTGTCCTCTATCTTTCTGTTTTTAGTAGAACACGAAATTGATACCTTATCTCTTTCGGTCCTGTTTACTTATTTACGGATCACATTTCCGTTTTAAGGAAATATATTATTGTTTGTTGGTCACTAATTGATATACAGGTTGGAAGATATCTAAGATTATATTTTTCGTAAATAGTTATGAGTTATGAGTCTTATGACCATATACGTTTTTTTTTTGGTGTGAAGTTTGAACACTGATGACTGAACATGATCTATACGTCTAAAATAGACAAGCTCATTAGCACCAAAAATGAGTGGACAAACTTTAGGTAAAAAAAAAGAAGAAGAAGGATTTATTAGTGTTGATTGATAACCATATTTTTATTTGCGGGCTTCGAACAGTTGCTATTGTCAACTACTATTCATAGACAGTAATTAACGTTCGACCAACTCTCACACAACGAATCGCGACAAGAAAACACTGCCCATGGCCTAAATTTGAATGCTGACAAAAGCAAAGAGAGATATAAAATCAACAGCAACACATAGCATGATATCTTCCATCTACTACGTAAGCTAGTTTTTTTCTGCTTTCGAAGTAGATAAACAAGTGTTCACCACAAACGCGGATATCCACCACGTCACGTCCGACCAGAATGATATTAGTCTGTTCTTGACTTGTTCTTGTAAAGTTTAAAACACGTTTTGAAGAGAAAGATGCCCACCGTGGGGATTTTTTACGATATTTTCATTGCTTTAACAACCTAAAAACCATATACATTTCTCTTGCTAATTACCGATATTTATTTATTTTTCTTGTATGCTCCTCCTTTTTGTTTAGTTTTCCTATATTATAAATTTTGCAAATCAAAAGGTGTTATGGAAAATATTTTCTTTGATAAAGAAGAAAATGAATAGGAAATGTATGTTGGAAATGGAAGAGTCGGATTAGTAAAGTAATTCAGGGGTTCATTGTGGAACCATAACAATTATCTGTCTCTCCTTTTCTTGGTGTTCTGGTTATCGCGTAATATTTTTTTTATTCTTTTTAATTGCATTTCAATATTTATGTGTCCATAATTAACTTAATCTGTGACATTTTTATTTATTAATTTTGAAATTATATAATTTACACTTCACAACTCATAGCTTTCTTCACTTAGTTTTTTTTATAATAAGAAAAATATAAGCAAATTATAAGGAAAATCTAAGAAAAATTAATTTATGCCACAGTGTAGTTAAACTTGTGGAAGTTTTTTTTTTTGTCAACTAACTTGTGGAGGTCAGGTAAGTATGAGCACATCTCCATGGTTCAACTGAATCAGCCCTCCTGTATAGATGATATCAAAGGTTATAAACATTTCCAAGGTCCACAAAAAAAAGAAAATGAAGGTAACAGTCATAGACAGCTCACCATTGGTTCTGTTAAATTCTGAAAGTGGTGACTTTAAAAACAAATGATGCAACTAGTTTCATCATTTTTGCAAATGATGTTAATGTATAGTATCATTTATAGTAAATGAAGTAAACATTTGTATCACTTAATATAAATGAAATAAACAATTGAATCATTTAATATAAATGATGTTAATATCTGTCGGTTATAACAATTGATATTATATATATTTAATTATATCATATATTTTAGTTGATAATATTATTATATCAATTAAAAATAAGTGACACTAAAAATTATACTAAATTCGAAAATATTAATACTTTTGTAATTATTAAATAATATATGTAAATACATATTTATGATTTAACTTTATATAAAAAAAATTATATATTGGTGAAGTTATTATATAGATGAACAAACTACTATCCTTCATCTTTGTTTAGCGATGTGGGACAAATAGTTGTTTACTCAAAATTTTGTTTGCATCACTTTTTATAACTGAAGTAAATATTAACATCATTTATTATTGATGCTAGTAATACTGAGAAAATGCTTCAGTTACGTAAATGATGTAAACACATATATTTGTGTCAGTTTTTTAAAATGATGTAAATCAATATTCACTTGTATCATTTTTAATTTAATTGATGTTAATTAAGTTAATATCATATCAATTATTTTAAGTGATGCAAAATCATAAATTTAATGTCAATCTTTAATAGATGATGCTAATTAGAATCATTTATTTTTTTGACATTAAATAAGTAATGTTATCTACCTTGTTTTTTGTAGTGGTACAAGAAGAAAGAAGAGATTAAACAAATATATCCAAACCAATACAATCAGACCAAAATAAACTAAAGAGACCAGTAAAGTACCTGAGCTCCTTTCTCGTAGCAGCTGAAAGACGGAGGGTTGTTGAGGAAAGCTCCCAATTTGGTAGCAATGTCGAGCCTGGTGACTGTCTCCACGTACTGGATTTCACCACATGCGTAGTACAGCCATGTACCGCTACAAAGTAGCTCGTCCCAGGAGGAGCTACTCATCATCTACTAATAGTCTAATATATCAATCATCTACACGTGCATGTCTTGACATAAAAAAAAGATTTTCTCACATGCATGTTTTCTTTATTATGAAAAAAGATCTATCACATCACATGCATATGATAGCGATTAAAATTGTAAAACGTTAAATTGGAAGTATTGTAATGCAAGCAGTCTTAATTCGAGGCCTTTAATTGGACAAATTTCACTTGAAGAAATATAATTAAGGGAAATGCCGGATTAGCCAAAAATATTGCAAAAGAGAAATCGCCCACCGTGGGGCTCGAACCCACGACCACAAGGTTAAGAGCCTTGCGCTCTACCAACTGAGCTAGACGGGCTTTGCTGAAATTCAACACATAGCACGTAATGATGATTAATAATATAAAAACTAATGTAAATTATCATCTTCAAAATATGAGTAGTTTCCAAATCGTATGGATAAGGCCGTCAAAACTCAAAAACCATTGTCCATAACGAATTATTGCTTGTTAAGTACTGTAGGCTTGAAATCATTTAGGCTAAATTTTGATACTGTCCATAGAAGTGCGGTCTAAATACAATCACAATTTTTTTTATAATAAAACTGATATTTCAAATTACAAAAAATAAAGGATAGCAGTGCGGTCTAAACACAATCACAAATGCACAATGTTTATATAATATGATATTAATAAGAATTCCCAAAAACCAAGATTATTAGAGTTATTTACACTAAGGAGCACTTTTCTCACTTTCCTATCATCAATAGGCACTTTGTGATTAAGGTGCACTTTTCTCTGTTTTCAATGAATTTTGGTACCATGAATAATCAAAAATACCTTTAATGAGATACTGTTTGTAAAGAGAAAAAATGAATTTAACTGTGGTAGTCCTCACCCACGGTGACCGTAAAATAGATGCCATCGTTATTTTTATAAACCAATGTTGCTGTCACCAGATTGGTTTATGGTGTTCTTCCACAATGATTTAAAAGGAGGAATTGCTTGGTCACCGTTAGTGATGGAATGAAACCAAGACAACGGCAGGCGAGACACTTGCAATTTCATGGGTTATTATTCAGATTTGAGAGTTTTTCAAATAGAAACTGAAACAAGTTTGGTTTGTCGGGTTTGTCAAGAATCAGATCTGGGTGTTGGTAGATTCGAGACATATTAATGGTTTTTGTGTATATGAAAACTTGTCAGATATAAAGCATTGATGTAGTGAAGAGTTGTCTTGTATCCAAATGAAAAGTATAATGTGGATACTAATTTAAACAATAGCAGAGTTAATTTGTTGTCCCAATTTGGATTGGCTCAGAACGTGCAAACATGTAAAAGAGTATTGGGCATGAGTTCATGTACAAATAAACAAAATGAGCATTTTGACCAATTAATCGTATACGTCATGTAGTATCCACTAATAATTGTAAACTATGACTCTTTCGAAACCATCAATACGCGTATCCATCATTTGTTGTCCAGTACAATGTGGCCATCGCTGTAACCATCAACTTTATCCATGAAAACGTGAACATGTAAGTAATCATCAATAGACGAACGTCTCCACCAATTTTAAAAAATCTTTGGTATTCGAGTAAGATCCATTCTCATGGACACAAAAAATGGATAGCTGAAAATTGGATGATTAATATATTATGAACAGGAATGTGTGTAAGTGGATGACAAAAGCATGGACACTAAAACAAAGTACACACATCCATATGGTCAATAAGTGATCATACGGCTCCATATGGTCAGTACGTGATCATCATGGACACTAAAAGTTCTAAGACAAAGTACACACACGCATCCATTGGATAGGTATCCAGATGGACATAACGCTCTGGACCAAACCATTTGGATAGACACGCATCCATCCGATTCATACGGACAGTCTCCTAAAAGAAGCAATCATTACATGAAAACCAGGCTAATATAAAAATAAAAAAAAATCCAACACAGTCAATGTTATATGCAAGTGTTATACATCCATATGGATATTGGAGTATGGATACAACCAGATGGATATAACTTTATATCAATATGAATATAGGGTTTAAAAAAAAATATAGTATGTATGGAGGTGGATACATCAATATGGACATACAATAGTGGTTGTTTTCCCTCTAAAACATGTGGTTGTTGTTTTTTTCTGTAGTTATGTAAAATGCAAAACTAGTTATTTTGGTAAAAAAATGTCTTTGCCAAACATCTGTATTAAGAGGTTGGATTTTATGGATGTTGATAGCTCGTGAACGTAAATGGATGAACATAAACGGTGAGTAGACTTCGAACTGAGTCGATGGTATTCTCATGAGCAAACAAGCTCCAATACGGAGAGCAAAAAAAAAAAAAAAAAAGAGAGAAGAATTACAACTTTTTGGATAACTAAACATGTACAAACAAGTTGATTAGAACTTATCCAAGGTTACAGAGGTAGACGAGATAAGATGGATGTTGTAAGGGTGGTTATGGTGGTGGAGTTACAGTGACAAAGGATATATCAGAAATTGAGTCTCAAGATTATTGCTTTTGTCCTTTGTGTTTGTTGTTTGTTTATTAAGGTTTTCGTACGTAAGAAATAAAATAGAAGTCTGCAGCTTTTGTTATTTGTTCTAAGATTGACATAGAGAACAACTTTTGACTGAATCAAGTCATATTGAATACAAGGTTAGTACAAATCAAAATAAATAAAAGTGTTTCTTTTTGTAGAAGTGAATATGTAATTTTCATTCATGGGAAAACCTAACTGTTGCAATGATACAAATGAAAAAGTATCTCTTTCTCATAGCATGTGGTTCCTAATCCGTATGGAATGTCTCATTGGTGTAATCTTATCTTCATCTCTATCACCCTGCACATATTATTATGTTGGTGTTAATACAAAATGCAAGTTAAAAAAACCTTCAAATGTACAAATGGACCAAACCATATGGATAGAGACATATGGACAATAGATCACTATGGATGCATTCGTATGGATAATATTATATGAGAGCATAAAACTGGTGCAATGGACATGAGAAGAACGAAAATGAACAAATTGCACGGTGGTGAGCGGTAGACATGAAGGAGGTTAATCATGAATTGCTTCATTTGACATTAGCTTGACCAGATGTATCAGCTTGTTTTCATTGCCTGAGATTAAACACAAAGTTAACAAAGTCTCACACAAGCAACATGATTTGTAATATGAATAACGCACTACAACACAATCTCACACAAACTGCTTCCGTAAGCTCATTTCAAATAGGATATTCACCTCATTATACAGAAACAGAACCTAACCAAGATAAAAAAAAAAAAAAAAACGGAAACATCCAAATAGACAACCATGTATGGACACACTACTATGGATACATCAAAGTGTTAGTAACCCAAGATAACAAAATGGATACATCCAAATGGACCTATCTGTATGGACAGAATATTGTGATGAACAATCATTTTTAACCTCGACTCAATGGAAAAGCAAAATGTAAATTTAGTTTCAGGATATGTAGTTTTAGTGAACTAAAATGGTATCCAAATAAACAACCTCATATGGACAAAAGTGTATAAATGAACCAAGATAAAAAAAATGAATACATTCAAATGGACCACCTCGTATGGACAAACTACTGTGGTGACAAATATCAAGGGTAGAAAGTTAACAAATTGCCATGATTCATGGTATTAATCAACAAATTGTTCCCGCAAACGAAAAGAAAAAAAGGGAAAAACATATTAAACCGATCGCTATAGCTAGCTGTTCAATCTGGGGACGACTTTTGTTACCTCTAAGTCGGTGTTCTTAGGTAATTAGCTACAGTTCCGAGAGAATTTCTCGAAGATGGCGTTGATGAAATTGACATGATTCTCTTTTCTTTTCCAAAAATCATGATATTTGGATGAACGTGTTCGTCTTCTTCTTCTAAATCTTTCCGCCTTCCTTCATGACCTCTCTCCACTTTCGGTACTTTCAATTGCAAAAACAGATGGAATGATTTAGGTTTCTGGTGATTGGAAGAAAAAGTTTCGTCGGTGAATTTTAAGCAGTAAAAGAGGAGTGGTAAGGTGAAGAAAGAGAAGGATAGTATTGTCTTTGCCACGTATGAAAGTCCCTCATAAATTACAAGTGTGTTTTTCTGTTACATGAAAGTCAAAAAGTGCCTTCCAGCGTAAATAACTCAGATAATTAAGTGAATATTGGGAGAACCAACCCTTTTCTCTTAAAAATATACTCCCACGTTAGGGTCAACTTTTTCACAGGTTTCGAGATAGAAGGCCAGCAATGTTAGGTAGAAAATCATCTTTATGGATTGGTAACTAATGAAGTAAAATTTGTGAATATGAGTATTTTTTGTTTTTATAATGTTTCATAATCTATTCAAATTCAAGGAGACCAGTATGGGATGGCCAACAAAACTCAAAAAAGATACCATATATATAGACAACAAATGAACAGTGATGGAGAAAAGGGCAAAGTCTTTAGTGGTAAATCATAAAAGAAAAGAACATTTACGAAGAATATAGAGCAACAAAACCCAACAGTAAATAGGTCCCCCGTTGTTGACAAAAGGCACGAGCACAAATCGAATCAAAAGCGTATACTTCCCATCTTTAGTTCATAAGAAGATAATATCATGAAACTGTAATTCGCCTGTATGCCTAATTCCAAAACATGATTGAAATACTTTCTGGCTCAACGTTTTCGAGAATCCACGCGATGAGATTTCCGTGTTTGCATATAGTATATTTTCTGTCCAGAACAAAAAAATATAAGTAGCTTATGATTTGTTATGAATATTATTGTACTACTATCAAAAAGATACTCTATACCAAGTACATACATCAATCAGAAGCTTCTACTAATAAGCTTAACGACATAGCAATCAAATATTGAAGTGTTAGCTAAACAAAGGTCACAGGAACATAAAAAGGTGAAGTGAAATCGTAAAATACAATATCTCATGCATAGGCTCACTTTAATCTTACATGTTAAACAATAGGAGACAAAACGAAAACATTAAAAAACTTAAAAGAGCCACAACATATGAAGAATTAACTGGTGAAACTATATAACCAGACGATATCTTTCTCTTTCAATACACAGCTCGACCATCTCTTAAAAAATTATTAATTCAAGTCTATCATAAGATTTGTCGACTTAATATACATAGTTTATAGTTGGAAGTCCGTGAAATTGTGCTACCAAAATGTTATCCGAAATTAAAAAGTTACTTTCTGAATTTTTCATAAATTACAAAACATAGCTTTGTCAAAGAGAAACAAGCATGCACACTGAAAACTTGGTATGAACGTGCACTTGTTCTCAAGTTGGCCCCTGAAAATTTTAAAAGAGTGCACATTTAACAACAAGCTTTTTTTTTATTACTTTTTTTTGGATCGCTAGCACGAATATTCGTATATTTTGTTGTAGATCATCATCTACTAATAGTCACACATGCATGTCTTGACAAAAAAAAAAAAAATATCACATGCATGTTTTCTTTATTAAGAAAAAAGATCGATCACATCACATGCATATATTTAATTGATCTTATCCACATACATGATAACGGTTAAAATTGGATGTCTGTATCCAACAATCTTAATTGCCTTTTGTTGGACAAATTTCACTTGAAGAAATATAATTAAGGGAAATGCCGGATTAGCCAAAAATATTGCAAAAGAGAAATCGCCCACCGTGGGGCTCGAACCCACGACCACAAGGTTAAGAGCCTTGCGCTCTACCAACTGAGCTAGACGGGCTTTTGATTGAGATGTAGCGTAAACTTTAATAGAGTTTGGTTATTTGACCAATCTTACATTCTTACAGTACTTGGCACTCTCACAAATCAATCAAAATTGCTAATCCAAATAAATAAATATAACTCACCAACACAAATTTCGATGGACTGATGAGTCCTTCTGATCTTCTTTCCTCTACCATACAAAATTAATCTAAAACAGTTAAGAACAAAAAAACCTTCATTTCCAGGTGAAACAGAACAGAGCACAAAGGAGAAAACTAACAACATTTTCTTTTCTGAGTCTTGTTTTAAGACTACTAATCGAATTTCTCTCCTCCAGTTTGCTTGTTGCCCTTCTTGGACTCCTCCTTGATCTGCAACTCATAAGATTCAAGCAATTAAGTAGTGGACTCTATGTAGAAAAAAACATCAAGAAACGTAACTATGCAAAAGTGAAATTAATTTACCTGGTGAAGAAGCTTCTTTTGGAATCGATAGCCCTGATCGAAAAGCAAGAACAGCATAATCACATTGTCAATGATCTCATCCAGAAAATTGGTAAACACTAACCAAAAAGTAACTGAAAATTTTTCAATACTCACTTTGTCAGTTCCATAGATGTAATCGCAGTAAGTGAACACTGACGCAAAGTTGCTCTGGCTTTGTCCACCAACGTAGTGATGGTAATCATGATACTCAGCTCCACCGTAGAACGGAATGTATTTCGTCAGCGACCATGGAAAATCATATCTACAGAACAAACACATTTTCATTCTCAGCTTATCTTAACTAGTCTCTAAACCAGCCTCAAGAGCTAAAAGACTCTTAAAAGTATCAGAAAACAAAAAAGCCTAGTGCTTGCCTTAGCCCCACCAATAAAAAAAAAAAGGTGAGCCACACTATTAGCCCTACCACCATAAATTACAAAGATACACTAGCACAATAAAAGCTGATAAGTTTGTGTGTTTCAAACAATTCAAAAGTTGATATGATGCAGACTTAACAAACTCAAGAAAAAGCAAGCAAAATGAGATTTTCTCTACCATTCCTTTTCTTACCCGCTGTGAGTTTCAATGGCCTCCATTTGGCGTAAAGCTATCCACAACCAGAAGGTAACCATGTGTCCAGGAGCAATCGCCGGACCAAGAAACGACGGAATCCCGAGAGCCAGATCATACACTAGCACAATAAAAGCTGATAAGTTTGTGTGTTTCAAACAATTCAAAAGTTGATATGATGCAGACTTAACAAACTCAAGAAAAAGCAAGCAAAATGAGATTTTCTCTACCATTCCTTTTCTTACCCGCTGTGAGTTTCAATGGCCTCCATTTGGCGTAAAGCTATCCACAACCAGAAGGTAACCATGTGTCCAGGAGCAATCGCCGGACCAAGAAACGACGGAATCCCGAGAGCCAGAACCTCAGCCCAATGTGCATGTGGAGCTGCATATCCAATCGGAGCAGTGTACTCGTGATGGATATGGTGAATCTTCTCATAACCCCATTTGCAATGAAACAATCTATGTACCCAGTAGTTTGTATAGTCCTCTACCAAGAAGTAAACAACCAACTGCGCTACAATCTCCATTAACGATGGCAATGGCAATCCACAACGAATCTCAATCATCTGTTAAAACACACACACACAAAACCAATTCTAAATCCACCAAATTCCTAATCCAAGAGATCAAAATCAGTGCAGTAGAAACTCGATTTTGAAAATCAATCCAGGCGAAATCAATCGATTGAGAGAAAAAATTATCCAGAAAAACTTACTTGGATCGTGGGATAAGAGATGAATTGCAACGGACCAACGACGAGGATGAACATCTTCATGACGTCTCTGTAGCAGCGGAACATATCGGAGAGCGAGTAGGCCACCTTGGGCTGAATCTTATACCGATCGAACCAGAACCAGCCGGAGGCAGATCGCGCCGATTCGACGATGACGAGAGGGAGAGGGACGAAGGAGAAGATGAGGAAGAGGAAGAGAATGTTGTGGCAGTAGAGGTAGTAGTCGGATTTCGCGGCGGAGTAATCGAACCAGACCTTCTCGAGCCTCGTGAGGTTACGACCTAGCGCCATTGACCCCTCTTCCACCGTCGCGTAAGGGATCATCGTGGGATTGACGAAACTCTCTTACCTCCGGCGACGATCGTTGACGTGAGATTCGAGCTCCGAGAGAGAGAGAGAGCGACGAACAGAGAGAGAGAGGAAAAGGAGAGTGTCTACGTTGTTTAGCTGGATTTTTGTTTGTTGTATATGTACAGTGCGAATATATTTGGAGTGCTGACGTGGCTTATTGGATTTAGTAACAAGTGTGAATACGTTGACATGAGTAGTCTTGTGGAACCGGATTAAACCGGTGACCGTCACTTTCAAGGTGTGACGATGTCCATTGAAAATTTGAAACCCGGCACACTTTTTTGGATATATGTTTACTTACGTATTTGATATATTGGTCATGATTTGACAGAGATGTGACGCATTTCAAAACAGTGGTGCGTGACTACTTTCAATAAAAGTTTTTTTTTTCAAAGTAAAAAGAAAGACTAAAGCAAGCAACAAGACTATTCGACAATCGTCGTCCGCCACAAAGGCACATGCATCACCATCTGGTTCTGAACAACATTTACCTACTTTTTATTCATAACTCGGATATCATTTGCAAAGTCAGAATTTCGAATGGAGCCACCACGTTAACTCTCAGCCGCGGAATTACCGAAGTACCCTTAATGAAAATCTATTATTAAATCTTCGAATTTTTCTTTTTTTTTATTAAAAAGGAATTTGATTATTGACTTAAATCTTTTTAGATAAAAAGGCTAACTACCATATTCTAATGAAAATCTATTATTAAATCTTCAAATTTTTCTTTTTTTTTATTAAAAAGGAATTTGATTATTGACTTAAATCTTTTTAGATAAAAAGGCTAACTACCATATTCCGCACCATATTTTTGGAAAAAAATTATAAAAAAATTGGAAAAAAAAAATAAAACCTAGGTTTCTTAACCGATTTTGTATTATATAAATAGATAGTAACAATCAAAATCAACACAATTTACGATTCTTCTACCTAGAGGTGAGATAATTTCTTCGAGTCCATATTTCATCTTTTGTCATGTAGGTTTATTATTTATACTAGATATTGAATAAAGATGAGTTTTTGACTTTAAAGAGATTTAAAATTCGAATGATATGATCCATTATGCTACCGATTTGGTCATGGCTTTGCTGGAATTTTTGGATTGATGAACTTGGTCTGAGCCATCATCTACATATTGTGTTTTTGATTTGAAACGATATAGCGTGTTTGGAGACGGATGCTTTAAAGCATGACTTGGCACATGAAAAATCTGTGGAAGATAAAATCTTCATCGAGGTTCATGTCAACACCACGATTATATGATAATTTTTGTGGTTGGACGTGATGGTTGTTGTAAGACATCCGTTGAAGAACCATAAATCTGTTCACGAGTTGTAATTGTATCATGTTTAAGTAAGACAGCACAGCACATATGTTAATGAGATCGGAAGCAAAGTGTAATTTGATATAAAAGGGAATAAAGATAGGGAAAGGTGAATCTGTGTGTGGAGGTGCTATAACTCTGACTTCTTTGATCTGGACTATGAATTTGAGGCTGATTTCCAAGGGTTTAAGGGCGATTCAGCTTTTGATTTGTGTATTGATTTGAGCTATGTTTTGGTAATTTATTGATCTATTGAGTAGAACTATCATATGACCTTTTGATTTATTGTGTGTGTTGTCTGTGCTTCTCTTGCACCTCCTAATATTTTTATGATTTTGGTTTGCTCGATGATCTTGACAATAACTAAACACATGTTCTATAAGGGTTAGGGAATTGTATGGATGGCATTTTCCCGAGCTTGCTAAGATCATGTAGATTCCCTAATGAAGTTGATTCTTATGTTATAGACTACAGATATATAAGCAGAAAAATTGTGTATTTGTGTCTTCGGCCTTTGTTGAATATTATGCAACTCATATATATAGTAAGAAAATAAATAAATAAAAACGAAAAATAAAGACGAAACTGATAAATAAGATGTTGCAAAAAAAGAAAAAGATAATACAAAATGATGAAAAATATAAGATAAAATCAGAAAAAAACAAACTTAATAGAAATAAGGAAAAGATGAAAGTTGAAAGACGAAGACGAAAAAAAAAAGAACGAAAACAAAAAAACAAAAAGAATTTGTGAATATGTGAAAAATAAAGAAACTGGGAAAATCAAAAAATAAAAAGAAATGAAGAATAAGAACACAAAGTCAATTGAAAAATAAATTGTTAATAAAAGGAACAAAACGGAAAAACAAAACAGGAAATAAAAAGATGACAAATGAAGAGAGGGAAAAGAAAAATAAATAGAAAGTTTGATAAGAATAAGATAAAAACGATATAAAATGAAGGAAACAAATATGAAAGAAGTAAAGAACAAAGTAAAAGAAGAAGATAAAATGAGGTTGGGGTCTATGATCTACGGTTTATATTGCAAGAGTAAATTTTAGATTTTGGTGCATTGTAAAAAAATTGAATTCTTTACATTACCGATTAAAAACAAAAACAAAAAAAAAATTCTTTTAAAAAAAAAGAAAAAGAAAAAAGAAAATCCTGAACTAATTTGTAAAATGTGGGGTTCGGGTGTGCAGTTTGGTGGATTGGAGGGGGGGAGATGTTGTGTTATAATGTGGAGTTTGGGTTTAGGGTGTAGGGTTGTTTAGGGGGGCTGATGTTACATTGTGGGTTTGAGTTTATGTTGATGGGTGTAGAGTTTAGTTTTTAGTGCATTTTTAAAATTTGAATTATTATGGAAGAATTTTGTAATTAAAAATCATTGATTATAAAATTATATCTATATTTCTAAATTGCATTCATAAATAGAAAAAATTAAAAAAAATTAAAGTAAATCCAGAATCGAAAGATAACAAAACCATTATAATTTTAAATGATCTCGACTATATGAAGATAAAAATTATTTCACAAATCTTTGAAAATCTAAACTATCGATGAATTGATAGGTGAAATACAAGACATAGACAAGAACGAAGAAAAACACGAGTAAAAGAAAAGAAGACAATGAAAAAGAAGATAGAAAAAATAAGAAGAAGAAAACTCGAACATGATTAATAAAAATCAAAGAAAAATGGAATGTGAGTTGAAAAAAAGACAAAGAAAATAAAAATAAAAATTAGAATAATATGATGATAAAGAATATAAAGATGATAAAGATAGAGAGGGGAATGAGGAAGAAGAAAAACCCGAAAAAGAATGTAAAGAATTTTAAAAATAAAAAGAAGAAGAGGGAATTGGTGAATATAAAGAAACAACAAAAGATTGAAAGACACATATTGAAAGAAGAAAAAGATGATGAGAATGAATATAAAATTGAAAGAAAAAGAAGAAGATGAGATAATTGGAGAAGAATAAGAGGGAGAAGAAAACAAGAAGTGGAAATTCTTTTGTATTTCTTAAAGTGATTGAAGAAGATTATGTAGAAGAATGAGAAAGAGAAAACAAAAATAAGACATATAAAGATTACAAAAAAATAAGAAGTTGGCGAAAACAAAAATTCTACTACTTATATTATCCAAATGTTTTATTAATTAACGTGTTTTAAAAATATTGTACCCGCACAAGGTGCGGGACAACCACTTTGTGTTAATTATGTGGAAAGTAAAAATACTGTACTACAATAAAATGGCTCTATTTCAAGCCCATTCAAAATTCGGCCTATTAAAGAATGTTAGCCCAAGATAAGTAAAATGTGATAGTTCCTCTTTCCATCTAGCTATCCACATCAGCAAAAAATTCATTAAATTGTATTTAAGATATTTAATAATGACTATTCATATTTCTTTACATATATTCATATTTTAAATATAAATAAAACTAAGAAAAATACACAAATAAATTACTTAATTAATATAAAGTATGTGATAACTTGATGTTAAAAGTTATCAAAAAGTTGGAATAGAAAATGGATATTGAGTAAATAAATATTTAACTTGAAATGAAAGTATATATATTATATATATCTTATTATTCAAAGATTTATCCTATTTCAAAATGTTATACTATATGTTTACAAGTTAAAAAGTTGAATATAAATTAATTAAGATATTAGAAAGCTAATGAGAAATTAGAGTTAGATTTGTTTTTTTTAAACAAATAGAAGTCAAGTTTTTATATGTAAATTTAATTGCAGTGAAAAACATGAAATTTTAAAGATTGTGATATGTTTGTTTCAAAAATATAACATATTTTACAAAACTAACATAATAGAAAATAATCAATGATCATGAGGCTCATATGCTACCAGCAACACAACAAAGTAGATATGTAAAAAGTATACATATTATTTTTTAGTGCAAATACGATTTTACATTATGCTCACAAATTGTAACGTTGAGTCAAATGCATATGCATGTTTATAGTCTGATAGTAAATAAACATAATATTTGTAACATGCTAAAATTTTAAAATAGAAAACTCGACATAAAGTGAGATGTTAACATCCTAAATAAAATAAGATAAAAGACAAATTGTTCATATTTTTAGTGTTAGTGGTTGGTTTAACTCAAAACATAAAAAAAATATGAAAATTAACAAAACCATAATAATTCGAAACAACGAGTATAAAAAAAGTTAAATAGAAAAATTATCGCAAACAACCCGCGCTTGCGCGGGGCTTCAAACCTAGTTACTAGTAATATGATAGTAAGGCTCTATTTAAGAATGTTAGTTGACTATGTGTTTAATATAGTTGACTATTGGTGTGTTGAAGAAGAGGATCTTTGTTCAATGAAGATTGTGTGCCCACACATGTCGTGATCGTTTCCATGGCTTCCTTGACATGCCTCATGAGTCATGCCTGTTGAGTTTGAACTTGAAGTTCCAAGACAAAGATCCTTTACAAAATATGCATATGCAAGTGTTTAGATGTTTATTAATTCTTTCTTTGTGCTTTTCGTTGAGTTTTTTTATTCTTGAATTTGTAAATTTTTTAACTGTTCACGTTAGTAAATTTTTTAATCATTCACTTAGATGCTTATTAATCTGATTACTATAAATTTTATTTTGGAACTCATGTGCAAATTAAGTTTAAACTATTTGGAACTGGTTTAAGTTTAGTAAATTATAGTGAAATATTGTTTTTACATGTTATTTTACTTATTAGATTCAGCCAAAGTAATATTGAGCCAATTTACCCTATGTTTCAACTCTTACACATTCCTAATCTATAAATGGTATTTAAAAAAATATATATATACAAACCAAATTCTAGTTCCGGAAAGACCACAAACTTTGGAATTAGCATATGTCTCTAAAAAGTTTCAGCAGGGGATCAGAAATCATTTGTTGTTGTTGTTGTACCATTTCTTATATATAAGAAAAGTTAGTACAGTTGTAAATATAATACAATGCTACCAAATACCAACTCAACGCAATTTCTAGTTTACTTTAGTAACAGAATATGTAAGAATTGTTACAAACAAAAAAAATGGATAAGTTAACATACTATAATATTAGTATAAATGTCAACAAGAAAAATATAAATAATTAAATATCACATTACAAGAACCACACGTCTATGTGATATATCACTATTACATTGGCCGGCTTGAATTTAAATGTTAAAAGCCACTTTAAAACTATATTACAGTATTTGGAAGACATTAGAAAATATAAACCAAAGAAAACAAACTAAATGAGAAAAGCAGAGACAAAAAGAATCCTTCAAGTCGTTATTTGGAGAACAAACACTGTCAAAATGTACTTCCCTTTGTTTTTTCAAATCGTTTATTTATGTATTTGATTGAGCTGTTGAAAAAAATAATGAATTTGATTGTAATTTAATTATTTTCTGTACTTTGTATGAATTCATGAATTCTATATAAATAACAAGAGAAAAAAGAGAATCCTTCAAATTAGCTTCCTTGTCAAGCAAACTACCGAAACCTCTCAAATTTAATTTCTTCCTCCTTCTCCTCAACCAAATGTCAGATTCTATTCGCCGGATAACTCTTCCGGCAGAAAACGTAGGCCAGAGCTCAAGGACTAGAAGGTCAGCGTCCCCAGGCGTTTCCAATAAGAATCGCTCGAAACCGTCTAATCATGTTTTCGAGCGAAGCTTCTCAGACTCGAGTGTCCATCGCCGCCGCGACGGAGACGGTAATAGCCCACGGCGACCATCGCGGATGAGGTCTTTCCATACGGAAGAACCCGACCCGGTCCGTTACTTGCCTAGGATCCACTCTGAGAATTTCGCTCGTTCTCCGTCGTTTTCTGGCTTATCTTCTTCGCCGTCGTTTCTATCTCGGATCATTGAAGAGGTCAGACTCTGTTATTCTCACTAAATTTCAATATATTTAGTTTACAATTTCTAAGAGTTTATAATATTAAGCTAACAGTTTAAAGTGTTACACTTTGGCCCTTAATTTTTGCTATATTGAATTTTGAACACAAGAGTTTAAGTCAAGATGTCCTGTTAGTGCAACTTCTTCAATTCAAGAAATCGGATCGTGAGAAAAAAATGTCAAATTTTAACCTTATTATAAAATCAGAGATTCATTTTCTTGTCTTAATTTCCAAAAAATCAGGGTAATAAAAGAGGATCACAAAAAGTAGTGATCGACGTAGCAGTAGAAGGAAGCCCTGGACCTGTAAGAACAGTGGTTAACAAGTGCTGCAACGTCGAAGAAACGATCAAGCTCGTCGTGGACAAATACTTCGAAGAAGGACGATCACCGAAACTCGATCGCGGTTCTGCCTTTGAATTGCATCAGTCACATTTCAGCATCCAATGTAAGGCTAATATACAGTATACACAACTCTGTCCAAAATGCTCGTCTTCATATTCTGCATGGTGCATGGAGATAGGAAAAATAAAGTTATTCCTCCCAATTAAGTTTTGATTAATTAAAAGTTTCAAGAAATGGTTTTGATTATCACATAAATTATGAGTTATATTATCACTAAAGAAAAGGGTGACTGAAACTGGGGATTTGATTTTAACCCTTTTCTTTGTAACATAATTAAAATGTTAGAAAATAAAAATATACTTGATTTGATGTAATTTTCAGCTTTGGATAAAAGAGAAATAATCGGAGAAATAGGAAGTAGAAGCTTCTACATGAGAAAGAGAGATCATGAAACCGGAGATTCGTTTGCCGAGACTGCTCCGGTGAGGACGACCTTTGTTCCGTCGCCGAGTTTGATCGAATTGTGCATCGCACAGATAGTTGGGAAAATCATGAGGAGAACGAGAAAGATATGGAACATATTGGTTTGTGCGGAATGAGATTAACTAATGTACACTTTTAACTTTTGAGCGTGCCACATAATATTTTTTGTTTGTGTTGCTCTAATCTCATATAAAAAAAACAATTTAGTAATAAAATTGTACTATACATATATACTTGTGACTCGCATTGGTCTGTAATTATGTGGATGTTAGATTCACTTCTATATGGAATAAATTAATGTGTGAATTCTGTGGACAATACTGCACTACAAAAAAAAAAAAAAAAAAAAAAAAAGGAGAGACTAATGGCTCTATTAAAGTGAACTAAAATGTGATGTTTTCACTCGCCTTGATACTGTTTTATGTCTTTGTGCCTTCATTAAATCAACATGCACATACCATTTCCTTGTTTTCTATCGAATTTTCTTTCTCTATTTTCAAGGTACAGTTTATTTCATTTTAGAAAGAAACTCTACTTTAAAGCCCTTAGAAAGTTATAATCATTATGGGGGGGGGGGGGGGGATAATTGACTTTTGTGGCATGTGTCAATAATTTATGAAAACAGTAAAACATTATATACGCATAGCCAAACGTTGAAATAGATTGAGTCTATTAGCCAATCGTACTAAAGTAATAGAATGGTACTACATCACGAAACGTGACGTTACATTTGAAATTCTAAAGTCCACATTTCTCGGCAGGAAATAAGATGTATGTATAGTTTGGTGGCGTTGCCTTGATCCTTTCGAAAAAAGTTGAACCTCATACATCCAATCTTGTTTAAGTGAGATGATTTGCGTCTAAGAAAAGTATGTTATCAACGAATGATCTCACTATCTCAGATACTCAGCTCAAAACTTCTTGTTAACAAAAAAAAAAGAACAAGTTATACGAATGATCGTTGTAATTTGTAACACTCGTCACTCTCGGTGGAAACCAAGTGCGTTACTCGTGAACGTGACGTGCGTGTGTATGGAGTAAGGAAAGTGACCCACACGCTCCTCTTATGACCACACCATTTATGGCTCAACAATTAACCCAAAAGTTCTTTCTTTAACAATGATAACAAACCTCGGACCAATCCTAGCCAAACATATACTCTTTTTTATTATTTAATGTTATGTTATTACTTGACGTTTAATGAATCTTATTCTAGATAATGATATTAACATCTTCTTTTTTGTGGTTTTACATTGTGATATAATCTTATTTCCATAGATTGGTACGTACTCGTGCAAAGAAATGACCTGATACTTAATTAATATGTAATCTCTGTATTTGCTCACGGACTTCTTGCCTTAGAATTTACGAGTTTTACGAAATTTGTTTGAGTTTCTTGTTCAAACAAAAAAAATGGATCGGAAACCTATAATTTAGGTCTTTTCCTCGCTTTTTGTTTGATGTGTCAAAAAAATTACATATCCAATAGTTTTGATTTCAATACACTTTAAGATTATGAAAGAAAATCAGAATTCTCTCTAGTAATTTTCTAAAACAATGCTTTTACTTTTGTGCATATATAATTGATGGAAATAATCTAAAAGTTAAGTAAAGGTTCATAAACCACAAACTTTGGTTTTAGCTAGGACTAAACTTAGAAACTATTACAAATAAAATGCTACCAAATCAACGCATTTCTTCTTTATTTTAATAGCACAATACGTAATCATGATATGATAAGATAGCATACTGTATAGTTTAATGTCGACAGGAAAATAATAAATATCATGGTACAAGAACCACGTCTATATTATTAATACGTTGAATCCGATAAATATAAACGAAGAGAACAAATTAAAAGAGAAAAGCAGAGAAAGAGAATCCTTCATATTCGCTTCTTTGTCAAGCAAACCACCAAAACCTCTCAACTTCTTTCTTCCTCCTTCTCTTCAAGCAAACTCATCATCAATCAATCAACCAAATGTCAGATTCTATTCACCGGAGAAGAGTTCCAACTCCCCTCGGAAACGGTGGCCGGAGCCTCAGGACGAGAAGGACGGCGTCACGATGCGTTTCCGATAAGAATTGTTCGAAACCGACTAATCACGTTTTCGAGAGAAGCTTCTCAGAGCCAAGTCTCAACCGAGAAAATAATATGCTGCGGCGACCATCGCCGATGAGAGGTTTACCAACGGAAGAATCCGACCCGATCGTTTACTTGCCTAGGATTCGCTCTGAGGTTTTCGCTTCTTCTTCTCAGTCGTTGTTATCTTCGCCGTCTTCTCTATCTCCGATCAATCAAGAGGTCGGACTCTGTTTTTTCTCACGAATTTCATTTCTACTTTACTAACTATAATTTCAATACATTTTAGTCCACTATTTTTATGAATTTCTTGTTTCAGCCTAACATTTTGAAGTGTGACAATTTGGCCCTTAATTTTGCTATATCGAAATTGAACAAAGAGTTTAGTCAAAATGTTCTGTTAGAGTCAGTTCTTTGATTCAAGAAATCAGATCGTGAGAGAACAAAAATGCCAAAAAAAATTAACCTTTCGAGTTGATTATAAAATTTGAGAATCATTTTCTTGTCTTAATTCAAAACATCAGGGAAGTAAAAAAGAAGCACCAAAAGTAGTGATCAACGTAGCAGTAGAAGGAAGCCCTGGACCTGTAAGAACAATGGTCAAGTTGAGTTGCAACGTCGAAGAAACGATCAAACTCGTCGTGGAAAGATACTGCAAAGAAGGACGAACACCGAAACTCGATCAAGGTTCTGCTTTTGAATTGCATCAGTCACACTTCAGCATCCAGTGTAAGCTATACACAACTCTACCCAAAAAAGTTAGTTTTCATTTTATGCATGGATATGGAAACAAAAAAAAATTGTTTCTATAACAACTAAGTTTTGGTTAATTAAATTTTCAAAAAAAAAATTGTTTTCAGATTGATGTATGTATAAATGATTGGTTAGGTTGAATTAAATATCTAGTTTTGCTTGAATCTCCAAAGATCATGGAAACTTTTCAAAATACTCATATGAATCACGTGAAACGAAGAACTATCACATAAATGCATGAGTTATATAGTAAGGGAAAGGGTGATTGAAACTGGTGATTTTTACCCTTTTTTGTTTGTTTGTCACATACTTGATTTGATGTGATTTAAAGGTTTGGAAAAGAGAGAAATAATCGGAGAAATAGGAAGTAGAAGCTTCTACATGAGAAAGAGACCTCATGAAACCGGAGTTTCTTTCGCCGAGAAAACGAGCCTTATTCCGTCGTCGAATTTGATCGGATTGTGCATTGCTCAGATCATTGGGAAATTCATGAGGAGAATGAGAAAGATATGGAACATATTGGTTTGTACGCCATGAGATTAACTAACTAACTAATGTACACTTCTGACCGTGGCACATAATATTTTAGTTTGTGCTGCTCCAATCTCATAGAAAAAGGGTAATTTATTACTATTCATAAACATTGTACTATATATATCTATAGATTTTATAAGGTACTGTATATACATATACTTGTGACCGGTATATTGGTTTGTAAGTATGCGAAGTAAATTAAACTTATAATTACTCCGCGTTCTTTTGGATAATGAGGGTTAAGGGTTATTGGAAATTTGAGAAACGCAGTGTGAATGAGAGGAAAAATTAAAAGATGCCTCGTAGAATATGGTCAAATAGTCTGTGAAAAAGACATGTGTAAGAGAAAAGTACAGCATTAGCTTTGTATTTAGTGTACTAGTTTACATGTACAAACACGTAAACAAAGGAAGCAAGAATTATGTGGTAGACCGGCATTGAACATGAAAAATCCTCAAATCTTCCGTCGAACTTCTATGTCTCCTCCTTCAACAGCCACAACTAACAACAAAGAATCTTCATCACCGGTTAGTATGGCACATCTCCCTGTTGATCTACTGTTGAACTGCTTAGCCCGCGTCTCGAGATCGTACTACCCAACCCTCTCCTTAGTTTCCAAGAGATTCCGCTCTCTCCTTGCTTCCACGACGGATCTTTACGAGACCCGAAGGCTTTTAGGCAGCACCGAGAGTTGTCTACGTACGTCTGCTTAAAGTCTCCATGTAGCTCTAAGCCACGTTGGTTTACTCTAACCCAGAGACCAACTCGAAACCCTAAGCCTAACTCAAGATTTTTCACTTCCTGCTTTAGTCCAAATATAACCCTAAAGAATCACACTATGACAACTAGGAAGAATCTTATGGTCTTAGTCCCAAGCAGCCACGAGTTTTCTCCTCCGAGTGGTTGCACTCCAACGACAATGGGCTCTAATATCTACATGATTGGTGGGTACATCAACGGTGAGCCCTCGTCTAGGGTATTCGTCATGGACTGTCGGTCTCACATGTGGCACGAAGCTCCAAGCATGCGTGTGGCACGGAAGCAACCTTTTGTGAGTGTTCTTAATGCACTACAAGAAAAATGTCATATTGCAACTGAGAAAAATTGTTGCAATATGGCAATATATTGTTGCAAACCTAATCTTTGCAATAAATTTGCGACAAATTTGGTAATGTTGCTGTTTGAATGTTGCAAAGTCGTGTTTGTTGCATATACGTTGCCAAAATTGCAATGAATTGATTTCTTGTTATGTTTGTCGCATTAATGCAATGCTTATTTTCTAGTAAACTTGTTGTGAAATTGCGACATATGATTGCAACAATAAATAGTTGCAAACATTGCAACGTAAAACATATAGTAAATATTGTAGCAAATTTGCAATAAATTATCTCTTGGTAAATTTGTAGTATTATTGCAACAAAAAAAACTTGCAACTATGTGGTAGAATTATAATAAATGATTTCATTAATAAATGATTTCGTTAACTTTGCTACGTAAAAGTTAATATTGTTGCATATATTTTGCAACATCGTAATAGATTTTTGTGACAATGATCAAAGACATGTTGCAAAATCGTAATGGATTGATTTGATATTTTGTATATTATTTCTTGAATAAAAGATAATACTAGAATAAAAAAAACTCATTTTATTTGATAATCAAAGATTAAAAAATCTAATAATGCAAAAAAACACCCAAAAAAATGAAAATAAAAACCAAACAAGCTAATAAAAAACTTAAAATAAAACTAAAACACAAAAGTAAACAATTAATTGTTTACGCCATCCCTTAATAATAAAGCCGGACAGAGAAGCGCCATCATTTTCTCCAAACCTTCAAGTTTGTTGAGCCTTTCTTGGATAGCTTCATTCACTTGAGCAATGTCTGTTTGAAAGTCTCATCATTTTCCAGTTGGCTTATTGTGGTGGGAGGCAGTTCACAATTGATTGAAAGTTCACTTAGCAGAGATCCTAAACCGAATACACCACGATTCGTTGCATCAACTAACTGTAGAACATAGTAGTAATTTATATCAGAATCTAATTCTTTATGTAAAATTAAAAAATTAACTTCAAAACAAAACATTACCTTCAAATACATTTCATTTTTTTTCTGGGGAGTTGGCTCTTCTCCTGTTGGAAATTCATCATCAACAATATGATCAGCTAGATCCTTGTCAAATCCCTCACTGATCAGCCTGGCCCTTTCATCCACAAATGATCCATCACGCTTTTTGTGAGTCTCTCGGAGAACTTCAATGTAAGATGCATCTCCTGTCTTTTTTTTCTATAAAATATGATCATGAAAACATTATATTAAAATGGTTAATCACAGAAACAGTACAAAGAAAAAAATATTTCTTACCAACAAATCTGCAACTTTAGCATATGAACGTGAGCCAGCTCGATGTTTATGAGGTCCTAACCCATTTCGATCTGACATTCGACTTTTGGAAGCTTTTTTGCTCCTCTCTTTAGCTTTATCGGTAGCCCAGTAGTCGACCAGATCTTTGTAGTAATCATCAAGGATCCAATATGGTTGCTGACCTCTTTCCTTAACTCGGCTGATCATGTCGATCAACTTGGTTGCAGCACACTTGTGAAACATTTTTCTCACTTCCACCTCAAATAAAGGATTCCAGTGAAATTTACTCTGGTTTTTTATTCAAGAAAAACAGAAGTAAACATTAGGATTCATGTACAGAAAAGTAAGAATATAATCAACGTACAGTTCTTCATAAAACGCCTAAAAAAGGAAAAGAATATTTGACGGCTTACTAGAAACATATAATTATAATTAGAGACATAGCATCATAGTTAGATATATATATATATATATGTATATATATATGTATATTAAAACAATGAATACATGTAAACGTGAGAAATACAATTAGGCAATTGAGGTCAGATCTAATTAGACTAAGGTACAAGAGTACTAAAACATTATTAATCTCACATGCAAATGTGTAACTGTACATATATTTTAAATATACCTTAAAAGTGTACCACCATCGTTCCCTCACATGTACTGGTGTGGTAGACCAATTACGATACGGTCCAGGAAAATCAGATCGAATTATTGTTCTGATCTCACTAGTGATTATGGAATCACGTTTAAACCTATAAAAAAAGTCAAAATACTAATTATTGTTATGCTAAGTAAAAATTAAAAATATTTGTATTCTTTGCTTACCATAGTGTTCCATTTGGTTTGGATGGATTGAGAACACCCAAAACACCCACTGGTTGAGCTTCACCTTGATTTTGATCGTCATTTAGATTCTGATCCATCTGTGAGATTTAAACAAAAACATAAATTTATTACTTGACAAAGCTAATCAACATAGATAAAAGTAAAGCATACGAAAAACTAAATTTATTATCTATGAAGACCTTACTTTCAAAACTGTTTGCAGAAATGAAGTCAGATGTGTTTATTAAAAGTAAATATGAGCAGTATATATAGAAGAAGCGTAAAATCTAAGCGTATCTTCAATAACAGAAATAGCCAAATATTTAGTAGGATATTCTCTTCAAATAGGGAGGCAAAAAACAAGCGGCGGGAAATAGATAAGCGGGAACTAGATAAGTTGGAGAACATAAATTTTATATCCACCAAATCACCGCTTCATATAAATCATAATCAAAGTCACAATTACAAATATCATTTAATACAAAATATATGACATTCATATGAAGAAGAATATAACACGATACCCATAATATAATTGAAACACGTTATCACCAATTTTCAAGTATAAACATGTTATCATTCACGCAGACTCCTGTTTTAAATTTGTATATAAGTATAAATGCACACATGTCTGTAGGATATAATAATCGTAAAACAAAGTAAAAAATCATGTCCACCAAAAAATGTAGAAAATCCCAAATCTAAACAATCCAATATGTCGACCAAAACAAAATATAAAAAGTGTACCAACATAACCGATATAATAAAAAAAGAATAGAGTATATCAAGATGTATCATCTTCTTCATCCTCGGTTGAATCATACTCTTCTTGGGTATCATCTTCTTCATCTTCGGTTGAATCATACTCTTCTTGGGAAACATTATCAGTATCTGAACCTAGATCTTCATCAAGAGCGTCATCGAGGATCACAAACTGTTCTTGCGGATCAGCTAAACTATCAACCATTATAAATGGATCAGCCTCGACTATCGTATTATCATTCTCATACTGCAACGGACTAGGATCCACTTCATCACTAGATATTATTTTCCTCTTGGTTGTATCTTCATTGCAGCATACCAATCACTTTTCTTTTTGGTTAGACGAGGATATGATACAAAACATACTTGGTCGGCTTGGCTAGCAAGAATAAAAGGATCATACTTTCCATACCGTCTAACCCGATTAACATCGATGACCCCTGATTTGTTTATACGGAAACCTTTATCCCTTGTTGAGTCATACCAATTGCATCTGAAAAGAACAACTCTAAGACCAACAATTCCAGGATAGTAAAGCTCAAATATAAACACTACGATTTGTATCGAGCTGAATCTGAAAAGAAAAAAAGTTAATTAGACACAATATACTTTAGTTTTTTGATTAAAAAAATATTAAATCAACGCTTACATGTTCACATAGCCATGTTGCGAAATGCATCTCTTTTAACTCACATAACTTAGCCTCATCTGTAGTAGAATAAGTGATTTTCATGTTCTCATCAAACAAGCTGCAAAAAATAAAAAAGATAGAAAATAACATTATTAATATAAACAATATACAACTCAACTCTAATCCAATACCTAAATAGAATAACAAGGCCATGGGCCATGAATAATATTTCAGAAAGAACAAAAATGTTAAGACAATAAAAACCAATATCAATTCTCAAATATATAATAATTAACAAGCATTAGAAAGCACGAATTCATGCGCTGAATTTAGACAAATTACGTACCTTTCAAAACGTTGTAGATAACCACAATTCAAAAGTACGTATGAATGTGCTCGCTCGTAGTCTTGAGAATCTAACCAAACATCTACAGATTTACCACTACCTCGTCCACCTTGTACAAATATTTCGAATAGTTGTATGTCAAACCTCCATCATCGGAGCGAGAAGTATTTCGACTCTTGGTCTCAATATGAGATTCGAAATAATAAGAGCTAAAATCTGAAATTTCCTCATTAACATATTGTTCCACTATCGATCCTTCGACTTTAGCTTTATTTTTTGCCTTTTTCTTCAAGTGATACATAAAGCGTTCAAACGGATACATCCATCGATACTGAACAGGACCACCAAGTTTAGCCTCATGAGGAAGATGAATCGCCAAATGCTCCATCACATCAAAAAAAGACGGAGGAAATATTTTTTCCAAAGTACACAAAACAACAACAATGTTATTTTGCATAATTTCCACCGAATCTTTTTCCAAGGTTCGTGAACATAGATCACGAAAGAACAAACTTATACCTGAAACAATAGAAAATAAAAAATATTAAATACGTTTTCAGTTAACGTAGTTAACAAAACACAAACTGTTTAAAAAAACAAAATATGTACCCGATAATGCTTGATGGATATTTTTCGGTAACAACTCAGCAAAAGCAATGGGAAGTAACCTTTGCATAAAAACATGACAATCATGGCTTTTCATTCCAGAAAGTTTACCATTATTAAAATCAACAGAAGAAGATATATTTGATGCATAACCATCAGAAAACTGAACTTCGTCTTTCAACCAATTAAAAAGACATATCTTAGCTTCTGGAGATAATCTAAATAATGGTGTTGGAGCTTTTCCACCATCAGTCATATGCAAATCTTTCCGATTGCAGAGCTCTGCCAAGTCAAGACGAGATTTGACATTGTCCTTTGTTTTTCCTGTCACATTTAACACAGTATTGATGATATTATCAAAAAAATTCTTTTCGATATGCATCACATCTAGATTATGGCGAAGCAGATGAGTTTTCCAGTAAGGCAACTCCCAGAATATACTTTGCTTGTGCCAATTATGGTTTTCACCATATCCAGGTATCTTTGGATGTTCTCCCCCACAACTAACTGTTTTTGGTAAAGCGGACAACCTTCTTGATAAATATTCTCCGGAGTATAGTGTTGGTGGATCTGAATCTACCACTTTGTTTCTGCTGAAGTTCTTTTTGTTTCGCCGTAAACTATGATCATCTGGAAGAAAACGACGGTGACAATCAAACCAGCATATTTTTCTCCCATGTTTCAACCAAAAAGCTTCAGTATCACCCATACAATAAGGACAGGCTAAACAACCATGAGTTGTCCAGCCAGATAACATGGCATAGGCAGGAAAATCACTGATTTTCCACAAAAGCACAGCTCGTAGTGTAAAGTTTGTCTTTGTCGATACATCAAACGACTGAACTCCATTATTCCACAAATCATTCAACTCATCTATAAGAGGCTGTAAAAGTACATCTAAGCTCTTTTTCGGATGATTTGGACCAGGAACTAAAACCGTGAGAAACAAGAACTCTCGCTTCATGCACATATCAGGAGGTAAATTGTATGGAGTCAAAATAACTGGCCATAAGGAATAGTTATGACCAGACATGCCAAACGGATTAAAGCCATCTGTGCTTAAACCAAGATAAACATTTCTAGGTTCATTAGCAAAATCAGGATATACCTGGTTGAAGTGTTTCCATGCTTCACCGTCAGATGATGGCACATTTTATTGACTCCATGTGTTGAATAATGCTCTTTGTGCCATCTCATCACTGAAGCTGTTTTCTTTGACTGGTATAATCTTCTTAGCCTATCAGCTATTGGCAAGTAGAACATTCTTCTAAATGGAACTTGCTTTCTTCCTGGCTTTTTCGTACCTTTAAATCTTTGAGCTCCACAAAACTTACAACTTTCTAGTGCTTCATCGCTTTTCCAGAAAAGCATACAATTATTCTAACACACATCAATCTTCATGTAAGGCAAACCCAAAGATCTCATCAATTTTTTGGTCTCATAGTATGAAGCGGTGGCATTGCTATTTTCAGGCATGTAGTCCCTCATCATTTTAGAAATAGAATCCATGCATTTCTCTGATAAATTATAATCTGTCTTTAGAGCCATACATCGAGACGCTAATGACAACTGTGAAAGCTCTTCTCGACATCCATCATATAATGCATTCTGACTTGCTCTTAGTAGATTGAAAAATCTTTTTGCCTCTTCATTGGGTTCTTCTTCCATGTTTGGGTTGGACGACATACCCTCACCAAAAGCATCAGTTACCATCTCTGTATAAGGGTTTGGAACAGGCATGGGAACATCATTTGGCATGCTTGTATTTTCCTGAGTTTGACGTGGTTGATTGTCAATATTATAGTGTTCTCCATGCGCAACCCAAACAAAATAGCTTGGCATAAACCCTCTATTATATAAATGACCAGCAACAGTATCGTCAGAGAGAAACTTTCTGTTCTCACACTTCGTGCATGGGCAAAACATTTTCTTCTTCTGAACAAACATCACATGGTTTTTAGCAAAATCTATAAACTCTTTCAATCCTTCAATGAAAGCATCTGATAGTTGATTGCTCGTTGAATCAATTCTTGCATACATCCATTGCCTCGAAGCATAATCACCATTACCCGAAGACATTGACAAATTCTGCAATCACCAAATTTTGATTCTTTAATATTTAAAAACTGGCTATAATTTCAATTATACGACTAGAAATATTTAGAAAACAAGCAACCTAGCATAAGACTAGAAAGCTAAAGGAACATATTCTCTTTACGTTTCATATTCGGAGAATATAATAATTCATAGAACTAGACAATTCTTTCATCTAACCTAAGAACTATATATACTATAGATTTTGGCTAAATAACAAATACTAACCTCGATTGAGCAATTTAATCGCTTATTTGATATTAGCAGCCTCCCACTTGACACTTGCACCACAAAGTCAATATAAAAACCATGAAGTAGTTGACAAGGTTTCAGCGTAAGCGTTCCTGAAATATATGTATATATAAAGCATCAGCCGTAACGTAAATAATTTGCTTTATTAACAAAGACATCGAGATTAGAGGGAAACACACATGAGTTTGAGATAGTCTACTTTGGCGTTAAGAAAGCTGATGAAGCTGTTTATTAAACTATAACGAGAAAACTAAGGAAAACTCAAATCCTTGTAAAAGTAGGAAACTCAGAACAGAGTATAATCTAAATTTCAGATAATAGGAAACAAACGAAAATCGTAAATCAAATAGAGAGGGAGAAACAAATTCACCTGAGTTCTTTAGATCGTTGTTTGGAGACAAAAAAAAAAAACAAACTGGTGAAGAAGAATGCAGCAACAAATTAACTCAACTGGAAATAAGAAGTCGAAGATATCTACTTTTCCTTTTTTCTGTTAATTTTTTGTTTTTCCGTTAATTATTAAATTAATATATTGTTTAGATAAGAGAACCTTACATATTTATCTTATACTATGTTTTATTTTAAATAATATTTAAAGAACCATCAATATATATACAAATTTCAATCCTTTTGTTTTGTTTTTGTTTTTTTTTAAGATATGTAATTTTAGGTAGAACATTTGGTACAACAGAGTTATTAAAATATAGCAAGTATTGTGGCAAATGTGCCACATAATTTATCACGTATTTTTATTCGATTTTTCTTGCCAATTTTGCATGACAAATTAATAAGTCGTAAAAAAGTCGCAAAATTGTAATGAAAATCTGCAACAAAAAGTTTTGTTGTAGATTTGCAACGGATTTGTTATAAAATTACGACGTTTCTATATCATCACAAAAAAATTGCAAAATATGTGGCAAAATTTTGACGAAACTAACGTTGCAAAAATTATGTTGCAATATGACATTTTTCTTGTAGTGATGGGATGATATATGTAGTAGAACGCAGCCAAGATTGTGATCCCTCGGATTTTATGGAGTTTTTCGATCCGAAAACCAGGATATGGGAGAATGCGCCAAGCCCTGGAGGAGAGATACGTTGGAGATGGACGTATATATCGGGAATCTTTGCCTTGGAAGGAAATCTCCACGTGGTTGGTGACAAGCTTCACATGAATGTGGTTTACAAGCCTAAAGAAAACAAATGGGATATGGTAGGGTTTCGGAAGTGTTTGGGTTTGAGTTCGGGTTCGAAATCTTCTTGCATGATAGATAACGTAACATACACTTACACTCATGAACCGTCTAGAAGGATTGAGATCAGATGGTACTCTAAGGAAAGATCATCAGGGAGAGCTGTGAAAGGTTTGGAGAGACTGCCTAAGGTGCCAGATGATTGTGGTTGTGTTAGGTTGGAGAATTATGGTGGAAAGCTTGCGGTTTTATGGGAAGAGAATGTCCGGTCTTTTGATTCTACTTCTACCAAGAAGAAGATGGTTTGGTGTGCTGTGATTGCGATTGAAAGGGGCAACAACGTGCATGAGGTTTTTGGGAAGGTCGAGTGGTGTGATGTTGTGGTTAGAGTGGCCAAGTCATGTTCTCTCGAGCATTTAATTATTACTACTGTTTGACCCCATTGCTTGGAGCTTTTGAAAATGCTAAATATAACATGAGACATGAACAAGTTACATGAGAATAAGCTTGACCATATTCTACATTTTTCTTAGAATGATTTAAGTCCTCTAATTTAATTGTTCGAAACCCATAAATGTTGTTTATGACATGTTTTAGAATTAGTCCGTCGCCTGATAAGCCTCTAGCTAAGACAGAGTCTTTAGAAAGTATCTTCTTTTGCGATAACCCAAAACAGGTTTAAAACTGAGAAGCGTCCGTCGCTATCGCCGGCGCTTACAATTAGTCGCCGTTCACCACCATAGTTCTCACACTGTCACCCTCTAAACCTCTCTGATCCTTTTTCTCAAATTTCTCTCAAAGTAAAGCTTTTTTTTTTTAATTTCAGATCTACCTTAGAAACTAGATCATTCTCGATGTAATCGTAAAGTTTTGATTTTTCGGAATTGAAGCTTTACTTTTGGTGTTTAGGTAGCTAAACCCAATCGTTGCATTGAGTAAAAACCCGAACTTTATTTAGAACAGAGCTGAATCAGTGGAGCATTCGGAAATGGAAGCTGTAAGGTCATTGGTAGATTGATTTTTGATTGTTATTGGGAAAATCAGTTGAATTTGGAGTTGATTCTCAAATGTTGGATTCTAAGCTGAGATTCTTCCTTCAGAAATGTCTAGTGCTTGAACAGGCGAAGCAAGTCCACGCACAGTTAGTAGTGAACCGCCATAACCATCTTGAATCCATCTTGATCCACCAAACTCTTCACTTCACAAAAGACTTCTCTAGAAATGTCTTCAACTACGCCAAGAGAATCCTCCAGGGGCTTCAGATTTCAACTCGGAAGGATTCTTCTTTCTCCTGGGGATGTCTCGTCAGGTTCTTGAGCCAGCACAGAAAGTTCAAAGAAACGGTTAGCTTGTACATGGAAATGCACAGCTCTGGCATCTCTCCAAGCTCACACGCTATAACCTCAGTGTTGAGAGCTTGTGGTAAGACAGAGAACATGATTGATGGTAACTCGATTCATGCCCAGGCTCTCAAGACTGGATTGTGTGGCTGTGTTTATGTACAGACAGGTCTTGTAGGTTTGTATTCAAGACTCGGTTACATTGACATGGCAAAGAAGGCCTTTGATGATATCTCTGAGAAGAACACTGTTTCTTGGAACTCGCTTTTACATGGATATCTCGAAAGTGGGGATTTTGATGAAGCTCGTAGAGTCTTTGACGAGATTCCAGAGAAAGATGTGGTCTCATGGAATCTAATCATCTCCAGCTATGCTAAAAAGGGTGACATGAGCAATGCGTGCTCTTTGTTTCAGGCCATGCCTTTGAAAAGCTCAGCTTCTTGGAATATCTTGATTGGTGGGTATGTGAATTGCAGGGAGATGAAGCTAGCAAGAACCTACTTTGATGCAATGCCACAGAAGAATAGCGTCTCTTGGATCACAATGGTTTCAGGGTACACGAAATCAGGCGAGGTTGAGTCTGCTGAGGAGCTTTTTAGGCAGATGTTCAAGAGAGACAAACTCGTTTACGATGCAATGATTGCTTGCTATGCTCAGAACGGCAAGCCAAAGGATGCTCTGAAGCTGTTCTCTCAGATGCTTGAAAGCAGTTCAGATATTCAGCCTGATGAGATCACGCTGTCGAGTGTTGTATCAGCTTATTCACAGTTGGGTGATACAAGTTTTGGTTCATGGGTTGAGTCGTATGTGACAGAGCATGGAATCAAGTTTGATGATCTTTTAGTGACCTCTCTGATTGATCTTTACATGAAAGGTGGAGACTTTGACAAGGCATTCAAGTTGTTCAGTAAGCTACACAAGAAGGATACAGTTTCTTACTCAGCTATGATCATGGGGTGTGGGATAAACGGAAAGGCCATGGAAGCTAACACCTTGTTTAAAGAGATGGTCGAAAAGAAGATTCTTCCGAATCTAGTAACCTTCACAGGGCTGTTATCAGCGTATAGCCATTCGGGTCTTGTTCAAGAAGGCTATAAATGCTTCAACTCCATGAAAGACTACAACTTGGAACCTTCAGCTGATCATTATGGGATCATGGTGGATATGTTGGGACGAGCCGGGAGGCTAGAGGAAGCATATGAGCTGATCAAGAGTATGCCAATGCAGGCTAACGCTGGAGTTTGGGGAACGTTGCTTTTAGCTAGTGGGTTACACAACAACGTTGAGTTTGGGGAGATTGCTTGCAGGCACTGCGTTGAGCTAGAGACGGATCCTTCCGGTTATCTTTCGAGACTTGCTAATATTTATACTTCAGTTGGTAGATGGGACGATGCAAGGAAGGTTAGAGAAGCTATGGAAGAGAAGAAACTTCGTAAGACACTTGGGTGTAGCTGGGTTTGAAGGTTCAAATCATTTAGATTTCGGTTTAGGATATGTGAAAGCCGGTTCAGAGATTGGGGAACAAGAGAACGTTGGAAAAACAATCTTGAAGTTACAAACCAAACATAAAACCTAAACTCTGAGAAGTCTAAACCGGAAATACAGAGGATCTACTGAGTTTCTTTGAGGAAGAAATCAAGTTAAAGCGATATTAATGTCATGAGAGGGCTTGTGTTGTGGATCAGAAGAAAAAGTTGGTGTCCATGTACTGATATGGAGAGAAGAAGACGACATAGGACGGTTTGAAGAAGTTGGCATTGGAGAAGAGATGAAGCTGTGGTTGTGCTGGTTTGGTTGTTGATCTTGCTGGTTAGTTCCGGCTAAGAAGCTTCCTACGACCACCTGAATAGGAGTGGCTGCAATCAGCACACCAGCGACACCACCTCCAACCACACGTCCATTGGGGCTTGCCAACGACACGGTCATGCCACCTGTTCTGCTTCTTGTCCCGTCTGAGTCACTTGGCATGAATGATCCGGAGAGTGACAGTATCTCAAACCGACCCTTAAAAAACAGCATAGAAGCAACCGTCAAGATCAAGAATTATATTTGGTTTGAGCAAGAAATAGATTCAGTTTTGATTGTTTGTATTTTAAGAGTAATAAAACCAAATCTGTATTTTAGTTCAAGCATTTCATTTGAGATTGAAACCATTAACCATACCTCGTATGTCAAAGTACCGCCGGAAGAATCAGGCTGACGAAGTGTAACACTGGAAACGGCACCGTTTGCACAGAGAACGCAAACAGCAAAAGACCCTCGTTGAGAAAATGATATTATCTTCTTCGTCACGTCCTATAAGTTAACCAAATTCCCCACCAAACCATCAATTAGTCTACTTTTCTCTTTAATAAAATACACAACTCTTAGTTATATTAAAAATTATACCTCGCCTGCGTTCACCGTAATTATATGCGGCGTGAAATTAGCTCCGACCAAAGAAGGAGCCCAATTACCTTCAAAATCACAACAAAATACGTATAAATGTTCGTATACGTACGGACAAAAGTGGTGTATTAAGTTTAAGAGGTCCCACATGAAGGAAAAAAAGAAGATTTTTTTTTCTTTGCATGTTTTTGACTTAAAGACAGAGAAAGATCCCAAAAAAACTCTTTTTCTAACTTTGAAGCTCACGAGAACTCAGATTTCAGTCTAAGGAAAACAAAGATTTTTAGATTAAAATCATTACCTAAATTATCGGCCTGGTAATTTGTCTTGATGAAGGAGGTAGATGTTGCTGGTTTCACTTTGCTACGTTTCTCAGATGCTGCTGAAAAATCGAGGACGTGAGGAGAACTCGTTGGTGCGGCTGATGATATTGGAACAGGCGATAGCGCCACCGGTGCTCCGTCGTGTCCGTATTTCCTGGGACGTCCACGCTTTTTCTTCACCAGGCCGGTGGAAAAACCTTCTGTCGCCGGCGGAAGAGTTATCGGAGCAAAGGAATTTTGCGGCGGAGGAGGAGGAGGAGGAGCGACGGAGGTTGGAGGTGGATTTGAAGTTTCTGATCTCGAAGACATGAGGAAGTCCGACGGCGCGTTAGATCTCACCACCGTAGCATCACCGCTAATAGTTTCTCCGGTAGACTCCATAGTCTGGATTATTAATTTTTTTTTTTTTACTTTTTCTTATTTTTAGATAGAAGAAGATTTGATTTTTCCAAATCCACGAAAGTGAAAAGCAACTCAGAAATCAGATTAAAAATGAAAGAGAAAGATAAATCTTCCAGAAATTATGAGAATTTTCTTTTCTTGAGAAAATATAATCTCTAAGAATTAAAGCCTGGAAATTATTAGGATGAAATTAGGAAATGTTTGAGAGGAAAGTGGGGAAAATTTAGATTTATTTATGCTGTGTGGTTTTGATGAAAGAAAATGAATATATTTGATTTTGAATTTGGAAATATCAAGATTAAAAAAAATAAAATAAAAAAGGCGTTTCCTTGATATTTTAATATTTGTTTCAGGCTTTCAGTTCATTTCCTTCCTAACTTTTTCCTTGTTTGTCCGTTTTAAATTTAATACTGAATATTTTAAGTAATAAGAAACGAAAATGTATTTGTCGTGAAAAGGAAATTGTATTTAATAGAAGCGTTATAATACAACTCACGATAACTTTGTATTTAACTTCGAGAAAATAATATATTTTCTTTTGGCATATATAGAAATTCGTGTATTTAGCTGGAATCCGATGGGAGAAAAACAATAAATTAAAAGAGAGAATAAATAATAAATAGTAAGTAGAAAAACTGAAAGTGGGTGATACTAATTTCTTTTGTTTAAAATTATTTGTTAAAAAGACAAAGGTGGCCTGCATATAAGAATAGTTTTTTCTTTTCTCTTGCCGTGTTTTATCACTTGTTGTGTGAGTGTTTTGGAATATATACATAAATTAATTTTAGGAAAAAAACAAAAAAAAACGTAAATATTGGATTTTAAATTTTAAAGTAATTAATTCTTTTATGCTAACTCAGTTATCTTTATTAAAATATATCCTCAATCTTAAAAATCTAACTACACATGTACTTTCACTACTTTGTCTTGGTAACTTTCAGGAGTCATGAATAGATTACATATACTTTGTATGTCAATTTGTCAAACATAAAACCAAGTGTATCGTTGATAATCTGACCACGGTCCATAGACCATAACACAAGTAGTTGTCGTTGTTTCATTTGTTTTTACTTTTCTCAGATGCTCCAAGTGATTCATCCTAAATTCTCAAGTTTTGCAATGTTATATGCATGAAGATATGATGTATATACAATTTTTCCTTTGATTTATCAAAAAATCAATTTTACCTTTGTTTAGTCGATTTTAACAGTATATGGAATTTGTTGAAGGTATGCCACGTATTCATAATAAAGAAGACAGAATTGGAAGAGAAGTTGTGCTGATTTTGTTATTCTTCATAAATGGATAAGAGTCATAACTCATAAGACTATAATAGATTGTTACATCTCCATGACGTATGCACAAACTCACTAAACAGAGGATGCAATATATGTAATTGTGTTAAGCCGGACATTTTCGAGTCCTTATCCAGCGATAGCTAACTATTCAGATGCAATACATGTTAATTATTCATCCGTGAAGACGTGAAGTGCCTTCGTTGCAAGATGATTATCATTTGACCAAGTGAAGCTATGCCCATTGGTATCATAAATAATTATCGATCTGTATACGGAATTGCTTGAACCTTGAATACTGAATTTATATACATCATGGAGTTCCGATTAACTATTAGTATTTTATAAGTATATGTTATCTTGTGTTTGGGCAATGGAACTTAACGTATATCTCACCTTTTCTTTTTCTCCCTTCTACTTTATTCTCAGGTTTAGCCCACAATGATAATATCTACCAAACTAAATTAATGTCATCTTGAATTATAAGGAATTTGCTTTTTCAGAAAATATATATTCTATCAATTTCTTTGTCAGCAATAATATCTTATCACTTTGTGTGTTAAACTAAACATATACTTATAATAATATATAGAGATAATCAGATAAATATATTTTCTATGATTTGGTTTACTTTTTGTTTGAATAATTTACAAAATGGAAGTAATCATGAATCATAAGTATTTAAACTAATTACATAAAGTTGACTATAATATAAATCGGGACCACAAAAGCATTGACCCAAGCGATTAACACGTCTAATTTTCCTAAACAAAAATAATAATTAAGAAAATAAATATTAGATAAAATAAAACAAGCTAGCTATTTAGTAGTAGTAGTATTGATATATTTGTTTGAGGTATTAGAATACGTATCGTATACATTCTTAGTGTGTATATATGATGCTAAGAATGTATACGAAATTTTCCTAAATGTGTATTTCCTCCACAATTTTATGATGCTTAAGAAATCAGTATTCGAGGCATAAATGATGGTCAAAAACTATATCAGCAACACTAGAATTAACTACAATACCGACTCATAAAAAAAAGGATTATGAGTCAACAAGAAGGCACAATATTGTCTTTTTTGTTTTTTTGTTTTAGGAAGTTCCAGGCATAAATTTACAGTATTCTTTCTTCGAGACCAGTTCACGGTTTTTAAAAGATTCAAACCATTGAAGGAAAAGGAAAAATTAGAACGTTCGATTGTTATGAATCTGTTGCACTGGCAGTGAATCACTACTACTTCAGAATCAGTAGCTACCATGTTATCTTGACTGTAATCGAAACGGCCCAATAAATAGTTTGGGCCACTGAAGCCCTATAAATACACGTCTCACATTAGAGCCCTATTCGTGATTTTTTGTTTTTGTCCTCTTAAACTTTATTGCGTTCTCGAAAAAAAACACGAAATACAACGTAGCAATACAAAAAACAGAGCATCAAACTCTGAAAATGAAAAACGGGAAAGCATCAAACTCCTAAGTTAAGGATGACTAGATGTTGTTAGTGGCTTCTCGCCGGAGACGATCCTGCAGCCACGACAATCATGCTTTATTTTTGTCCTTACAAACAAAATTCAACCGTGTAAAAACTCGCTCCGTTCGGAGGGAAGTGGAAAGTTGGAAAGGATGAATAAAGAAATATTCAGAAAAAAAATAATAATAAAAAATTCAACCGTGTAAAGAACACGAAACCATACTTTCAAGATGATGATTTTTTTTTCACGTTTTCCAACTTGGTGCGATAAAAGTATAAAACTGAGTTGTTTTGAATAATTTTGTGAAGTACATACACTTCTCAAAATCCTCTATATAAAGCAAAGTAGCAAACTATAAAGATAACAGTACAACTCTTGGTGGTGTTTTAAAATGCGAACCCGACTTTAACCGGCGGTAATTGGCAAGCATGTCAGAAGAACCGGGTTGGTGCAAATATGATATTTCAGAAATAACGTGTTTCGCTTTTATTGGTCAATAATGCCTAGATGTTTGCATTTATAGTAGTTCCACAGTAAAGTTAGATTCTCTAGCTTATTATTGGATCGTTTTTTTAGCATGTCTACGATTTCTTCAATTTTTCAAATGTTTGTTTGACTTCCTTCAGTTTCCAATAATGCTCCATGCCTTCTTTTTACAAACAATAATATGAAATACATGAACCGAATCTTAAAATTCAGTTTCATCTATGCCACATGTTTATCAACTCAAACATTAAGAAAAATTTCACTATTATTATACCTTCTCCTGATAGAAAATGGCTTAGTGGAGTAAGGGTTTACGCATCATCATCATTGTTGTCATCATAACACACGTCCGAATTACGTCATGAAGACGTATTTACATGGCCAATAGTTCTTATGCAAACTTTATTTAATGTGTTCCTAAACCACAATCTTAATTTGTTCTTTATTATAATCGGTCACATGTAAAGCTTATCTTCATCTTGAAGAAATATAGTTGTCTTTTATAAGCATGCTAAGATCACATGAGATTATAAAAACAATAAGATTCACACATGTAGGACCCGCTTGTCTCCTTGCGTAAAACTAACCCCATTTAACTAAATTATCATTTACATAACACACTGACTTCTATTAACAAACTAATCTTCTAACGACCATAGGTTATATCATAAATATATGTACAGATAAAAAATAAATTTACCTAACATTCTTCTACTACCTATTGGTCCAACAAGAAGACCGACCACCGAATTCTTAACTAACTTCCCACCTTCTTTATGTACAATAATAATACCAAATTTTCCCCAAACCAAATCCATTACCGGTTCCAAATACACCAATTCAACAGCGTAGGTTTGTTAACAAACACGATTGAATTGGTATATATGGACCGGCTTGTTACCCGGTTTAATCTCCCTAAAAATATGATTTGATCAAACCCAATTGGTATAGATTTCTCATCACTAGACTCCCAAGTGACACCAACACTGTCCCTCCTCCAATGCGTCCTTGTTGATCTTGAGGTTCTTGATGCTGCTCCTTCTCAACCGCTTCACGGCAACTAATCGGAAACGTTTCTTTAATGTTTAGATCATCGATTCCGATCTTCTCTCTAATCGATTTGATTATCTCAGGATCTACTAAGCTACCATTTGCATCCGTCACATAGAACACATTCCTCGCTACACCTTCTTCAGTCGATATCTCGGCTCTAGCAATGTTTAATCCGTTCTCTCTCAATATTCTTGTTACTTCTGATAACAATCCCGGTCTATCCGCTGTGCATAGCTCCAATCTCACACCCTGTCAAAATGTAGAAAAAAGGTCAGCTACTAAACCGGGTTTTGAGTACCGTTAAACCGGAGGAGCAATTGGTTACCTTAATTGTTCTTCGTTCAATTGCGGCTTGTAAACATTGGATCAAACGTTGTCTCTCCGGTTCAGTACTAACCGGGTTTCCATCGCTATGCCTAACGTAGAATTCCAAAAACGCCGTTTCTCCAACCGTTCGAATCGCGGCGTGGAACACAATGTAAGCCATGTCCGTCAACGTGCAAACGACGTCGAACAAAAGCTTCAACCGATCTTTGCACTGAAGATTTACGACAGAGTAACCACGTTTCGGGAGGTTCTGTACGGAGACGATCGGAGATATCTCGGAATCAAACTTCCGCTCGTAGTCGCGGTCCATGAACATCCTCTGGTGCAGCCTTCTCTCCATGTGAGTGTTGCCACCGTACGAAACGCACGTCCTCGTGTCGTTTTGGTAACCGTCGTCTGCTTTTAGTAAGTTACGCAGCTGTCCTTCGATCCGTTGGACCCGGTCGGAGTCTCCGTCTATCGGAGTCCCGGAGTTACCGTCTTTAACGTAGATCATGGACGCAATACGACCGTTATGCGTCCATGCTTTAGCTTCAACAACGTCGCACTGAAGATCGGCTAAAACCGCGAAAACCTCTGAGAGTAAACCGACTCTGTCTGTTCCGGTTAACTCTAATGCGGTTAAACCGGTGTACCCTTCGCTTTTATTGTAGTGAGACGTCTCGATCGACTGTGAAAAAGAAGGAATCTTGAGTTTTCCAATTACATTCGCTAAATTAATTGTGTAATCAAGAAGTGATTAATGGAATAAAAACATTTACCTTTTCGATGTAACGGATTAGATTCTCGTCGGTTAATTTGTTTCCGTTAAGATCGCAAACATGGAAAACTGAAGAAGATAAAGAAAAAACGAATCAACTAAAAATATTAATATTTCTTTCTTTAATTAGTATAATCAGTATAATTAGCGTAAAGATTAGGGCTAATTATTACCGTCCATATTCCATCTTCCGTCGGAGGAAATGTAAGCTTTTCTGATCCAGAGATTCATATCGGTGAGAAGCTGTACAGATTCGAGCAAAATCCCTGGACTTCTTGCGCTATCGATCTAAAAAGAAAAGGAAAAATCAAATAAATTTAAATCATTTAATTATAAAGAAGACGAAGACGAAGAAACAGAGGAAAGGTTGCGTGAGGGTTAAAACCTTGACGACAGTTAAATTAGGGCAGACTCCATTGTCAATTACGACCCTGCAAGTGACCAAAAAGACAGTGACCCTTTAACCTCACTGTTTTGTATGAATCAAACAAACAACCAAAAACAAAAAAGATATTGAAATTGCCAATAAATTGACTTGTGATTTTTTACTGTTTATTATATACTAATAGATGACGGTAAAGCCAGGAAATGACGAAGCCTTCCATACAAGTTGGAGAACTTTTTTTCCATCAATTCTTTAAAAACTTAATTGTCTCAGGTAAACCTTAATTCCGTGAAATTAAATTGGTTAGGCATACAACGAACGAAGAAAAACGAATAGAGATTTCTTTAACAAAAACAAAAAAAGAGAAACAAAAGGTTGATATCTGGTAACAAGATCTTGTTTTCTCTTCATAAAAGCTGATATTATTTTTCATCATAACAAAATTTATTGTAATTTTTATAAGAAAAGAGGAATAAGATGAAAAACCTGGGCATGTTCATCCGTACAACGAGCTTCTCATATTCATTAGAGCAATCAGATAACTCCATCTTTTATTTTCTTCAATTCTTTTTTTTCTTGCTTGCTCCTTATTTCAGACAAGAATCCTTTTATTCTTTCTTCTTCGGATGTTTAAGAGAAAGCTACCATAAAAAGGGAACCAAAACAATTCATGTGTTTGTACAGAGTCTCTCTTTATCTCGCTCTATAAAACCACTCTGTCTCTCTCTCTCTCTCTTCGTTTTCTGGGGCAGAGTTACTTCCAAGTCTGTCTTAAGAATTTAATAGGATAGGAAATAAATGGTAATATATAATTAGAAATAAATATCAATGAGGCGTTAGGACCGGCTCAAGAAAATATTAAAACAGACGCTGACCTGTTCCTGTTTTGGAATCCTCTGGGGTGGTGCTCCCATAGAAATTTCTAAACCAATAGAACTTTCAAATCAAAAACTAATCTTTCTTATTAGACTTTCCGTTCTTGTCTCCTTTTTTCCCATCTGGATTCATACCCACTTTCCTTTTTTCCCGTCTTTTACGCTTTTTTATTTATTATTTTCTCATAATATTAGAAAGAAAACAAGATTTTATTTGCTGAGAATATTGACTAATTTAAGGCAAAATCTGCAACAAAAAAAGGGGTGTGTTTTATCGTATATGTTAAAAAATATGCTTTGAAAAGTATTGTGTAAATTTTCTAACGATACACTATTATTATATACAAAATGTATTTTTTCTCCCGTATGGTTTCATACCCACTTTCTTTATGTCTTTATTCGTCTTTTATTCTTTTATTTTTTTCAGAAAGATTAGAAGAAGAACAAAAAAATAATAGTGGATTCGGCCGTACAACGGAACGGAACACGGAAACAGTTTGAAAGCTAGTTGGGTCTGTCGGGGATCCTACGTGGCATGCGAGAGTGTAATTTTTACGCGCGTTTGTCAACGGTAAATTTAACGACGTTTGGGTTAAAAACAATTAACGCTGTTAGGATACAGCCGTTGTTGATCCTCCGGTTCCCGCGGAAAGTCGGTAGTGTTCCCGCCAAGACTCACGTTCACAAGGAGATACCTATTGAACATAACAGCATTTAATTTCACTTGTAAGAGTTATTATTTTATTTTTTCCCAACTTCACTTGTGAGAGATTACATATGTGAAATTTAAAGGGGGAATATAAAAATTGATGTCACTACATTTATTACTGTTTTTATTTTTATGTTAGCATAAGAAAATTTGGTAATTTTTTTTCATTAAGAAGTAGAAACTATAAAAACGCGTTGAAGAACAAAGGAAAAATGAAGAAATAGTTGCTGGAAAATAGATCATGTGTTCACGGTAAGAGGAAGTTGGTCCTACGTGTCCATTTCGACATGCGAGCGACTTTGGTCGGTGTGGCTGGTTGTGTATTTCTTTAACTGTGAAAAAAGATACATAATATATTCATGAATCCCCCACCGTCACTTAGTCATAAATGATAAATCGTAACCGTTGTTCTGTTAACATTTAATTCTTGTCACTACAAATTTCTTTCTTTTTTAGCTCAAAGTCTGGTCACTTATTCACATTATGATTTAGTAACGGAAATATGATTCATTTGGCAATAAAGAAAGTGTCATGTGAAATAATAGCGACTAGTGAGGGTTCAAGACTTATTTTTAAATGGAAAGACATGATTCGTGTCTGCTTGAGTGCGTGTAGCAACGATATGTTTTCGTCTTTTTGTGGAGTCACACACTCACACTCACACCTATTTTGATTATTTTTCTATGCGTGGTTCTACGTTTATCGGGTTATGTAGGGTTGAATCCGAGATCGGAGATGCATTTTTTTTAGCGTATGGTTATTGTCAGAAGAAAATATGATATTAGGGGATGGCTGTCATAGTTGGAGGCTTAAACTAAAAAAAACTCAAGTAAAATTCGGAATATGTAAAAAGTTATAAAAGTGTAATATAACAAAAACAAACATTTTCTATCTTTTCATTTATTAAAATTCAAAAACCCATGAATTCAACCCAATCTCTGTTTTAATTTAAGAAAATATCAAAATAAGAAGTATCCCAAACTGTTGACCAAAAAAAAAAAAAAAAGAAGTATCCCAAACAAGCAAGGATAGTTGTTATTGGATCAATTTGTTTGGAAGGTAATGAACCTTTTTTCCGATTTAAAAGTTAAAACTCTCTTTTAATTTCTTTTTGTAAACACTCCCGCATTTGTCGCAGTAAGTGGTGACAATCACGAAAGTGGGAATGCCTTTGGTCTTGAAAGAAGAAGAGAAAAATCAAGAAAGTGGGACGCACTTAGTTATGCGGATCATAATATTTTTTTAGTGTCAGAAGATCGGAGCCGTCGATCTCGGTTGAGTTAGATTTGAGAATCAGAGAACATATGACAGTGGAGGCTAGAGGATTTGGTCAAAGACAGAACACGTGGTCAATGCATGCAACAGTTCTCACTTCTCAATGGTCAGAATTACAGGAATAATAGATACAATCATACAATAATAATACGATTCCAAGTTTTTCCTAATTTATAATTCCATTCACATTTGGTGGTACTACTAAGTGATTATTATTTTTTAAATGCAAGCCGGAATTAAGAAAAGTAGGAATAAAAGAATAGTAGCAGTTGTCAAAGACATTTCAAAGAAAAGAGTGTGGCGTGGGACTATAACTTGGCTTGTAAATTCAGGCTTTGGAACCGGCCAATTTTGTTTAATCCACTTTTCTTAATTATTTTTTCACACATTTAGAAGACAGTGACATCTTCTAATTACTTGTATCAATTAAATAGTTTGTATTTAAATATCGTTGCTAAGACATGTTATATTACAGCTGTTAGCCAACATTTATAAAAATACAATAGAGATATATAAACATGCTCTTCAAACAAGATAAATTACAGCGACAACTAACTGCTTGATCACGATTACATACCAAAACTAGGAGTGTAGTCGTTGTATTTTTGTTCAAATTTTAGATAGGTGCAACAACTACCTTTATGTGTCAGTCTATAGATTTCATAAGAATAGTATAGTTCTCACTTTTGTAACCAGTTCATTTTCTGAACAAAAATGTATTACTTATATTATCAAGAGCTTCCAAATCCTCAAGGGAAGCTCCAGATAATTAACATTGTGATTGATTTAAATTTTAACTGATAATCAGAGTCAGGTCCCGATGATATTGCCAGAATTATGATGTGCTTTATTTTATTATCAACTTTTTCTTCAAATCCCGAATAATGTTATGTTATTGAATTTCTCAACTAATAATCAAACAATTTTTTTATGCAATTATTTATCACTTTATACGACTGCTCACTACATTGCAAACAAAATTACTATTGAAATAATAATGCAAGAGAAATAAGTACGTGTAGAGCACAGAAGGAACATCACAAGCTGATGCATGATGCATCACATGGGATATGTTCACCAACAAAATTCTCTTCGCGTATACCAAAAGGCAAAAATCTATTAGTCTATCTCATTTCCTCTCCTCATGTAACGTATGTATGTATTATGTTATATATGGGGTTGTACACTGTACAGCAATTTGTTCATAGTTTCTATTATCAAATTTATAATTCCAGGATAGAAAAAAAATATAACAGAGAAAATACAAGTCTACACATGTAATAAACAAACTCTCTTGGTCGGACTTAGTCACGAAAGTAGAACATTTTCTAAACTCTGAAAATCAAAACTAAGAGGATCGGCCTCCAAACAATGCGATGGATTCTACAGATTAATTCATAATGTCAGCGACCTAATTCAAATATTGTTTTTCATATATCATAAGAAATAGTCTAAAATGAAAACCGACAATTGACATATTGCGCATAATAATGGTACTGTATATCTAACTATAGTTCTTTGGGAAAAACCATGATTAATACACAAATTTAATTTATTTTAGAAGAATAATACACGAACTTTTATCGATCCCAAAACAATACACAAACTAATTTTGGTTTCTATAATAAAACCTCAATTTTCAAATTTCGTTACTTTGCAACTGAGAATATAAACTCCGTTATCTCACTAAACGGAAGTTTTAGTAAAGGAAATTTAATGTTAAAAAAATGTGTATTTAATTTAATGAAAAAGACAAATTTGTCCATCTTACTTCTTGTGCAGAAAACAACTTATTCCAAATTGATTTGGGGATTTCTTTCACAAACCCTAATTTAGGGTTTGTAAAAAAATAACGGAGCTCTTATTCTCGGTTGCAAAGTACCGAAATTTGAAAATTGAGGTTTTATTATAGAAACCAAAATTAGTGTGTGTATTGTTTTGGAATCGATAAAAGTTTGTGTATTATTCTTCTAAAATAAATTAAGTTTTGTGTATTAAATAGGGTTTTTCCCTAGTTCTTTTATTAAGTTTTAAATACAGCACATGTCAGTCTTAACAAAAACTCAACGTTATAAATAATTAACAAACGTTGACAAAAATTAAATATAAATTAAAATAACTCCGAACCACCCGGTCCACCTGAGTGCGTGTCTAATGTCTATACATCCATCTGTAAGACAACGTGGCCGTACATTTAAACCTAAATTGATTTAACCAATAACTATTAAATTCTCAATTAACGTGAAGCTTTAACACTAAGCAGAGATTTGATTTGCCCCACACTTCGCCTCGGATATGTGTTTCCGATTCACATGGCACTCACAAGACACAATCAATGTCTTTAGGTTCTCTGTCTACCAAAACAACACGAACCAAATTGTTGTACCCCAATAATCTTGCTGTATTGGTTAAGGTATTTATTTTCGTTTGGTAAATGTCATTCTTCATTTCAACTAAAAAAAAAAAACAATTTTTGAAATGGTTGCAGAAGTAACTCGCAGGATCGATAATAGATGTATGAAAGTTAGAAGTACACTGTACAATCACGTTTGGTACAAACTGTTGGTTAGCATATTAATTTTCATTTGGTCGACTCTTACCAAATCTTAATATTTCATTTATATAAATTTGATATTTGAAATACGTGCAAACGTCTTTACCATCCAACGTCTGGTCATGACATTACTGCTTTTAAGTAAGATTACGAAGTTCAAACCCAAAAAAATGCATTTCGTTTGGTAAATCACGAATTCATGAAACTTTTGCAATATAGGATGTTAATGATCACGTTCGTAGATCTATAGATATATGTTTAGAATTTGGATAGTACATTACATAACTGAATGTAATGATGCAATAAATTACAGGAAAATGACATACTAATTAAAAAAAACATACAGTAAAACCTCTATAAAGTAATAATGTTGGGACTTTGAAAATTTATTATCTTATAGAGGTATTACTTTATGAATAAATTCAATATTCATGTATTCTCATAATCTTCGAAAATTATTCTCGATATGATAATATATTAAGAAATGAAAATAATTTATTCATTAATATGACATATATAAACTTGAAATTATTATCAAATCTTTTGGATATCATAATAAAACATATATTATTAGTTTCTATAAATATTTATTTATATAAAATTTGATACATAATAAATGTTAAAATTTTATAAATAATTATAGCTACTAATGAAGTTGAAAATGATATGTTTAGAACATATTTAACAATTTTACATGCATATAAAAATTGCATTATGAGTTTTTTATATAAGAAAAAGTTAAAGATAAACTTCAATTCATAATTTAATAATTGGTTTAGGCATATACAATGTATAATTTTATATAATTATTACTTTAACTTATAATTGGGACCATATTTTTACATAGAGTTTCAAAAATATTATTATCTTATCATCTTATCGCATTTTGCTTATTTTTACATTGGCCCGAATTGGGACCGGAGAAATTTATTATCTTATAGTGATTATTACTTTATCGAGTATTACTTTATAGAGGTTCTACTGTATAATATATTACCGTATTTGAACTAGGATAACAACATTACATGTCCTCGTCAGATGATATATTTATCTTAAACAACAACCTTTTCTTACATTCATATGTAAACTTGGATATAAACTTCCCGTTAATTGCTTTTTCACAGATTATAAATCAAAAAGTTACATGAATTATGAAAAGAGAAAAAAAATTGAAAGGGAATACATTAATTCACTAGAATTACTTTACTAATGGAGGCCCAGTAAGGTTTTCTAGTCACTAGTCACTACCAATAAAACACTAAATGGGCCTCCAAAAATCGACACCAAAAAACGGGAAAACGAATCTGCCATTTTAATTCCATTTTAATCAGTCTGAATTTTAGTAAAATTTTTGATAAGAAATCAGTCTGAATTTTCATCTCTTTGGCTCTCCATTCTCTCTCAAGTTATGCAGACTTCTCAAAAAAAAAAACGATTTACACGACTATTACAGTTTACGCTGATTTACTATCAAAAGCCCGTCTAGCTCAGTTGGTAGAGCGCAAGGCTCTTAACCTTGTGGTCGTGGGTTCGAGCCCCACGGTGGGCGTCTTTCTCTTTTACAATATTTTTGGCTAATCCGACTTTTCCCTTAATTATATTTCTTCAAGTGAAATTTGTCCAACTAAAGGCCTGGAATTAAGACTGTTTGGATTACATCCAGTTTTAACATTTTACAATTTTAATCGTTATCATGTATGTGGATAAGATCAATTAAACAATAAACATATGCATCTGATGTGATAGATCTTTTTTTCATAATAAAGAAAACATTAAATTTGCATGTGAGATTTTTTTTTTTCAAGACATGCATGTGTAGATGATTGATATATTAGACTTTTAGTAGATGATGAGTAGCTCTTTCTTATGTTCTAGACTATTGGTAGATAACTAGACCTTAGTTTATCGACTTTTCAATCACTCCCTGCTTATGCTCAACACTTTAACCGTTTCTTCATTTTTGTAGGTCGGATCATTCTGTTCCAGCAAGGGAAGCCTCGACCACAACGACCACCGCTGCTGGATGCGGCCTGAGGATATGGAGTACATGAGATCACCCCTCCGATGTTTCTCGGAATGCACAAGCCTTGCTGGCGAGGTAGCAGCAGCTCTAGCTTCTGCCTCCATCTTCTTTAAAGACGACGCCCACGAAGAGACACTTCTCACTAAAGACTTCCACAAGTTTAACTACATCGTGGTGTAGATTAATTTTTCTTATTTTTTCCTTATAATTTGTTTATTTTTTCCTTATATTTTTCTTATTATAAAAAATGTTAAATGAAGAAAGCTATGAGCTGTAAAGTGTAAATTATGTAATTTCAAAATTAAGAAATAAAAATGTCACAAATTAAGTTAATTATGGACACAGAAATATTGAGATGCAATAGAAAATGCAATTAAAATGAATAAAAAATTATTACGCGATAACCAGAACATCCAAGAAAAAGAGAGACAAATGATTGTTACGGTTCCACAATGAATCCCTGAAATCCAATTGCTACAAATCTGAATTTGGAAGACAAAATCGAAGCCATTACCTACAAGTGATTTCTCAAGCAAATTTCAGGGAATTCGCGATTTCCCGTCTGATTGACTTTATTCCAATTCGGAGGATAATCAAAGTAGCAACATTGACTTTATTTTAATTCGATAATAAGTGTTACATAAAATATGATAAAGCGAGAATACAAAGGAACAAGACCAAAATGACAATTAGACAAAGGAGACACCGCACCTATATCTTCTCGCCAAAAATACAATCTCTCCAAAGTCCAAACTTCTGAAGCTGAACTATGCGATTACATTCTTAATTTCATATCAGGGTTTACCGATTCCGACATAAGCTAATTCAGCAGCTAAAATTACTCTCCAAACGGGAGACTTGCACAATGAGCTTATCGCTATTACACCCGTATTTTTCTTTTTCCGACTCTTCCATAACACTTTTTGATTTACAAAATTTATAATATAGGGAAAACTAAACAAAAAAGGGGGAGCATATAAGAAAAAAAAAAATTAAATATCGGTAATTAGCAAGAGAAATGTATATGGTTTTTAGGTTGTTAAAGCAATGAAAATATCGTAAAAACATCTTTCTCTTTAAAACAGTTTCATGAATATATTATTATATATTTGATCTTTCCTCTTTACAAGAAAAACTTTCATTTGCTAAACTCACTACAAAAGCTCTTTACTTTCCTAATTTTGAGTCTCTCTTTTTTTGGGAACATATTCCATTTAAACTCATATATTTCCTCTTTACAAGAAAAACTTGAAAATTTGCTACGCTCACTCCAACAAGTTATTTGTTACCCTTATTATAAGTTTGACCTGGAAATTTCCATGAAAGGTTCTCAGCTAAATTATACAAATACATTGAATCCTAAGCTTACTTGTTATCTTCTGGAGTTTACTACTATTGTCACTTGTTTCTCCGAGAATAGAATTGCATAAACAAGAGATATAATTTCACTACATCTCTATCAAAGATAATTCTTTTGAGTTTTAATTTGAGATCCTATCTTGTCCTGAACCTTGTGGTGTTTGTTCTTCTTCCTCTTTGTCACACGTCAAAACTTGTGCATTTCCAGCTTCTTTCTCCCAATCTAGCCTTGCAACAAAGATGAGCAATATTGACAAACAAACAGAGGTCCCAACCAAAAACCCAAACAAGAACCCTTCAAGCCCTAGCTTAGCCTTGAACGCCAAACTTGCCCCCAACGGCAAAGCCAATAGGTAGAATCCACCAAGATTCGCATACATTCCAAGCAAAGGCTTCCCTGTTGCGCGAACAATCTCCCCACAAACTATTAGTGGAAAGTTTAGAACTTCGATAACCGCCATTATCAACATCATCTTCTTCACTCCGGTTAAGATCATTTGGTCATGGCGAGTATACAGAGACCCCCAAACACCTCTACATGCTATCATCACCAAACCTCCAATGCATCCCGAAAAGCCAGCCACAGTGAATGTAGTGTAAGCTGCTCTATAAGCTCCTTTAGGATTATTTGCGCCGAGCTCGTTGGACACTCGTGTTGCCACGCATGTTCCCAACGAGACCATCACAGAGTAAAGCAAGTTGTCAAAGTTGAGAATTATGATCAAGATGGATACAGATTGTACCGGGTTTGGTAGCCTCCCGGTTAATAGGACCAAGGTCTCGTAGCACCACCACTGGAGGCACACGGTGAGACAACAAGGCCCACTAAGCTTGATCAGCTTGAGCCAGTCTTGAGCGCTTTGGTCTAGCCACCCACCTTCTTTCCATTGGTTCTCTTTCAATCTCTCTCCGAATATCAGGTATCCCGCAAGAAGAATCACAACGATGAAATCTGTTATCCAAACCGCCATTGCAACTCCTGCGATTCCTTTTGCTCTAGAGAGGAATATGTTGATGGGGATATGAAGAGAAGTGGCTGCAGCTGTCGCGTACATGGTAGGGAGCGTAACGCCTTGTGAGCTTAAGTATATCTTGAGTGGACTGAGCAAAGAAAGAACTGGCAAATCAGGAAGAAGGTAGAGAAGATATCTCTTGACTATGAAGGAAATGTCTTCTCTTTGGCCGAAAGCAATGAAGATCTTGTGAACACTGAGCCACAAGAAAGAAATCGGTATCGAGATCAAGAAAAGCAAGATCACTCCCATGAGAAGGGTTTTGTGGAGAAGCTTGAAGTTCTTGGCTCCGAAAGCTTGGCCACAAATTGGTTTCATTGCAGCAGAAGTTCCGTACAAAACAGCAAAGCCAGTAACGTTTGCGAAGGAAAACCCTAATGAACCTCCGGCTAGGTTAAGCGCGCCTTGATGGCCAAGAAACATAGATGTGGTGGTCATCTTACCGAACCACAACAAGTTCATAACCACCAATGGCAAACCAATTCTCACTTGCAGCTTCAGCTCATGAACAATGCTCTGCATCAAGCTCTTTGAAATACACACTTCAGAGACTTCTGGATCAAAAGACTCTGACTTTAATGTTTCTGACATGGCTGCGCGTAAGCAAAGAGGAGAATCTGGAGAAAGAGAAGTTGATGAAGATCAACTCATTTGTAGGTGGAAAATGATTTTGTGATTGCGTGGAGGTTATAAACTGTAAATTAAAAGCATGGTTTACGTGAGGGACTGCATCGAAATGTTGCGTTTTTCTCGAGTACAAGTTGTGTAACGGCCAATATAAATCAGAGGTGGAACAACTTGGTGGGTGTCCTACATTTCTTACTTTCTTAGTGCATTGATGATGATGAGTCCATCATGTCAGTCCCATTTGGACTTTAAAAAATAAAAATAAAAAGGTGCAACTGATAACAAAATACATGATGATCTTATTTAAGAATTTTCTAAACCTAATTCCAGATTATTATAACTACAATGTTAATTGTATGATGATGGTCAAAGACTCAAAGTATAATATCTACTCTACGAATTGATCTCCGAGTAATACTGCTGATAGAAACTGACAATTGATTAATTCCGTCTCACTAACAGTACTGAATTACTGATATAATTATTTTTGATTTATTTGACATATAAAACTAAGAAATAGTGGAATAGATAAATAACAAAGACGAGGAAAATAACAAATGACAACAGAGAAGAAATAGGAAAGGAGAGAGATGTGACATTGGCTTTGTAATTTTCTTTTTAAAAAGGCAACAAATAATTGCATAAAAGGCGTAATTGTCCAATGAAAACATTATGAATTTAAAATACCAGCTCTTTTTTATGGATCACTAGATATTTCCACTTTTATTTTGGTGCTTCTCAAAAGCTTCTCAAAAGAAGTTTTGTCTTAGAGAACCAAAAGAGAAAAATAAAGGTTCATAACTCATAAGGATTTCCACTGTTTTTTTTAGGAGATAATATTGGTGGCTGAACAGAAATAAAGAAAATAAAAAAAAGAGGTGGCAAACTATGCGTGTCTAGCTAATAAATTATAAATGATAAAAACCGATTACAGTCAGTCAGAGAGCATATAAGTAAGATTTTTAAAATATTATTCCAAGTAAGCCTATATTATAAGATTAGAGATTTGTATCAACTCACTTATTTGGATTATACTCATATATATGATTGCATATTTCACGTGGTTCAGATTATTTCTGAAAACTTAGAAAAAAGGAAAGATAATTTTTCGTATTTTCAACATTTTCAAAATATCGTATTTTAAAAAATGATATAATTTGGTGGAATGATTTAGTTCATATTACTTTTTTTTTTCTATACAGAAATTAGTTCATCTTTCGTTGTCCTATACAGAAAATATTATACATGCAATTTTAGTTACCGAAGTGCTTCCTTTTCTTCTTTCTTAAAGCGAACCACTTTACATTATACTTTTTTTTGTCTTTGACGGCACTTATTATGTTTTTTATTTAATATTAGATAGAAAATGATACGACGATTACGTTAAAGAACACAAAGTATGTGAAATGGAATCTGATACTAGGATCTTGAGAATTGAGCATTTAATATATACGCTTACTGTCTTGCATCGAATTAGAGATCTCAAGATTGCAACAAAAACTGAAACATTTTGTCGGAAGGATAATTAAGAGATAAGATAACTATTGTTACTGCAAGTCTGCAACTGATTTAATCAACTTTTGACAACAATATTACTTGATCAACTATTCCGAAAATATATTGGATCAACGAGAGCCCATTTATTTGTCCGAGTCCATCATACGTTCATTAAACATTAGGTAACAAAACATGCACATTGTCATTACTCACTACTACACTCTACAGGATTGATCCATTCCTCTTTGTCACACGTCAAAACTTGTGCATTTCCAGCTTCTTTCTCCCAATCTATCCTTGCAACAAAAATAAGCAATATCGACAAACAAACAGAGATCCCAACCAAGAACCCTAACAAGAACCCTTCAAGCCCTAGCTTAGCCTTGAACGCCAAACTTGCTCCCAACGGCAAAGCCAATAGATAGAATCCACCAAGATTTGCATACACTCCAAGCAAAGGCTTCGCTGTTGCGCGAACAATCTCCCCACAAACTATTAATGGAAAGTTTAGAACTTCAATAACCGCCATTATCAACATCATCTTCTTCACACCGTTTAAGATCATTTGGTCATGGTGAGTGTACAGAGACCCCCAAACACCTCTACATGCTATCATCACTAAGGCTCCAATGCATCCCGAGAAACCAGCCACAGCGAGTGTAGTGTAAGCTGATCTATAAGCTCCTTCAGGATTATTTGCGCCGAGCTCGTTGGACACTCGTGTTGCCACACATGTTCCCAACGAGACCATCACAGAGTAAAGCAAGGCGTCAAAGTTGAGAACTATGATCAAGATGGATACAGATTGTACCGGGTTTGGTAACCTCCCGGTTAATAGGACCACGGTCTCGTAGCACCACCACTCGAGGCACACGGTGAGACAACAAGGTCCACTAAGCTTGATCAGCTTGAGCCAGTCTTGAGCACGTTGGTCTAGCCACCCACCCTCTTTCCATTTATTCTCTTTCAATCTCTCTGCGCCGATCACGTATCCCGTTAAAAGAATCACAACGATGGAATCTGTTATCCAAACCGCCATTGCAACTCCTGCGATTCCTTTTGCTCTAGAGAGGAATATGTTGATGGGGATATGAAGAGAAGTGGCTGCAGCTGTTGCGTACATGATGGGGAGCGTAACGCCTTGTGCGCTTAAGTAAGCCTTGAGTGGACAGAGCAAAGAAAGAACTGGCAAATCAGGAAGAAGGTAGAGAAGATAATTTTTGGCTATGAAGGAAATGTCTTTTCTTTGGCCGAGAGTAATGAATATCTTGTGAACATTGAGCCACAAGAAAGAAATGGGGATCGAGATCAAGAGAAGCAAAAGCACTGCCATGAGAAGGGTTTTGTGGAGAAGCTTGAAGTTCTTGGCTCCGAAAGCTTGGCCACAAATTGGTTCCATTGCAGCAGAAGTTCCGTACAAAACAGCAAAGCCAGTAACGTTTGCGAAGGAAAACCCTAATGAACCTCCGGCTAGGTTAAGCTCGCCTTGGTGGCCAAGAAACACAGATGTGGTTATCATTTTACCGAACCACAATAAGTTCATAACCACCAATGGAGAACCAATTCTCATTTGCAGCTTCAGCTCATGAACAATGCTCTGCATCAAGGTCTTTGAACAACACCCTTCAGAGACTTCTAGATCAAAAGACTCTGACTTTAATGTTTCTGACATTGTTGCGCCTAGACAAAAAGGAGAACCATGGAGAAAGAGAAGTTCATAAGTGAAAGAAAAAAGAAGGGAAGAACTTTAAGAGGTTTCAGCGATTTTGTTGGCCTGGTTTTGAGAGTTGCAGAGAGATCGCTTGTTTGTTTGTTGATGAAGATCAACTCATTTGTAGGTGGAAAATGATTTTGTGATTGCGTGGAGGGGTCGGTCATAAACTGTAAATTAAAAGCATGGTTTGCGTGAGAGACTGCATCGAAATGTTGCGTTTTTCTTGAGTACAAGTTGTGTAACGGCCAATATAAAGCAGAGGTGGAACAACTTGGTGGGTTTCCTATACTTCTTCTTAGTGCATTGATGATGATGAATCCATCATGTCAGTCCCATTTGGACTTTTAAAATAATAATATTGAAAGATGCTATTGAAAACAAAATACATTATGATTTTATTTTATTTAAGATTTTTCTAAACGTAATTCCAGATTATTTGGAGGTTTTTATAACAACTATGTTAAATGTATGATATGGTCAAAGTATAAATTATACTCTACGAATTGATCTCCGACTAATACTACTGATAGAAACTGACAGTTGATCAATTCCGTCTCACTAATATAAATTTTATTTATTTATGCAACCTATAAAACTAAGAAATAATGGAACATACACATAAATAACAAAGACAAAAGAGAAGATGTGGGAAAGAGAGGATGTGATTCCATTTTTCTTTTCAAGAAAGCTACAAATAATTGCATAAGGCATAATTGTCCAGTGAAAAAATTATGAATTTAAAATACCCACTCTTTTTATGCATCACTGGATATTTCCACTTTTATTTTGTCTAAGAGAGCTAAAAGAGAAAAAATAAAGGGTTCGATTGGTAAGTTTTCGTGAGTTCATCAGGATTTTGAATTTTCTCTGTTTTATTTAGGAAATAATATTGGTGGCGAACAGAACTATGGAAAACAACAAACTATGCGTGTTTATTTTAAGAAATTATAAATGTTAATAACAGATATGTAAAGTAAGCCTATAGTATAAGAATAGAGATTTGTATCATTATCTGAGTTCTGAACTAACTTATTTGGATTATAGGCATATATATGATTAAATATTTCACGTGTTTCATATTACTAGACCCCGCGTATACGCGGGTTTATTTATTTTTTATTTTTTAAATCACGGAAGAATATTAAACAAAATTTGATCAATTTTAAAAATAAGAAAATAATATTAAAAACCCGATAACAAATCTCTAAATAAAGATATGTAGTCTTTTACATTTTTATTTTGAATTCATGATATGAAATAGAAAGATTTACATGTGTCTAAATCTAATCGACTCATTATTTTATGAAACTTTGATTATTCCATGATGAAATCTTTATTTTTAATATTTTTTTACCTAACAAAACATGGAAAATTAAACTATTTAATATTAGAAGATCAGTCCATTATAAAATTTTCTTTTTTAATATTATTTAGTTCCTTAATAATTATTTTGTTAGTTTTCTATTTATATTGTTTCTTTTTCAATTTCGTTTTTGCCTCTGACCATTATAAATTTTCATTTTCATTATTAGTTAGTTGTTTTAATATTATTTTGTTAGTTTATTTATTTATGTTACTACATTTTTCCAATTTTCTTGTGTTGACACATGTCATCACTTCATCAAATATTAGACACATGTATCGATCTAAAGTTAAGTATTCTTCATTGATATCTTTAACTTTTAAAGACATGAATTTTATTTCTTAATGAGAAAGAAACTTAAAAAATATAGCTTGTTATATATTGTTTTTT